GCCGATAGAGGTAGAACAGACATGATCTTTGCATAACAAAAAAAAAAGGTGCGTCTGTGTCCGGGGGATCTATGGGAGTTTAACTGGGGTAAAACGGATGTCAAGCATATTGCTCACCTCGGTTATATTCTTTTCTACTCCCCCTCCGAAAAACCCACAAATTCACCTCGAAGACGGTCTTCAGCGATGCCATATTGGCCCCTAGGTCCCCACCGATGGAATGTTCCGTACAGATCAGTGACGCGGATCACGAGCAAGTGATCACTCCGCACCTAAGATTGACAATGAGCACTTGTGTCCGAGATCAGGACAATAGGCCCCCCCCCCCCCCCCCCCCCCCCCCCCCCCCACCCCCCCTCCCCTCGCCCGCGGACTAGTTGTAAAGGAGGAAATAGTACGGTACTGACAGATAGCTTTTGAAACCAATGTAACTGCCAACTTTTTCGTAGCATCTGCTTTCATCCCATTGCTAGTCAAAGCCAAAGAACCCCCGTCGCAACGTGCTGAAAATATCATCAACGTATCTTCTCTATCAGGACTACCCCGTTGTTCTCAGAATGGTCAGTTTTCCTACAACGTGAGTAAAACCTGATATCTCATCATCAGACTTTTAAATCGTTGAGAATGAAATCTTATCAAATAGGCTTCAAAATCCGCAAACGCTCATCTTTCACGTATGATGGCACACGAATTCTCACACCCCAACATCATGGTCAGAGTCAATACCATATCCCCCGGATACTTTCCTTCTCAAATGTGTGGCGACCCAACTTGTCATCTAATAGGACAAGGTTTTCGAGCGGAATCATCGGTCCCGGCGGACCGATATGGTTGGGAGACTGAGATGGCCAAGGCTGTTTTGGCTTTGGCGACTAATGAGTATATGTGGGGATCAGAAATGTTGGTTGATGGTGGACTACTCAGTGCACTTCCGAGAGCATCATATGTACATAATTGATTCGAATATGAGGAAAAAAGGTAAGAAAGATAATGCAATATGATTTCTTATCAGATTCTCAGTCTGAGCCTTTGAGAGTCCATTATGATGGCGTTCCTGACAATCACACAAATCCATGCGGCTTTTTCGTTGTCTCCCTCCATTCACTTTTGACAGTCGCTCTTTCGTTTTTGTCGTTGCAGATCGTCCTAGAAATCCCAGACTCCGAGATAATGCCAGCATTTCGCCTACAATCATTTAGATATACTCGGTTCAATCGCTATTCACCAAGAGCTCCCTTCCGTCTAGCGCCGATGACTCCACCAGAACAACCAGGACACAAACTTCGACGTCTATCCTATCCCCTATCGCGGAGCTTTCATTATGAGACGCGCTACTCTCCACGGTTATTTGGTCCGGCACAGGATACTCATCGAGAATTTTTGCGCTCTGTTATTGTTGTTGTTCAGCCGTCAGCGAACACGGTCTCCAAACAAGGCTCCTCCTCAAGGTTACCGTGCGATCTTCAAAAATCGACAGATTGACATTTTCTTCAACACAAAATATCCCGTGCCGACACTGTCAGCAAAATGCACAAGCCCTGGCTAGCAGCTGGTCCTAACAGACAGAGAAAAAACATGTCCGCTCAGCCAAACTACAAGTCCACCGGACTACCTCGGATTCCTTATGTCCGTTTAGGCAAGTCAGGCCTTAAAGTGGGTCTTTTCTTTCCTATCTCCATTCTATCTGTAGACCTTGTTGAGGAGTAGTCTCAAGGGAGATATCAAGCTGAGTAAATCAGGTATCGAGACTCATTCTTGGTATGGCATCGTATGGTACCAAGTCTGACGTAGCATGGCGGATAGAAGAAGAAGAAGCTTTGAAACATCTCAAGGTGTGTACCTATGTACCTATGCAACTCTCCTCATACTTCCACATATCATGAATGATTTCAATGATAGTGTATCTCTATGGGCGTTTTTACTACGGATTTGAGTCAAAGGTAGACTTATAATCAGCACGCATACGATATGGGCATCAATACGTTTGACACTTCCAATTTTTACTGTAATGGCGTATCCGAGGAGATTTTGGGAAAGTTCGTCAAGACCGTCCCGAGGGAATCAGTGGTGATCATGACTAAATCTTTTCATGAGATTGGGGATTTAGAATCTCTTGGTCCTGCAGGATGGACCAATAATCAGGGAAACAATAGAAAGGTGAGTGATCATCTGGATTTTCCTCTTAATCCCCCATACTGCTATATCATCAAATCGTCCATACTATCATATTTCTCTGAACTAGATGTCTTCAGAACAAATACCTCTAGCGATATGTAGTAAATCTGTGTGGGTAACAACATCAGGTGTCAAGCTCACGATCAGCATATAATTGCCAATGTCAACGCTGCTTTGAAGAGACTTCAAACGGATTACATCGATGTCCTGCAATTGCATAGATTCGACTATGAAACTGAGGTTTGTCCCTTCTTTCTTTTTTCGCTTCTCACACTTTTATTCTTTCATCACCTCGGTTGACTGATCATTGGTTAATGGATCAGATCGAAGAGACTATGCAAGCTCTACATGATGTGGTACAAGCTGGTTATGTGAGATATATTGGCATGTCTTCATGTTTCGCTTGGCAATTACATGCCATGCAGAATTACGCTATCAATAACAAGCTTACTCCGTTTGTCAACTGTCAAAACTTTTATAATGCTTTATATCGCGAGGTAGGTCGTTATTTCCACCAGTTTCTGTTCCAAAGCACCAATGATCTTGCTCATTCGAGGTATTTGAGGAATGTCTACTTTGTAAGGAGGGTACAGAAAATCTGCGAGATGCTGATGGGTGTAGGAAGAAAGAGAAATGATGCCTCTTTTGAATTATCTAGGAATTGGGTCTACACCTTGGTCACCGGTTGCTAAAGGTTGGCTGGCTCGTCCTTGGTCACAACAATTTGATTCAGTGCGATCTGTGAGTTTCCAACGCTACCTCTCTCCAAAACCTTGTTCAAACGTGTTTGTGTATACAACTCCATCAGTCGAATATCCAAGCTAGCATGAGTGAACATCGACCTGTCAGCCATCGTCAACACTATAAGAGTTTCGATATTTGAAGGTGGAAAGTTGATGTGAATATGTATCAAAACTGACATGCAGAACTCTGATAAGTATCACACCGAAGGTATCCTCGGAGCAGAATGGGAGAAAGAAATCGTCGCAAGGACTGAACAATTGGCTTTGAAACGTGGATACAGTATGGCTCAAATCGCTCTTGCTTGGGTACTTCATAAATCTTATGTGTGCGCTCCTATCATTGGCGCCACTTCGCTGGAGAAGATGGACCAGAGTATCCAGGCGTTGGATATTGAATTGAGTGAGGAAGAAATAGCTTGGGTGGAGGAACCTTATCAATCGTAAGTTACTCCCCTCTGCCCCTTTCCAGGCCACACCTTGGTGAGTGATGATTTCCTACCTCATCCAGGCGATAGAGAAACTGTATGAGTAGCGTGTGGGCTCATCAATAGACGTCCCGTAGCGGGACATTGGTGATTCTCATAGTGGTTTGAATGGTGTACTACAATTACTCACACAAAAGTTGTTACACAGATGCATCTTGTGATATGATCCCCCAAATTCCACCAAGTTATATAGGACCCAGAGGATACGGAGGAGATTTTAGATCACTCCGATATGAATACTGATATCACACAACATTCATCATGCCAATGGACCTTCAAATACCTCGTCAAAAACATGTTCACACACGTGCAGGTGGGGAAATCACTCACTCATCACTTTTATAGATGGTTTGAGAAACATGAGGTGGTAATTTGTACACGCTATTGTATGAGTTCCACACTAAGCATTTAAAGTAAGCTCACATGTCGGCGGGAAGAGTGTAGAAGCCTTGAAGAGTACCATCATGACCGTCCGCAGCTGCGAATTTGAAGTTGCCACATTGACCGTCTGGTTATTAGCTTTAGTCAGGCTATATATATATGGGAGAAGGCACTCGCAGCTATAACTTCGGGCACAGATATCTCGATACCAAGTGTCTTGACGCCCAACATATCTGACGGGGATATAAGATAGTGAGGATGGCCGAGAGTGAAAACATGACACACTTACATTCTCCACCTTTGCAAAATTCGCACCTTAAACAAGCTTCCCCAGGCTCCAGAGCGACCCTATCACCAACTTGGACACTGGTAACTTTCTCTCCTACTTGAGTTACGACCCCGGCAGCTTCGTGTCCCAGAATCAAAGGATCTGAAAAAAGAGATTCTCCTGCCTGTCTGTCAATTCATGTACCGGCTAAAACATCTGGAACACATGCGAGATTTCCCTCGCTCAGCCAATCAGGTATATGAAAAGAGAAGAGAAAAGAGTGAAAGAATAGATGGATATGACTCACTCGACCTTCCAAAAACACATGCATATCACTCCCACATAATCCCGTCAACTTGGGAGCTACCACCACACTATCATTCAGCCATGTCCTTCCTCGCATTCAAGACACCACGAGGAGGAATCAACCCACTTGTGTTACGTGCGTGTGAGGGATAGGATGCGAGGTGTTGGTCAAGGACTCACTCGTATGGACCAGGAGCACTGGGTAATGGTCTTGTCTCAAATATCAACTCGTTGATCTTCGTCATGACGCAAGCTTTGTTGCTTTGAGGTATGTCCAGATTCACCGTTGTGACCTTCATTCCGTTCTTTACAGATTCAACTATGAGGCTACTTATGTCTTGTCAGAGGTATTGCTATGTGAGTTTTGGCACTCTTCAATAATGTCAGAGAACATCGATAGTTGTAGAAATATGTAAAAGTAATCTAGGTTATCGATGTCGAACCGGTCCGAGATGACGAACAAGGTTATGGAGTTGGAACCAAGTAACCGAGCGAACCGAGACGGATTCAAATTGTTGCAAGTTCTTGCCTCGAGATTGAGAAATACAATTCAACCATGTCGATGCAAGATTTGTGAAATGTGTACGATACAACAAACGTATCAACCCCACCCCTGACCTTTCCACTGAACACTCAGCGCGACTCTCCCTCCGACTGTCTCTGAACGGATACGACAGGGAAAGAACCATGAGTCCGTATTGTGAGATGAAGGGATTGAGGGTTTCCTGAAGTGTGAAGAATGAGGACTTACAGATCCTCGTAAGCCATGATACAAAACCATCTTTCCTCCTGAACGCCATGATTCCCATCCTGTACCGTAGACCCATGGATCACCCTCGACTTCTGACAAACTCTTAGCTCGCGCGATGAGACCCGCCAAAGCTTCGTCGGGAGCATTGAAAGCTTCGTTTTGAAGTATCCTTTCTCTCAGCCATACCCAAGTTTAGAATCATACTCTCAAGATACATAAGATAGTCGATGCTGTATGTAGCCAATTCTCTTCCTCGGGTGATGTGTGTGATAAGGGGGTGGGGCGGGGCGGGGGAAGACTGAGATTCAAATGTGACAGGAAGTGGTGGATGGGAGAGACGAGAGAAGAGAAGAGAGACCCACAAAACATCTCCTACTCTAACAGGTCTCCAAATATTCCTTAAATCTCTGGGCGTGATGCCATACTGCACCAACAAATACCTGAAGACTGCGTCTGTACTTCTCCATCAGCACAGTCCCAATTATAAGATATCACGAACAATGGTCCAGGACCGGTCAAGTCAATCTAATATCAGTGATAGTCCACTGAAAGTCACTAATCGAGGAAAAACGACTACTCACAGCTCCTAAATCTGCCATGCGACCACTTTCGACCAACTCGACTATGGTCGCTATTGTATCTAACATGATAGGGTGGTATGGTTTTGCCTGTGATATCAGCTCCTTTCATGTTCAATCACACACCGAATACAATCGCCTCGATCCCTCATGAACCATCGACCCGCCCTGTATCGATCGGGTAAGTCATCACTATCATCGGAGCGAGCACATGAAGGTGTTTATGTAAAATTGAGAAGAAGGCTAGGATACTGACAATCATCGCATATTGCGCAAATTGTAATCTCCTCCCATGTTTTTGATCCCAAGCTCGACGCATATTACCCCAATACCATTGTCTGATCCTCGATAAGGAAAATACCTGACTGGCATCCCACTCGATGGAGATTACCAGATTGATCTCAGGAGAAAGTATGTTATGTCCTTGGGAAGGTATGGGCATCCTCTTGACATGTCGGAAGGTGTGATTTCCGTTGTAGTCCGTACTAGTCGCCACACTTGTTGACGGGATAGACGAAGTGACGGAAGCGGAAGACACATTGAACGAAAAACGGTTACGGATGTCAAGCTGCTCTCGACGCGAGAGAATTAACGCGGGATTGGATGTGGATGGGCGTCGGTGTTCGAGAAGTAAAGAAAGAAGCGTGAGATCAGGTGGGGTGATATCCTTAGCATCGTAACCCCACAAATACGGATGAGTGATGGGCTGTTCTTCAGTTCTGATCTGAATTTAATAGTTGGAAGACAGACTCACTACTGTATCTGAATCAGCATAGATGCCACCTTGACATAGTAGTGCCATATACCTGTGAATCAACGCTGAGCAGTAACATGAATTCCTTCACTTCGAGCTCATTTCTCACAGACCAGACCATGTCCCACGAGCATCGGCCTTACAACAGATGATTCTCCAGAGGGACATTCGGGGCGGGAGACAAGGAGGAAGAAGATGACATACCGAAATAAATCAGCTTTCAAAACTCCAAATTCCAATTTCCCCCAAACACCTTCCCAACTCTTCTCCTTTCCCTTCCGACCAAACTGTACCCCCGTCCATTCACTCATATATCTCTCCATAGTAACATCGTCCACCTTTTTCTCTTCCCATTCTTCACTTTCTTGATTGCCGTGCATTTGCCCATCTTTCCTCTCACCGATATGCGTCCACCATTGTCCTAATGGAAGAGATAACAATTTCCCCCATAAACTCCATAATTCCGGAGGGTTCTCCTTACTCGTTGTCCATATTTGTCTCGGAAATGTTTCTTGTCTAGGAGCTAGCCTGTTTTGTAATGCATGAAGACTGTCCTGGATGCCATTCTTTACTTTCTGTGGGGAATTTGAGAGGTATACATCAGTGAATTTCCTCAATCTTGAATGATATTCTTCCGAATTGATTGGAAAAGTGGAGTCACCGGAAGGGAAAGAAGAAGGAGCTTTGATAATTTTTGCTAGGTCTAAAGTGGGAAGGAGAGAAAGACGATGGTTGTCATAAGCTTTGATTAATACTGGAAGAGGAGCGAAGGAGAGATGTCGAAGCTCTTTCTCCGTCAACGTTGTGCGAGGATGGAATGAGGAAATTAGGATGTATGTAACTAGTAGGATAGATAATAGTAGGAAGATTGGAGAGAATCTATTACGACGTAGGAAAGTACGTATGAAAGACATTTGCAAGACATCATAATCGTTGATAGAGTTGGTGGTGGTGAAGGAAACGACATTGATGGAATTCCCAACGGAAATGAACACTTCCGACGGAAGCTACTTGAAGTGACAGCAAGAAGCAGATGCATGGTGACATAAAAGTATGTGTATGATAATGATTGCTAGCAGATGATTTAGTGACAAGAATATGAATAGATGTTGATTTCCAAACTTCTTTCCCCCACACCTACACTTACATCTCATCTCCTGAAAGATCCGTCTTCCACCCCCGACCATAATCTTGTAACCCACTTCTCTCTGGAGGTAAGTAATAAACTGGTCCTACCCATATCCTATATTTATGACCTCTTACGCCATCCCCCCAAAACTTCCTCGGCATTCTCCATGGTTCAGGAATATCTTCTTCCCCTATATGCCAATACATTTCTTCATCATTCGCGTACAGTTCTTGTTGTTTGTGATCTTTGTCAGGTAAGGGAAGTAAGAATTTTCCTACTTGAAGTTCTGTATCTGATATCGTACCTTCTTCCAGACGTGCGTATGCTATACGATATAAATGTCTAAAAAAGATATATTCGCACCATCTCCAAGTATCCAGACTAGTATGTCAGTTATTGCAATTCACCGACACCTTTGCTGCTATGTGTATACACAAGCTCTCAATCTCTTTCAGGAGCAAGACGAGTAGTTGAAGGAGAAGTATAGGAATAGGAGAAGGAGGACGATCACTCACGTTTCTATATCATGCATTTTCCCATCCACCTTCAAGATCTCATAGGGCCATGGTCTTTTATCATGTGGTTTAGTGACCAAATACCCAATGAACACAGTTGGCACTCCTTCTCTTTCCCTAAGCAAACGAGCAAGTTCAGTGGTTTGCAATTCCCGATCCAGAACGTCTTCTTCTTGACCGTTATGGGACACCATGACGTCTACTTCTGTACCGTGGATGTCGAGAGTGGCATGAATGGCAGGTGCTAGTTCGCCATTTGGGGAAGGAAGGAGATGATGAGTTGAGTTGATGATTGGGAACTTGGAGAGGAGGGCGGCTCCCCATGTGTGTTGATCAGGCCCCGGTCCTAGATCCACATACTGCCGTTAGTGCTTTCAGAGACTTGATTTGCGATATCGAAAACAAGGAGAGCATAGGAATTAAAGGAGGACCGGGCATCAAATTCAATGAACGGTGGGGATGATACGCAGACGAAGGAGAAAACAAACGGTCAAACTCACATAACCCAACTCTTCAGAAATGATCCTAGTCAAATCCCTATTTCCATACACAAACCTATGCAGATCCGTCTCGAGCAACCCTACAACATCCACCTCCATATCTCTTATGAGTTCCATCATTCTCCATTGACTATCTCTACCTTCTTGATCCACTCCGAAATGAACCTATCATCAGCGCGGTCGCTCATGAGATTCCACAACATGTTTCTACGGCACTCTTCACTTCATAACGGGTTATCCACCGACCGAGTCGATAAGCTCAAGGAGGAGATTTGGAGTGATTGAGGAAATTGACACTAGAGAGAAAGCAGAAATGACACTCACCGTCCAAATTCCCGCACTGAACATCCTGTACTCTGGAAAATAAGGGACAGGCGCTTCTCTTGGTATCTTCCCATAAGCCCAAGCAGCCGCCACTACCCCAATAACCCCTGCCATACAAAGATTCCATCTCCTACTCCTCTGTTTTCTATCCGCTGTTCTCGGAGAAACCTTTGGGGTTTCCAATGACACCGCAGCGAAAGCACCCGACACCACGGTCATGGCACAGAATGACAAGACGAGATCGGTTCTCTCCCTCAACAACCATCCGAGTGGTACGAAAGCATAAGCTGCAGTGACCACGCTGGCTACGTCCAAAACACAATTTACCACCAGGGCTTGACCGAGAATTTTGCCTGTTTGAAGTGCTGAGGCAGCTCGAAAGTAGGTTGGAAGGAGAGACATAAGAGAGGTCGTGAGGAGCAAACCGCCCATAAAGCTCCACCAATCAGTGAAAAAGTACAGGAGAAATGAACCTGGGAAGACGAGCCAGGTGAGGAGATAGGACTGAGGGAGGATAACGCCGACCAAAGCGGCGAGGATGACGGCCGCTGCGTATGGGTGTAAGGTAGGACCGGTGATAGGGTATCCGGTCCATGTCCAGGAAATGACGGTACCTGCGTCAGACAAGAAAGTCTGTAAAAGATGAATCAACGATCCTAAACCAAAGGCGATGATGCGGCTCTGCGCTTTGGGTATAATCATGGGATTCGTCGATACGGACGGAGTTGGATGAAGATCCAAAGGTCTCGTACGGTATTCCAACAAGGAGAGTGAAGCGAGGAAAAGCCCAGTAAGATTCCAGCCACCAGAGGAAGCATCAACGAGACACCAAAACGGGTTGGTCGAGAAATTGATGTACTTGATGAGCATCGTTACAGTTATACCCAAACCGAGATCTGATGTCAGTGAAAAAGCTCATCAGAAGCGGACTCACGTTTTGCTTCTATCTGAGCTTCTGCATTACCATCCAAACGGGATAAACTTCCAGCGATGACAAGCCAGCCCGAAGCGGTCCCCAAAGAAACGAAAAGAAGGCGAGCCGCCACAATAGGAATACAATAACACCCCATTCCAAAGATGACGGTAGCTGATCGAAGATAGAACTGTCCTCTTCGTGAAGTTACCAATTCTCTGATGGAATTGTTGACTAAGAAGAATGGGGACAAATTGGCCAAGAGTGCCAACTCTGAACCGGACAGAGCTGTGTTGTCAGCTTGAGATGGCATGAATTTGATGAACATACCTAATTTCCAGACGGACCAGTAGAAAAGCTGAAAGCCGAGAGAGGTGAAGACTGTCCAGAAACACACACCAAAATACACGTCGCTGACCCATGCTGCGATGGCACGTAGTGTGGATGCAGGGATCAAGTCTGCTGGAGCTTTCCAGTCGTCTACCACTCGTCGTTCAAGTCTGGGAGCCGAGGGAGGTAAGAGGATCCTGTCGTTTCTGCCACATAAGGCTAGTTCCGGGGACATCATGGACGACTCACACAACCTTGATGACCCCCGGTGCCGAAGCATCGACCACCATCAACTAGAATTGTTAGCTATTGGACGTCACAAGGAGAAGGCTCTCTCTCACTCTTAGATGTCCCAGCTCAGAGATGGAGACAGCATCAAAGGCGATATCCCACACAACTAGTGACCACTCGAAAAACGCGTATACGGTATAAGCTCCCGGTATGCGAAGGACAGAATGACGGTAGTAATGCCACATGAGAAACGGAACCATTGATATGAAGGCTATCATCATGGTCCATCTGGCTATCAGCTGGCCTTCTTGATGTGTTTCACTGATCGAACATCACCAGATTACTTACCTTATTCTCCGCGTCCGAGTATACGGTGAGTGATATGAAGACAGAAACATCCAAGGAAGGTTCAGGAGAAGGTAAACGATCATGAAGAAGTCGTGAAGATCTGACCTTTCAGCCCTGTTCACAAAGCCATGATCACACACCATGATTATCTCTGGACGTGATGTACATCCAGCCCCCACTGGACCATCAGCCATTGTGATGAAGACAAATTGTGACTCACCAGCAGAAAGTCCGCATCAACCCTGTCACGAGTTCCATATCTGCAAGCAGGGTGTTATTCGTACTAACTCGTGTCACGCTGACTGGCTTGTCTTTCGGATCTTCACTGTCTTGAGTAGCTTGATCCGGGGGATACCGATGCAGAAGCCATTGAACCAGTAGCAGAAGAAACCTAGGTGTCGCGCAGAGTGCTATGAGGATATGAAAAGGTGCTCTGGGACCCGCATGATCTCCTATGCTATTACATCAGCTCGCCATTGTATTTTCACTCGTATGCTCACTCACGTGGCCGACACTGAAGGGAACCATTCTGTAGGCCATTCTTCGCGTCAGTTTGTTGATCTTGAAAGTCACTAATCGAATTACTGACCGGCAACGGCGTTGGTACATAACTCATGCCAATACCCACCGGCCCAGCCAACGGTCAGGGCGCTGGCAAAGGCGAGGACTGACAAGCCAGTATGAGCCCGAGAGATGTAGGTTGCAGGCAGAGAAAACAGTGCGGACATGGCAGTATAATGAAGACTAGCTTTGAGCAGTGACAAAGGGTGACATGACCATGTGAAGTATGAAGCAATTTCGGTGATGAAGAGAAAGGAAGTGAAAGGACGCAGTCGTCTCAAACACCGTCGACTAACGCACGCAGTTTCCGTCGGAAGATACGGAGCCCCGCGTATCTTGTTAGCGGTGATGACCGCTTCCTCTCCTCTCCTCTCCTTGCCTTCACTCACTTTGCTCTCTCGCTCTAATCTGCCTCCGATCTCCGACATGATGGCGACCCTTCTTTTCCCTCACCGTATGCCCGCAATCCGAAGGATACCACCGCGGCCGCACGAAAAATACACTCTAGTCGTACTCATCATGAGGTCTCACTCTTCCCTCGGGTGTGCGTCAGCACACACTAGGCTGGCCTCGGCCAAACAACAAGCTAACTCTGACCCCGAGCAGTTGGAAGGATGTCCTGAGGTGTTATAACAAGTACAAACTGATATCTCTTCTGACCTTCTCACAATCATGTCCATGGTTCAAAATAACGAAGAGCGACGATCTTCTTCACCAACCATCGTTGAAGGTGTCGTCGGAGAGGCCAAAGGAATGGACGGGGAGACAAACGAAAACTCTGGCAGGGAAGATATGGAAAAGGTAGAAACGACTCAGACTGTCCAACCCGGCCCAGTAGCCCCTACTACTCACGCCATGCCCGATAGACCAGTTTTATCCAAGAAGAGAAAGATGGTTCTTTTGCTCACATTCAGCGTTGCTCAGGTGAGTTTGTTACCATTTCCGTGGATTTCCGACACACGCTGACAGTTCAGTTTCTCGATATCACAGCAAGGTCCGGGGTCGTTCTTTTCGTCGAAGATATCTCGAGGGATCTCAATATCAAATATCAAGTTTCCACCTGGGTTCTTGTCAGTGTCACATTCAACATCACCAAACATCTCTTCTGTTCCAAAATGATAGAGGAGAATGAACAATCTTTATCTGCCACTTGCTGATTATCACAGACCGCATTCTCGGTGCCTTTCGCTGCGTTTCTTCTCTTCTGGGGACGCGTCGCAGACCTTTTCACAGCCAAGACCACATTCGTGTATGGTTTCTACGTTCTAGGAGTACTCAACCTTATCATCTCGTTTCTACCTAACAAATACGCGTACTTCATTCTTCGTGCCCTCAGCGGGCTGGCAGCTTCCGCTACCATTCCATCAGCATATCGGCTCATCGTGGCGATCTTCGAACCCAAGGAAGTTGGAGGTGCGATAGCGATCTTCACCCTGACTGGTGCGTTTGCCAACGCATCTGGCTTGGTTCTGGCAGGTTTCTTTGGTTTTATCAAGTCGACCAACCAGCTGGCCGGCTGGCGATGGTTTTTCCGAGTGAGTAGACTCGTTTCTAGTATCACCCCTTCCTGCCTCTTATCCAAGTCGACTTTGAGGTCGTGTCAGATTTCTGTGTTGACTTTCTCGTATACGTATAGGCTGAAACGATTCCATGAGTTTCGCCCATCTTATCGCCCACCACGTCTTTGTAGACACGATCGACTTGGGATTATAACAAAGTTGAAGTAGCTGACAAGAAGGCAATGACAGTTATCGCCATCCCCTTCGCCGGCCTTGCCCAAGCACTCATTCCAAAAATTCCCGGTGTTCGCGCCACCCAAGCGGAGAAATGGCGTCAATTCGATTTGATAGGCTGTAGCATCATGCTCTTTTCCAACTTGTTGCTCATCCTCGGTCTGACCCTCGGAGCGACGTACGGCTGGAAGACGGCGAAATTCCTAGTCCCTTTCCTTCTCAGCTGGCCGCTGTTCATCGCGTTCTTTTTCTGGGAACGAAAGCAGCCGGCTCTTTCTGCTTTGGTCCCATCTAGCACTTGGCGAGTGCCAAACTTGGCCCTATATCTCTGGCTAGCATTGTGCGTGTTCGGCTGGTGGGGTGTGAGTCTTCTGAATCTGTCTCACAGGCAATACCATTCCACTCTCTAGGCGTCGTTACTGCCTCTTGACCGAAAAGATAACTTAGGACACGTCTCACCATCTGCTTTATTTTTCAGATGACCGACCTTATTTCGTTTTTTTAGGTTTCGAAGCGAAGGAAGGATATTAACCTCAGGCTATCCAACTACCCTTGGTGGAAATATACGAAACCGTCTATCACGAATCGTCTATCATCTCGGCTGTACGAATGATACCCATGGGAATCGCAGCTTTAGTTCCTATGCTTTTCCTTCCGAAACTTCTACCTATCCTTCGACCATATTCCCGATGGTTCATTTCCTTTACACAGATCGTAGCTGCTTCTTCGCTCCTTATCCTCATCTATTCCAGAGGTGGTAATATACATAACAACGGTTATTGGAGGTACCAATTTCCCGCTTTTATTGTTGGGTCGTTCATAAATGCTATGGCGTTTGTGACATTGAAGTGAGTTTTCCTCGTTTAGTCCAACCTTTCCAGACTTTCGTTATGAATTCGATCTTAATGATCCATCAACGTCTTTTACTTCAAACTATTCCATTATCATATACGCTCCAAAATGCTGGTTAATCATTTATATTCCCAACCCTTGAAGAGATTTTACGTTGTATCACTTCATATATCACCAATGATAAACTCGACAAGAAAGCTGACTGGTAGTGTACTTGTCGTCACGTCAGTTCCACCTTCTATGTCAGGCGTAGCTTCCGCTCTGATTCAAGTGAGTTTGCCTTCTGCTTAGGTATGAGAACACTGACTGGAAATATAGGTGGCTTATCAAATCGGAATCGTCGTGACAATCTCTATCCAAGCTGGATTATTGACGATTCATCCCGGAAGTATAGCCAATTTCTCTAATGTACAAGCAAGTTGGTGGTTTCAATTCGGTTGGTGTTTACTCAACGCTATACTCGCGTTGTTGTTTCTTCAACGTCCACCTCCACCACCTACGCCAGCTGCAGCAATTCCTGTCAAAACCGACGCGGAAGCGTGATTTGTTATCGCCGGTTCGACCCACTCAGTGTCTCCTGTAATCTCTCTGCCTGTCTGCTCCTCGGACGGGTCTAGGTCTGCTTTGAGGTGGTCTCACTTTTCACCGAGGTATTCGGTTGGACGAGGAATGTTGAGAAATGAAAATCAGGCTGTAGGCGACATGAGACAGATGGTAGAGTAATGGGTTGTTCAAATTAGTAACGTGTTACGAGTGGAAAGTAATCATGTATTCTTCGTGTCGTACCGTACGTTGTTAAACCATTCTCTTCAGCTGTCCTATTTCTCACACTACGAGTAATGATATCTGGCACCCCGGGCAGCATCATTAAGAATGAAGGTTTCCCACACTTCGTGCCTAGTCTCACGCCTTCCAGAAGTATGAGTAACTACATAAACCAATCAGCTCTCGACCACGGACGGTCGATATTCCCCATAGCCAATGTGTAAAAGTGAGCAGAGCAACATGCATTTACCTTCATCTCATTTCTCCCGATACTAAACCTCTTTGTAAAACCCATTCAAACCCTTTCTTCCCCACCTCCGCATTGGAAGAAAACCTATCCACCGAGGCTTTTTCTAATCGACGAGCTATCAGACGAGAAGGAAAAGCTGAGAAAATGTAAGCACGTTGAGAGAATAATGTTTGGTTCGTTGATTGTTCTTGTTCTGAGGATGGGAAACCTGGTTCTGGATTTAGTGAAGATGAGGAAAGTGAATTGGTTTTTTCTGATGAGATGGGGTAGAGGGGAAGTGAGGTTTGGGGTTGAATGGAAGGAGATGGAAGAGGGGTGTAGGTGATGAGTTCTAAACAAGATCTGTAGTTTCAGTCGCTTTTCAATACATCTATCGACGATGATATCCGATGCGAAACAGTGCGACAGACAGTGAATGTCACGAAATAAAAAGAAAAGGAAAGGAGAGGAGTAGTATAGGAACAAGAAGGGGATAGGGTGTATATAGAGAAGAGAAGAGGATGAGAAGAAGAAGAAAAAAGCTTACACGTATTGAGCCAAAGATAGATTAACAGACATGGCTGTAGCTGATGATTTTGATGGGTCTATAAAAACTACTTCTCTGACATAGGCGGTAGGTGGGAGATGGAATAGCTATCGATATTAACAAGATTCCATCATATCAATTCTTCGCAAATCTCTAAGGATCTAAGGACTTCCTAGACTTCTCCGGAAGTTGAGAAGCTGTGTCTTTTCGTATGTGACGTATTGATATAAATAAGAGATTCAAAGGTACTACCGTCATTGAGCTGAATGCCCATGATGAGATGCGGACCAGATGGAATGTGAAGACTTTCAATCGTCGGGCATAGTAAAGCCAAGGAAGAAGACTTACCCTAGTGATCCACTTTGGAGCTCCTTGTTGTATCCCTATCAACCTCTCACTCCTTATGATACCAGTATCAGGGTCGATACTTCTATCTATAGTATCGACTGAAAAAACATGAGTCGCAAATGGGTTTGGATATTTACGATGTAAACAGGCGAGTGTATGGATGGGGGAATAACTATGAACAGTCAACTCTCATCTCCTCTAAATTCTTATGTTCGTTTGTACGTGAGAATGATTTAGATGAGATAACTCACTTGTACACGATTTCCTTTTCGAAAACCAAGGGCATGATCTCTCATCTACTTTATTCTACTTATGTTCGTCTGTCGTCTGTCTTGTCGGATCACACAACTCGGTAGTAAAGTATTTTACGCGGTATAGAAGGAGGGGAGAGGTATGTACGGAGGGCGAAGAGAGAAGGGAATGAGACGAGATGGAGGAACGGAGATCGTGTTGGGGGACTAAAGATGCATCATGATGAGAGAGAAACAGAAAGAAAGATGTGAAGAACAACGTCGACTTTTAGGGTTCGGCCGCCGAAGAAATAGGAATTTCACAAGTTCCGACCGTCTCGTTATCGCTACATGCGCTACATGCTATATGCTACATGCTACATGCTACATGCTACATGCTACACTTTACATGCGACTAGCTATTCATGCTACATACTGTTCTACGACAAACTGGGATATACTATGTGTTTCGCACTCAGAAGAATGTCGCAGACCTTGTTTGTTTCATAAAGGAGCTTTCACATAACTTCATCACCGCAGGCAATCCTGTATTCCGAGACAAAAGGCAACATAGTGCGACAGCGAGGTCGTTCAGTTGCAAAAATGCTACTTGCCAGATCTCCCAGCACGTCTAGCCGCATCCGCTTTCGCTTTGGCACGTTGTTTATCTTTATCAGTCTGATCATCCGTCGAAATTGCCAAAGTTCTCTTATCCTTGGCCGTCTTCGCCTCGTCGCCTCGTCTCTTTACCTCTGCCTTTTTCTCCCTTTCCAGAGCATTTCGAAGGTCAGAGCTCACACTGGAGCGCTACTCGTCAGTTCAAAGTACCACATCTCCCCCTTTAACTCTGTCATCGGAGATCGTACGAGGTTAGCATGAAGGTGCGAGGAATCGTGAAGAGGGTCAACTCACCAATCCAGCTTTAGACCACCAAGGACCACCCATAGTGACTAACCCAACGAGTCCTCCGAGTGAAACAACTTTCTCCCATCCCGGTCTCCATATTTTGACCCAACCACTGACACCTTGAAAGGTGAACCAGAACAACCAGAATCCTAACCATTGAGGAGCATCGACACCCCTTCCACTCCCACTTTCATCTGCGATGCTATGCAATGTGCAACGTAGAGGTACGAGTAGTAGGAAGTAAGTGAAATGCTTTTGAAGAGCAGAAGCCAAAGAGACATGTAGTAAGACAATGATTGGAGCGACACATAGTGCTACGTGAAGAACAGGCATGTTGAAAGCCGAGGATAGGGTGATCAAGGGAGGTCCGAGAAAATCTAAATGAGTCGTCATCTACTATATCAGCAAAAGGGATGAGCGGGTCGAATGAGAGACATACGGAAGTCTTGATGAAAACATCGAATTCATCTTGTCGGACCTGTTCCGGAGTTCTTTCATCAACTTCTTCTGGTTCGGCTTCCTTTTCTGGAGCGGCAGATTTAGATGACGAACTCGTTCTCTGCTGATCTGATCTTGAGCCGGACGGTCTAGACGACGAGCTGGGTCGCTGTTGGGATGATGATGGCCTGGCAGAGCTTGACATTGTATTCAAGACATAGGAGTGTCAGAGATTAGGAAACACACGTCGAGGACGTTGGGTCAGACAGCTTAGTACTCGCGGTCAGAATGCGGGAGAAAGGAGGACGGATGAAGGGAACAAACACCAAGGGGAGTGAAATACGGAAACCCACAATGCCCTTCAAGTCAGACATCCCAAGCATTTACTTGTATATTTAGTCCAGAGGCGCTTGTGAAATCGTCGGTAGTTCGAGACCAAGTCTCGACTCTGATCCATCTGTCGATCCCATAGTGGGAAGAGAAGCAAACGGAAGACAGATGGAGGTTTCAGGCGGTACATAAGTAAACCACCTCCACCTCCACATTCCAAGTCCGCGTTCAACTTTTTTCTCTGTTCGCTCGTCTCACTAAACTTGTTCAACTACGGACCAACTCAGTCAGCTCTGCCATCATGCTTCGTCAACCAGGGACACAGATCAAGTAAGCTGTCCAGCTGTCACTATGTCTCCTCATCCCAGCTGACTTCAGACTGACTAACGTCTCCATAGTGCGGATGAAGAAAGGTGGCAAGCGATTCGAAGTTCGTCCACGCTCCCTCTCTGCCACTCGCCCTGTGTTTAGCTCGAACTAACGTCCAGATTGCTTGCTATAAGAATAAAGTCAACGAGTTTCGGTCCGGCATGTTAGCTACATGTTTCCTCAATATTTCGCCGCTGACGCCGTAGAGAACATGACCTCAGCGAGGTGTTGCAAATCGAGCAGGTCTTCTCAAACGTTCCTAAAGGGCTCGTGGCAAAGAAGGAAGATTGGGAGAAGGCGTTTGGGACAGCGGATTTGACGAAGGTCATTGCTGAGGTATGTCCTATCTGTCCTAGCCGTCTCACCCCGCCCTTCTTAGATCTCAACGAAAAAGGTAGCCGGTCTGATGAACAGATCCTTCAAAAAGGCGAACTACAAGTGAACAACCTCGAACGTTCTCATCAATTATCATCACTCAATAGAGAGATAGCTACCCTCGTATCGGAGATGACAATTGATCCCACTACTTCCCGGAAACATACCGTTTCCATCATCGAAAAAGCAATGTCGGATCTTGGATTTTCAGTCAAACAGGATAAACCCGCCAAAGCACAAGCTCTGGATCTGATCAAACGTTTACAGACCGATGGCATTCTTCCTATACGAAGAGTGAGGATGAGGGTAAGGGTCGTTCTTCCCGGCAAGGGAGGAGCCAAAGACAAGATCAAAGAGATGGTGGAGGAGGTCGAAGAGGAAGAACAAGGGCAAGAATGGGAAGCAGTGAATTACCAACATTACCCATTGGGAGTAACTAGCAGAGCTAATGAAGTAGATCGTGCAGATAGAACCCGGCGCCTTCCGGAAATTGACAGATTTGGTGATTAACGAGACCAAGGGCAAGGGAAGGGTTGAGAGTATGGGTGGAGTAGAGGCATGAACCCAGTCATCGTGAGTCTTTTCTCACAGCTAGACGATGCATTGTACTGATTTGTTGGACGCTCTCGATATCCTACATGTCTATCTGTGCATCTTGAGATTTAAGAAACCCTTTGTTGTACTTTCGCATTCTATGCATGATTCATGGTGTCGAGGTGACACATAGCTCGGAGATAAGGTCCATATACGCCTTACCGCCGAAATCGCCACAAGTGAACTCACTTCGGGAATAGCTTGTCCGGTCACTCTCCTCTTCCCAGCGGTCTATCCTATCTATCTCCTCAGCAAGCCATGTCCTACCAGAACAAAATCCTTCGCACTGCGAACGCCCCTCTCACCGCTCCTTCAGACATAGAGCAGCAGATCGCTCAGGCGCTGCTTGACCTCGAGACCAATGTTCCCGACCTCAAAACTGAGCTCCGCGCTCTTCAAATCTCTGCTGCTCGCGAGGTCGATGTGAAGGGAGGTAAAAAAGCCGTGGTCATCTTCGTACCCGTTCCTATGATCCGGGCATTCCACACCGTCCAACAGAGGTGAGTTTTATTGCTTTTCGCTTGGTGTCGGTGGTATTATCACCTCATTGCGACCCGGAGTGCGGGAACATTGGCGGTGGACCCTCGCACCTGATGAACGGTATCGCCGAGGTTGACGGCGGGACTTTTCAGGCCTGCCTCCCTCTGCTGTGCTGGCGTCAGGTGTGAGTGATGAGGGTCTGGAGGAGCAAGGGATGGGAGATCAGAGCACAGTCGCTGACACAGTCTTTCTCATTCAACTTACATCCTTCTCACTCGTTAAATTCGTCCGTCGTGATCATTCCACCCGCCCAGGCTCACTCGTGAACTCGAGAAGAAGCTCTCCGACCGATACATCGTCTTCCTCTCCCAACGTCGTGTCCTCCCCAAGCCCAAGCGTAACTCCGTGTCTGCCCAAAAGCAAAAACGTCCCCGTTCCCGTACTCTCACCGCTGTCCACGAGAAGATGCTCGAGGAGATGGTCTGGCCATCAGAGATCACTGGGAAGAGGACGCGTGTGGCCCAGGATGGTAGCAAGTTGATCCGAGTGTGAGTACAGTTTTCGGCCTGTTTCCGTTCCCTTCTCTTAGTCTCGGCCCTGTATTCGTCCTCCTTTTCCGAACCACTCATCCTATCGTTCCTGTCACAGAATCCCACCAATATATGTGAATTGATGATGCAACAATACAAGGGTGCCAAGCTGACGGGATAGCTATCTCGACCCCAAAGAACAAAACTTGCTGGAGTACAAGCTTGACACTTTCTCCTCTGTTTACAGGGTGCTCGCTGGCAAGGATGTCACCTTTGAGTGAGCTTTGTTTGCTTCTTTGTGAGGAGTGTAGCTCATTTTCAGATTCCCGATCAATTCCGCGGAGTGATACATTGTTCATGCATTGATACGACATTACCGTCCGGTCATGCTCACCCGCGCGCACTCCTTATTCACTAATGAACATCCTTTCACCAATCTCTGACGTGATACTCCTTTCCTATCTCATCCCAGGCTCCCTACTCTGCTCAAACACTGACCGCGTTTGTGATTTCCTCATAATCGGCGTGAGACTAGCATTTCCTACCCGACCATTCAGAACTCAACATTCCACCACAATCCTGACCCCTCACGACTTTAACGCTTCTCACAATCCCAACCTAGACTCTATACAGCTCTCACCATGTCGTCGTCTGACAAGAAACCCAAGAAGCCCACTTTCTCCTTCGGACCGCTGGAGCAGGCCATCATGGTTCTCGTGGCCATGGGCTTTGGTCAGTGGTTTCATTTCTGATCTTTTTCCCAGACCGTTGGTCTCCGTGTCATTGGTTGCCGATCCTATACTGACTCTCGCAGCTGCCAACCCATCTCTCCCTTACGCAGTGATTAACATGACGTCTGCCGGCGGTCTCCCCCTCCTCTCACCACCATTTATCATGCTCGTCATTATCGCTTACGCTGGGTATCATATCTTACTCCGTCAGGAATTCATTCGATCCAAAACCAAACCCAAGTCATCGTCCTCCAGTTCATCTTCATCCTCTCGCCCGCCAGGAGGCTCCAGCTCTAGTTCCGGAGGGTCAAGTAAACCTCCAACGACCTCGGCAGACGTACGCAAAGGTGGTGCTCCACCGACTTCGTCTTCGGGAAGAGTAGGCGATCCTAATCCGAAACTCGTGAGTGGGGGAAGTGGGGGAGATCCAAGGACCAACCCGAGTCATAAGGATTTCAAGCAGAACTACTTCTTGACGATGCAGGGTGAGTGCAGTTTCTCAATTCGTATTCATACTCTTCAACCTTGTCATATTCCCATTTCCTACTTAGGCTTCTGGCACGTCTTGAGACACCAAACCTCACTCTCAATGAGACTTCAGTTGTACGACAATGTTTGCCGGTTATGAGGAGTTCCGCTGACGTTGTAAGGACCGGGGAGACCAGCACTCGTCCCTTTCCAAGCAGGTCTCCGCCCTCCTCCGGGATCTCCAGAGGGGACCCTGTGGTTCAACAATGTCCCAGATGGTGAGGTATTGGCCTTGCCCCCACGCACCACTAGTCTCACGTTTCTATCTCGTGTGATATCTGGTGACTAATCTACTGCTCACATGGGCTTTCTTCGTATGACAACAGTAAAAGCAATCCCTCATTGGAACGCGATATGAGCGCTTGGCTTTCATGTCGTGAAGCTTAAGCGTCGCTGACAAATAGACGCGGCGGATCTGATGGCCCCACCGGTCGATCCCGACAAGGTCAGATCACTAACTAAGAATCCATGGGCTGGTGAAATGATCGAGAAGGAAATTGAGCTTTACAAACTCAAGAAGCGGAAGATAGAGGAGCAAGAGTAAGTAAAGCCCAACATTTCCTCGCCCTGCTTCACAAGTCACCCCTATACCGTGTTTCATATTTGTCAAGCAATACTGAAAATTTATTCGGAGCTGATCGTAAATAGGAGATACGAGAAAGTCGGTAATGTTCTTCAAAGTATCCTCGGTCTCATGTTGTGTTTGGTAGACATGCGTCTTGGGTTAGGTACGTTGTCTCTTACTTCCTTTCTCTTTGCTCGTCCAACCTCGCTTATATGGTTCCCTCACGGAAATGTATATTCCACAAAGTGCGAGAGGGTGGAACCAAATATTCTTCGCAGACGAGATCAAGAACTACGATTTGTACAAAAACGGGAAAGAGAGAAAATTGACTTGCAGCTTCCATCGTGTTCTTCCTCTGGCGTCATTTCACCGGTTTACATACTCAAGAAGGTATCGACCTGGAGAAAGAACTTCAAAAAGAGAAAGAAGCACTTCAGAAGATGATGTCCGAAGGCAAGAAGAGTGGATCATTGTCAAAAAACCAATTGCAAGACATTCAAATGAAGCTTTCGAGATTATGATATGTGAACCAACACTCATTTGCTTTTTCTCATTCACGTACACTGAGTTCGAGAATGACATGCATGAGTGAAATTCTTTGTCTTTTGTACTCTGACTAAGGAAAGATTTTGACATCCATCCGCAAGGATAAGATCAACGTGTTGAGACTGGAGCATCATCTCCTCTAATCCAAGACCACGCTCGGAGAGCAGCAGGCGGATTGGGGTGTACTTGTAAGACCCTTCTCTGTGGTTGTAAGTCCATACTCCCCATCCTCATCCTCAGCAACGTCTGCCTGTTCCGTCCACACACTGAGTCATCTCGAAGCGACGCTGATCGGGATGACAATCTCTCTCAAAATGCCGTGGGCGTGTAAATGTAATGGGCACGGAAGAAAAGCATAAAATGGACTTACGGGAGGTACTTTGTCCGGGAAAGTAGTACTGAAAGTAGGTAAACTCCCTTTGTTCAAATAGACCTCCTGATCTGCCCCCATCGTTGGAAAAGGATCATCAGGTATTTCTTGATGTTTTAAGTATTCTGCTAGACCATGACCATAAGATGTTCGTCTCCAACATGCCAAAACGACAGATAAGATGGTCAGAGCTACTCCGAGAGCTGAAAGAGCACCGAAGAAGGCCCAGGTGGTGATCATCAACCTAAATGCCGAGTTGGCGAATGATGCAGACCATCCTGCGATGAATCTGGGGTAAGTTTACCATGATCTATACATTCCCTCCCCCTCCCCCCTGGTTTCAAAAAGTATCGATATTGAGAATGTGAAGAGGGATCGGTGGAGATCATTGTACCACCCTCTGGAGGGATGGAGAGATGAAAACACTTGCCCCAATATTCAGGCTTTCAATAAACAGAGAGAAGGAGATCGAGAAGACTCACAATGCTGAAAAAGCGAGGAAAGCAAGGAATTGTCGACGTGATTCCGTTCTTGATGATTTCCATCCGAGGTAGGTCCATGGAATCAGGGACTGTGATGAGTTTTGCTATATTGGATTTCAAACGGGTGAAGACTCACGAAAAGCATTAAAGCGTATATCCCTTCAAATGTTTTACAAGTTCCCGAATGCATGTAATAATGCGCCACCCCTTTAGTCATCTACTCATCAATAATTTTCTCTCTCACAAATCGTGTGTTTTACCATACTTCAATGTGACAAAACCCAAAAGCTCGAAAGACCACTAATAGTGATGAAAGAAGAGAGACCTACCTGATCTATCCATAAAGCGAAAAACACAACCAGTAGATAAACGTCCAATTGCAAAACAATGCTCAACACCATGACTAAACGATAAATCTTATTAATCTTCTCGCTAGCTCCTATCCTTTGAAAAGTCTGCCAACCAAAATGATCCCTCAATTTCCAACACAAAATCGCACTTCCGACCAAAGTCACTGAGTTGATGACTAACATAGCGATTGAAACTGATATCCTACTCGTGACATAACTAGGAATGACGTTCAAACCCTCACAACTCTGAGTCATGGTTTCTTGAAAAGAAGAGCGGAATGAGAGAGATAAGGAGAGGTTGACAGCTGTCCACGTAGTTGAAAGAGTCAAAGAGATGAGTAAAGCGATGAGATGTGAGGTGGATTCAGTCACTAGCTATTTCCGTCAGTATTTTTTTTTATTTGATGAAGAAAGAGAAAGATTGACTGCTACTATAGCTAGACCAAGGATCCAGAGGAAAAATCCTGATAAGGTTATGTCGGTTCGTACTGTGTTGTCCAGACTATCGATGAGCTCTGTTAGATGGGTGACATGGGTGGGTGTGGATAGACCTACGAATTGACTGGCCAGCCCATGGAAGCGGCACATTGTTCAGTTATGACTTGATCCCCCGAATTTAATCCGCTCACATTGACGCCTAACACAGTTCCTGAAGGGTCTTTGATGGAGGTCAGTGTGATAGCGTTTTGGACTAGAGGTTTATTCCCATCTCGAATGAACAAACTCTTATGCGAAAGTCGTTCAATGGAAGATCGGAGCCGCTCTGAGAACGCTGCACCGGCATCTTTAGAACCGTTCTGAGATAGAAGATGAAGTAGTGATCTTTGGGATGCAGAGTCTCGTCGGGTCGGATGTTCGTCGTTCTTGTCGGTCAATTGATTGTCTTCCAATCTACGATCTCGGTCATGTAGATGATGAAGCTGCTGGAGCTTAACATCATCGTTATCCTGATCATCTTCATCTTCGTCTTCTTCTTCTTCTTCGTCGTCGTCGTCGTCTTCGTCATTATCGTCATCTTCTTCGACGTTATTCACACTTCCCGGGAAGATTCCATTTTCGGTGGAAGGCACTGCAACACCTGCCTCTACCTCCGCTGGCGTCCCGATCTGGGCTGAGACTGGGCTGGTAAATAAGGACGTCGGCGACGTCAAGGAGCCGGTCCCAGTCGGACTTTCCTTCGAGATCCCAGCCTCTACAACTGGCGTAGCTATAACAATCACCGTTGTAGTGGTTACTCCTGTTTTCTCACTCGTCGTTGTATGGCTGTTACCGTTATGGGTCCGCCCCGTCGAAGTGGTAGATTGTAACGATGCCGAAGTATTCTGATGGTGTACTTTTTGACCTCCCAGTAGATGACAATGATGACCATTCTCGTCACAAACTTCCATACCACCATAAGCATCATATTTACTCCCATCCGTGTCATTGGCCAACATCACTACAACAGCCGGTGCTGTTTTCCAATCGCCCACTTTTCCTGACGACGGATTACGAAAGACCAGGTTGGTGAGATTTGCTTCTTGGACGATATGTCGGAGTAGATGAGAGGTTTCTTGAGCTGATTGTGCGGAGAAAGCTGAAAGACCGGTCAAAGTTGCGCACATGGTCAAATGAAGGATGAAGAATAGTATGATACCTGGATGGGAGAGAGTATTCTATCTAATCAGCTAGACAGTGAGGATGAAAGAGGACTGACAGAGAGACTGAGTCTGACTCGGCCCAACAGAGCCCTTTGAGGTGACATTCCGACCTGCGGTATACCGTCCTGCGGTATTGTTGAAGAGAATTGGAGGGAAGAGAAGGTATGATCGACCTAAGATTGAGAAGCATTTGAGAAAAGTGGTGTAAGTCTGAGTTTTGACATAGGGCCAGAGAGCAGAATGCTTGACTACCAGGTTGTCAAGGCCAAGAATTTGAGACGAAACGGATCCTGATCACTGGCCACTGGACTGGTCAATTCGATAAGAGGCTAGGTCAGTATGCTCAGTGTGGTCAGTGAGATACTTGATCATCATGTCGTATGAGGGAGATGAGAAGTGATAAGGAAAGAAGAGTGTAGGGATCGGATCTTATATGCAGTCAACGTTGCAGTTGTCATCCGTCATTGAACATATCTCCTCATATCTTTCATACCTTCCCAACAAGACACCCTCAGCCCGCATGTTTTCGGACTTTGCAGTAGTGCTGGGACACAACGATGACAACAGACAACTGCATATCCTGTCTGGCGACTTCCAAGACGGCTAGTGTCGACCAGTCTAGTATAGCCCACCTCCGCCTGGATCCGATATGGTATCAGTCACCTCGCTACTTATCAGATGGACTCTCACGATCGACTCGAGCTTCACCGGACGAGGTCTAACTGTCCCTGTTGACGGTGTGAACGAGTCTACGAAGAGGATCCCCTGCCCCATCTCACTATGTCCTCAACCTTTAGAGACTTACAACCCTCCGTCCACCTGATTATCCGATTTATCGACGTCTGCTATTTGAGATGAAACGTTGGCCCTCAATCTTTCCAAGTGAAGTGGCCTGCATGATGAATGACACCAGATAAGAATATGGTATGTACGACTACTTATCTCAAACTCTCCTCACCGAACGCCTAGACGACCTGCTCCGAATTGCAGAATTCGCTGACGATTACAGCTAGCCTTCGCCCACTCTAGTACTCTGAACACACCTCATCACGCCATCGCCTCTCCTCCTTTGGATGTCCGCTAAGAAGACTCATTATCTAAGCAAGACCTTGCGCGACCGTCAAGAAATGAAAGGAGACACACGAAACATTGGCGATTTTGACACATGTGTCACAGAGCATCGGAGGAAGAAGCTATATCAAAACTCATTTAAATATCATATCCTCTCTCCATATCTCCCTCCGTACTCGCGCATCTCGTTACCAACGTCCCTCTGACTGAACCTACCTATCTGGCCTCAAATACTTCTTCTCCGCAAGCCCGAACATGCCTCGCCCTATCACACATCTTTCTCGCCTCCTCAACGCCGGTAGCAGAGTGACCAATAATCGAACTGGCCATCCTGCTTCGTCTCGATCCAGGGGCCCACCTGTTGACTTGCCCCCTCCTTACCCTGAATTCGCAATCAAAGACACGGATCCTGTCCCTGCATATTATCCTAGTGAAGATCCAGAAGCTTGGTCCGCGCCTACGAATATGCCCCAAACCTTGCCGCTATGGACCCTCGCCAATCTGCAAGAGGCTGTATCGACCTTCGTGTCTCCGGGAGGATCCATAGAACTACCTATCTCGCACACAGCCGAGCATCACTATCAGCTTTCGGGGTCTATCAACTGGTATGTCTCTGACATGATAACCTCAAGCCAAACTCCACTAGCTATGCTGAGTGGTGAGGTGTTGGCCGCAACTTTGGCGGATCTCACCTATTCGGATACGACAAACATCAACACTGACATTAGCGCGGAGGACGCCAAGTCACGATCTAGATTAAGAGAACGAGGTGTGGAGAGTTGGACAGAGGAAACTCCTCGTGTATGCGAGAGACTGAGGGTCTCTTTCGATCGCGTCATGTCCGGCGGCGAGCGCTGGCCAGGTAGAGTGGGGGAGGTTATGTGTGATCAGTCGGCGTGTGAAATACCTGTGGGCGATAGTATAATAATGTTATACTTTGAACCTCCATTGGCGGAGAGCGAAGTGCAAAGCTTCCGTACCGCCCAGAGGAATCCGAGGCCTCCGGAAAGCAGAATCTGGAACGATGACGAAGACGACTAGCGACAACAACTCTTATCAATCACCCGGTACCAACAGGACATGGTGGACTTTTCAAACCGGTGGGGGTGGGATAGGAAGATCGCGAGGAATGTGTTTCGGTCGGAGAGCAGCAATATGCAACTACAGATAATGAATGAGCTTCCATATTGGTTTGACGCCATCGTCTATATGCTCGCCTCCTCGTAAGCAGTAATACTGTTGTCCTCGCTCCTTCTCCCCCCTTTCCTTGTCCCATTTTGCCCACTCCATTGTCTGAAGGCCATACAATTCCCCTGAAATACGTTTTTAAACGCCATCGTTGGCTGAAAGGAGGGAATCACATCATCCGTAAGCGGACATGGCTATCCCTCTCTTCTCGATCGAATTCCTTATCTACTCCTGGCTCAACGACATAATCTCAACACTCGCGCTTCACTTCACACACCTCCACTATCTGCAACTACTACTATTACCACCATCTTGATCCAACAGCATGCCTTGGAAGCTGTCTCCCACAGCTCAGATGACTCTCAGATCCCGAAAGAGGCGGAGTACCGGACAAGGCAGCAACAACAACTATCCTTATCCTGTGGTAGATGAATCCAGTCAGTACTCGTCCGCCACATTGATCCCTCAAGACGTTGGCTTAGCAACGGGTAGCTCAAGTCAGGCGACCCTGGTTCAGCCAGTCGAACCTCCTCTCAGTAGTAACGACGAGTCGATTGTCGAATATGAACATCCGGCGCTTCCAATATGGTCTCTTGCTGAATTGCAGTACAATGACAACGAAAACATTGACCATCGAGGAAGTTTTCTTCTGCCCATAGAAAGAACCAAAGACTCCAATACCTACTCACTGTCGGGAACTATTCTTTGGACTAATGGAGCGCGCTTGAGGTTTGCACAGGACTCAAGGGCCGCGCTCAGTGCTGAGGTTTTGGCCACAACACTGGCCGCATTCACCTTTGCTGATCCGATGGGAAGCAATCCTATATCAAAGGAGTACGCACAAGAGTATCGCCGAATCAATCACAGTGAGGATTGGTCTGAATTTGCACCAAGAGTCGAGGAAAGATTCTACGGGGCTTTTTTCAGCGTGATAAGGGATGGCTCAGCATGGCCTGGAAGGATTGCCGAGGTGCAGTGTCACACTTGGGGCTGTACAGTACCGCTGGGAACCACGAGGATCACATTGATCTTTCAACCCGGCATGTCTATGGCGGAAGTTGAGAGATTCGGTCGTATACAGAGGGAGACGGTTTCTCCGGTAGGAATGATTTGTGATAATGAGGAGGAGGTGCTGGTTATCTATTGACCGCGGAGATTGTCTGAGAACATCAGTGCGCCAGGAAGGTACATGTGGTAGGGAGGAGAAGGCGAGGTCTGACACAGTGTAAATACAAGTACTAACTATCATGAATGACGTGGTGGCCGACGTGAGCTGCCTGTCGATTGGGTCCCGACTGTCATCTTTCTGACATGCAAATTTCATACGCATAATTTCCACTCACCGGCAGGGTACGACGAAAACTGCTTAAAGCACGTAGATAATGGACAGGCGGGGGAAACACGTAAACCCCTCTATCGTTCAAGTGTGATACTCCCCTTTCGCTTCTACACCTTGCCTCAGTCTTCAAACCCGTTTCACATGTCACTACCATTGATAGACGAAAAATCACGTCACTTGAGGATGAAAAGGAGATACAAACGTCGATTGCCAAATGTTCATCTGAGTATGAAAGTAAATGGTTCCAAGTCCTAAGTCTCACTTTGCCCGCCAGCCAATACTAATCATCCAGGTTCGCACTAAATAACCCTCCAACATCAGTTTATTCCTCCATCTCCAACAAACTACCAACACTAGCTACATTTGTCCAACTCTGAACCAACTTGAAAGTCTGGAAAATATCAAACATGTCCCGCCTACAACAACTCATCCCGAGTTTCAAGCGCGGAAAACATAAAAAGAGGACCTCGAAGACAGGCAGTACTCACTCCTACATCCCGAAGCCTTCTTCTTATCAGGACAACAGCAGTCTTAGTAATGCCCCTCTGATTGGGCCTAGTCATTTGAATGACAGGTCGGAGGATCTTGGATCAACGAACTTTGGTGACAACTTCCAGTGGGAAATTGTTTCAGACAATCCAGAAGTCTATGTCGAGTTCGATGAGGGAACAGAGACGCCATTCGAACACCGGGATTTGACTCCCTCTTCGTATGCTTCGTGGACGGTCGTGACATTAAGAGACAAGTACAACTGTCACGAACTACGTCGTGACACCTCGATTACTCCACCAACAATGACCCTCCTTTGGCCATCAAAACCCCATCACGCCTTAACCTCTTTACTCTACACGTAACTCAGGACTTCTGACACCAAGTACGGCGAAGTTAGACGGAGTTAGGCTAAGTAGGGACAATGGGAGCAGAAGTACGGCGAAGTTAGACGGAGTTAGGCTAAGTAGGAACAATGGGAGCAGAAGTACGGCGAAGTTAGACGGGGTTAGGCTAAGTAGGGACAATGGGAGCAGAAGTGCGGCGATGTTAGGCGGAGTTAGGCTAAGTAGGGACAATGGGAGCAGAAGTGCGGCGATGTTAGGCGGAGTTAGTCGAAGGAGGAAGAGGATGGCCGAGGGCTCGGGGAAGTTGGACGAAGTGCGTTGAAGTACGTCAAAGCGCGAGAGGGTTGGATGAACGTCTAGGAGGAGTAGATAATATTAGCTGAGAAGATCGCTGAAGTTCTTCAGCGATCCTTGATTGTTGTCAGTAGTGAAAGACAGATAGAGATAGCTATAAATCAAGATACATCGCCATCAGTAGAACAAAACCCTAGTTAGAGTAACTACGCCGAAGTACGCCGTAGTTACACCCCTTTCGACGTCTGCGCCCTCCTGGTTGGGTGAGACATCGACTCAGAGTGTGAAGTTAGCCGAGGTTCGTCGACCGTCGGTCTATTAAGAAATAGTTGTTCGACGGCCGTGACAACAACCATCTAGAGAATATGCTCGGATTTGGTACCTTCCTACTTGACATCCGAGATTTGAGCGACCTACGGCCCAATTACTATTATCTGGATACCGAGATCTACAAGACACTTCCTAACTGGAGCCTTTTAGTCCCACCAGCCGCCACATCAGCAGAAGCAGCCATCAGTGGAGAGGTATGGGCGGCTACATTGGCTAACTTTACTCATAGTGACGCTGAATCCACCAATATCCGACCTATCATAAGAGAAGAAGGTGAATCACAAGATGAATGGAATCACCGCAATTTGCATCCAGAAGATCATTGGACAAGTGAAAACCCGTGTGTCGTCGAAAGACTGCAAAAGTCGTTCAAACAGGTACTGGATGGTGATGGGCGCTGGCCCGGAAGAGTAGCAGAGGTGGAATGCCATCAACAGTATTGTGAGGTCCCTCTTGGCAAAAGCACTATCAAATTCATCTTTGATCCTTGTCTCTCCTTGGATGAGGTTGGTAATTTTTACACTGCCCAGCACAACAAAGAGCCCCCGTCTACAGAGGGATTATATCCTGATGATGATGATTTATTTGAGGACTAATCATGAAGTTCATAGTGGAATGCATCTCTTGTCACACTGATATCCAAATGAGAAAGTGGTTAAAGTGGAAGTACAGGACTCCATTACCGAGAGGAAGTTGGACTAACTAGGGCTTTCATTTGAGATAGTAATTGACCAATCCAAGAAACATCTTTGGATTGTATGAAACGATCAACGTTGGAAGTAGGTAGTACGATCACATGTCCTCCTTATACAACAGCGGTAAACTCCGCTGGTAGTAGTACATAGCCAGATCATCACCTGTTGTCTCTTCATCACTCATAGGAAAGTGCTGAATGAGCAACAGGTAAGTACATGCATCACTCATAGGAAAGTGCTGAATGAGCAACAGGTGACGGATACGATAGATCCGTCGATCAAGTGTGTCATCAGATGACGCCATAGACTCTCCTTTTCATGACGTCGACGACTCGAGATCTGTCGTGATTTCCCCTCCTTTTGAACGCTAATCACGAATGTTTGACCTGTCCTCTCGAGTGGGCAATTGTGAATCTCCTTTTCTAATCCTTTGTCATTCTCTCACTTGTCAGGGAAGATGTCACACCATCCATAAAAAGGATCCCCCCTCGTTCTTACCACTGGTTGGGACGGATCTGAGATAAAAACATATGATACCCCAAGATTGAGACTTGACACTTCCCTCTCTAGATTGTTTTCTTCACAACAATTGCGTACAGCTTTTCTCTATCTGAACTATCATATCATCATACAATATCATGCCTCGGATTTTCTCCCGGTTCAAGCGTTCTCAAAAACCTGGAGGACCCAGTGATCTCACTTCTGAAATCACCACACGTGCATCCAATTTACAGGAGTCTGCACGGGATACAACTTTAGCACCTCCTACTGATACTTTGCCCATGACAACTGATGGGGACTCTCAAAGCCATAATTCGGATGAAATCACTTATCCCGATAATGGATCAATATACAACCGTCCATACTCTACACTACCATCTTGGAGTCTAGCAAAACTACAGAGAGATTATGAGCCGATAGATACATTCAATCGAAACAGATTGGGACCTCATTATCTACCAATTGTTGATGATATGGAGGGTCGTTATAACACTTATCGTCTTTTCACGGAAATACGCAGAACAAATTTAGGAAGAGCCAGTAAAGTCGCTTCTCTCAGTGGAGAAGTTTTAGCTGCAATGTTAGCAAATTTTACCTTCAGTGATGCCAATGGGACTCATACGGAAATATGGGTGGATGAAGAAGATGATTCAGCACTCAAAGAAAGAGAGCTTCATCCTGAAGATTTTTGGTCTTTTGATAATCGTGAAGAACGTGTTTTGATGAGGATGCAACGATCATTCGCTGGACTTCACAGAGGTAATGTCAGATGGCCAGGAAGAGTGAAAGAAGTTGAATGTTATGAAGATAAATGTGAAATACCTATGGAGGATAGTAGTATTACTTTTTGGTTTGAACCTTTCATGACTGGAGAAGAGGTGATGAAATTCCGTGCAGCTCAAAAAAGTGATAATCCTCCGGAACAGTATGTCAATGAAAGCTTTCCCAGTCAAGGGTTCAGTAGTAGTAACTGAGAAATTGTATGAGCAGGTGAGAATGGTACGACACATGCATGAGATGACAATACTACTACTACTACCACCACTCCTACTACTCCACATGTAATTGCCCAGGACATGTAGTGTAATTCCTTCCACCCGTCTGCTCCTTCCGTTTCCTTCTAGCACTTTCCTTTTCATAGAAATCCCCTTCCCCCCGCGGCTCCTCCACGTCCATAGAGTTGGAAGGAAGGGAGAAAGGCTTACTAGTGTTATTATACGGAATCCGCTTTGACTTGAATTACCTTACGTTGGAGGGGTCTGCTATTCTGATCTTCACACGTTTTACATTTTAAGCTCCTAAGAAGAGTCCTCGAATTGCCCTCTATTTACGATCTGACCTCACCTGTTCTGATCTCGTTTGAAATTTCAAGCATGTGCAGAGGTATCTCACAACTCCGACCACGCCTCACGTCATCGTTCAATAATACAAAGGTGAGAACGCACATGTTCATACATTCCGCTCCTGAGTCTCAACGTCACGGAGTCATCCACCACTTTCATCACCATCATCTCCTTTTCCACTCACAACATATCCTTACTTTTAACATGGCTTCCTTAAATAGTGAATCAGAAATCTTAGCTCATTTTTTAAGTCCTATTCCTCCTTCTATCACATTATCATCTCATCCTCTTTCAGAAAATGACCACACAGAATCAGATATCCAAAGTGAAGAACTCTCTTCCGATATCCATGAACCTTCTCCTCTTCCTACCGAGGTAATCTGGGATATCCCAGATCAAACAATTGATGAAGAAGGAGCTTCATATGATCCGTCTGAAAGACAATGGGGTTATAATCAGTTCGAAACTTGGTCTCTTCCCAAAATCCGAGAATCGTTCACTAACCCCAACGTTAGATATTATATCCGGACATATGATATGACGGAAGAAATTTGTCAATCTTATCTCATCTATAGGAGTCTTTATGCCAACGTAAAGATTCTTCGAATCCGGGTGGAACGGTTGCATTGTTTGGTGGAGATGTGTTGGCAGCTATTTTGGCTGACTTCACTTCCAGACATACGGGCAGGACATTCACACAGTCTGCAGAAGATGGCAGAATGTGGATTGAGGAATTTGAAGGGAAAAAGGCTAGGATGTCAGTGACGACGGAGTTACAAGAAGCTTACGAACATGTTTTAAAAGGTACTTCACGATGGCCAGGGAGGATAGCAGAAGTGACGTGTCAGAGTTGGTCTTGTGCAGTACCTATCGGAAATTCCTACATCCTGTTGGATTTCACGGATGCTTTTTCTGAAGAGGAGCTGGATAAATTCTATGCGGCTCAAAATAGTGTTACCCCTCCCCAATAGTGAAAGTGAGTCAAGTTAGACAAGCACGTGTCGGAGGTTGATTGTAGCGAAAGAAAGAAAGACGAAAAGATCTATTATCTGTGCATGAGATGTCCTGAATGCAATGATTACTTTAGTCCTTATCTGGCACACGTGGTCCAGACTCGGATTCCTCACCGTCTTTTCCTTCTCTCTCCTTCTCCCCATCTGCCTGTATTGGATCCTCCAGTTCGTCTTGGCTCTGATCAAGATTTTCTACCTCCCCCTCCTGCGTCTCGTCGAGTCTGTCCCCACCAACCAACTTCGATGGTACAGCAGGAGCTTTGTCGGTCTCCTTGGGCGGAGTGGCTGGCCCTGTGTCCACTTGCTCCTCTCTAACATCAAGCACTTCACTTGTCTCTTCTTGCGTCTGGCCAGTTTGTTCTCCTCGATCGGGCGGATCTGGAGGGTTCGCCGGTTCCGTGGTTTCGACCTGCTCCACCGGATCTAGTGGCTGTGAGTCCTCCTTGGACACTTGCGATGTCTCGCCATTCACAACAACCGGTGTTTCCTCTGGTAAGTCTGGTGGGTCCTCCAAAGCGTGCTCTTCATCCTCGCCAGGATCGACAATTGACTCTTCCTTCTCAAGAGACGCAGGGGCAGGCTTCACACTGCTCGATCCTCTTCGCCGTAATAGACCCGCCATGGTTTGCGACATCTTCCGAGGTGTAGGTTTATCTTTGACGAGTGTTTCGAGGATGGTAACGGTTTTATCGGTCGAACAGAGTGGGGAGAGACGTTGTGTGATGAGGGTAGCATCCTGCAACATCCTGTCTGTCAGAATTCTGCGCAAAATGAAGGACGCCCATGACACGAAGGAGGACAAGACCTTTACAAAAAAGAGGTTGATGGGTCGGAACAAGTAAAAATCAGATCAAGCACAGCATCAGGCTTGACTCACCGTCTCTTAGCTTCTTCGCTCTTCAACTCCACCTTCTTGTACTCCTCCCCGACCCGATATACGATAGCACCCAAGACTTCTGACATGACGCTCTCAACCGTTTGCGCGGGCAGATACTTCGACAAGACCTTGTGCAGTGTGGCAGTCTCCTTGACCAGTAGTTCGGCGTATAGACTAGGTCCATTTTTCTCCGAAGTCGACTCCCAGTCAATGTCCTGAAGATCAGCTGGACTGGCTAGCTTTGAACAGCTACAGGCTTCGCAGTCACTAGCAGGAATTCATAAAGGTTGAGAGGGGATCGTCGAGCGAAACGACTCACTCGAAGGGATGCACAATGCACTGCTAATCGGTCTGACATGATTGCAACCAATTTGGCATGAATCTCATTTTGATGTTCTTGGAAATCCTACTGATCAGCCAACGTCTTCCGGATACCACCAATCTTCATCGCTCGAGAAAGTCGCACAGAACGCCCACTGGCGAAGGGAAGAGACAGAATCCTTGTTCAAAGATACTTACCCGTTTGAGCTTATCAAATTCAGTCAACATGACCGCCTGCTTTGGGGACAAATGTCGTCTCACGAACTCCCGGATGTAAGGTATCAAAGCCACGACGACCGATAGAGATTGTGACGCCAAAGCTTTTTTCGTCAATGACGTTCAAGTTAGGGAAGACAGAAAGCACTAACCCAAATGCTTTGCTGTAATGTTCTTCAACCCTGCTGATCGCATCGCCCCTGCGCCCAACACTACTTGGCATGTTCTCGAATTGAAGGACTATTCATCAGGTTGGTTCTTGTCTAAGAGATATGAACTCACCTTGAGAAACTCAACAATACGAGACATGACGTCCGTCACCACCAACTCGAGGTTGATGACGATCTTCAGATAATCTTCCAGAAGCTCGAGAGTTTCCATCGTGGCTCTGACCACGAAGAAATTCCTTTCTTCGATACTGAGAGTTTTCTGTGGTCCGGCCGCACCATTCGTGATAGCCGGAGGAGGTGGGATGTTACATTCTGGAGGATCCGAGACTGCCGATTGGACCAGAAGATCAACAATATGTTGCAGTGATGGTGGAACATCGATCTGAGTCCACAATTCATCCTCTACCGACTTTGCAGATTTTGTTAAACGCACAGCGTGATATGCGACCAAAAAGGCTCGCGCTTGCGTCGCTGTCACACCTCTCAGAGGGACGATCATGCGTTTGGCCAGGGTTTCAGTGGCGAGGATGAATTCCCAGTTTATCTGAAATAGCTCGACGAATTCTTCGAGGGATAAAGAGGCATGTTGATCTGAGCGGGAGGCTAGGATTTTTGAGGCTCGAGCATTTGCCACTTCACAGCCGGCAGTCAGGATTTCGAGGGGGTGAAGGGAAGGCGTAGGGTTCGTTTTGAGGGAGGCAGTGACATCGAGTGTACGATTGGATATTGTCAGAGGGGAAAGAGAACTGGGAGAGTCAGTGACACTGAAAACGTTAGGAGAACTGAGGGTGGCGAGGAGGGGAGGGGGAAGAACTTTACGCACCATGTAGCCGTAAGGACCTCTTGAAGCAGCTCCCCCATGATTTGCACTCTCTCCAAGCGTGACAAGGATGCCGAGTTTATCTGCACGGTGAGGAGTAAGAAACGGTTGTGGTCCATCGTCTTAAGTGCTCCCACTAATGAAGTCCTATCTCAAATGAGCATCATTCGTTGGAGAAGCGCCGACATACCCTTTGATATCTATTTTACCATCCTCCCCTACTTCCTCGTCGGACTGTAGAAGGGGCAAATGCTATTCGCCGTCAGTCAAGTTATTTTCAGTTCGGTCCAGACATACCTTGCGTGAGGCATCGCGTATGGAAGTGATGACGACTTCTCGCCATAATTTTGACAGAGCTTCAGGGGTACCACACCGAACCAATCCGCCGATGAGCGGCTCCATACACATCTTGAACGCGTCTTTGTCAAATTCTGGGGTCTCTTCCACCGTAGACAGCATAGCCAGCAGCTGCGCTGTAAGGGCTGCTTCCAGCAGGACTGAGATTTGGGAGGTAATTTCTGATACAGTAGCGGGTAAGGTCGATAATGACGCCAACGATGACAGTGGTAAAGACTGAGAAACGGGCGGTGATGTAGATTTGACCTCGGTCGGTGACGGTAGGGATGACTGAAAATCTCCCTTCTCGCCAACGCCATGCCGCTCCCACCAGTTGACAATGTCCCCGATTTGATTCAAACCCGTCGCCCAGTCTCCATCGGCAACCACATTCCGGGCCCTATTCAGCATGTCGTTCAGGTCCCCAATCTGTTTCACATTTTGCTCCACCGTTCTCAGTATCCGCAACTCCTCCTGGGCGTCAATTATCTCCAAACCTTTTCTGGCTTGCTTGTCCCCCACTTCCCGCAGGGCCTCCTGCAGTTCCGCGATACGAGACAAACATGTGGACGATTCGGACTGCAGGTCTTGTAAATTGCTGAGTGCGGAGAAGAATGAAGCGGAGCGTTGGGTGATCTCGTGGACCAGATGGTTCTCCAAAACGTCGAGGTTGTCCGAAAACCGACTTTTGAGAGCTGGCCCAGCGTTTCCCACAACTTCTTCCCACGTGGAGGGCTTGCCGAGATCAAAGTCAGGGTCGAAGAAGAGCTCGGGCACAGAGGAGAGAGAGGGCAAGTCAGGTCTACCGGGTTGTTGAAGGTCATATTCACCCCCCGAAGAGGAAGATGATGATGCTTGGGCATTAATCAAGGTGTCATACAGAGGAGTCACGGTTTGCAGGTACGGGTCGTAGGCTGACGGTGGTGGTGGTTTGGGCAAAATCGGCGGGGGATCTCTCAGAGGGGGAAGGGGTTTGCGTGAACCACGAAGAGGGTTCGCCTTTTTAGTGGGATGATTCAAGACTGTGGATATGGCTAAGTAGTCAGCCAAGCTTCGTCAAGGGCAGGTTTGAAAAACGAACCATTAAAGCCTCGCTTGTTGATATCATCTTGGACGTTGAAATCTATGCCGAGTTTCCAAGACACCAGATTGAGAGACTTGGGATCTATTCTCGAATCGTCCCAGCCAAAGTCGAGAGCAGAGTGTTCCAGCACGCTTGCGGTCCCGTCGAGCTCTGAAAAGAACGATTCGGAAGGTGGAGGTGATGGGAGTGCGGGGGAGGCAGGTAGCGGAGGTCGAAAAGGTGAAGGGGAGCTGGACATGGTGTGATATGAGCGGTTCGAGTGTCGATCCAGATCGACTATATGGGGCAGATGTAAGGCAGTGGTGATAACATGGTGTGGAGGGGCGTTTTGACGGCGAGGAGAGCAGCGGCGACAGCCAAGGTCGCGTGGTTTGGAATATTCTTTTAGTAATTTTTATGAATTTATTTTCTAGGTTAAAGGACTTTAAAGTTTTGAGAGAGCGCGCTGTAAAATTCGGAACGCGACGTTGAACTTTTAACTCAGACCCAGTCCCCCCCAGTCTCTCTTATATTTCCTCCAATCTATCCTCGGAGTCATATACCATACGTTCACTATCCCAATCTATACTATACACCCTACATTACTGTAAAACGTGAGGTCACCATTCCTTGGCTTTTTTCGTTGTTTCGTCGCTGACCAGAGCTGACAAATTTAGATGTGCGGCATCTTAGGTCTCCTCCTTCATGATCCCTTAGCTACCCAGACCGCTCTTGCTGGTTCGGAGATGTGAGCCTTCTTCCCTGTCTCATATCACTGGCTATGCTGACTCTGTCTCAGTTGTGAAGGACTGTCTTTATTGCAACATCGGTACATTCCTCATCAGTCTACTGCTGATTATGACTGACTTGAAGTGGTCAAGATGCCGCCGGCATCGTCACATGCGGTTCTCACGGTCGATTCTATCAAGTAAAAGCGAACGGAATGGTTCGTGATGTGTTTGACGCACAAGGTCTCGCTGGTCTAAAAGGTTGGATGGGTGTCGGTCATGGTGGGTTTCCCTAGCTTTCATCTCTCCTCCCTCCACCGGGGAATAAAAAAAATTGATGACTGATGGGCATCAGTGCGATATCCTACCGCTGGTAGTTCTGCACATGCGGAAGCTCAGCCTTTTTATGTCAATTCACCATACGGTATTGTATTTGCCCACGTAAATTCGTTTCATAAATATTCGAATAGACGCTCATACGATAGAATGGAAATCTCATCAATATCCCGAATCTACGACAATTCCTTGATGCCGACGCACATAGACATATCAACACTGACTCTGACTCCGAGTTACTCCTCAATATACTCGCAAACAATCTACAAAAAACAGGTAAAATACGGTTAGCTCAACCTCAATTGAAAATTCAAAACCAAGCTGATATATGTAGAATTAACGAAGAAGATATTTTCACCGCCATCGGAGATTTAATGTCTCAATGCGTAGGCGCATACGCTTGCGTGGGTATGCTTGCTGGTTTTGGCCTCATAGCTTTCCGAGATCCCAATGGTATCCGTCCGGTCGGAATGGCAACCCGTGCTGGTGCCAGAGGAGGTACAGATTATCTCGTCGCTAGCGAGAGTGTAGTCGTGGGTGCATTGGGATTCAAACATTGGGAAGACATACAAGCTGGAGAAGCGGTCATTATCACTCGTCAAAAAGTTTGGAGGAGACAAGTGGCTCCTCCACGTATGTTCACACCGGACATTTTTGAATATGTCTATTTCGCTCGTCCAGATTCCACTCTGGATGGTATAAGTGTATATCGAAGTCGGATGGCCATGGGAGAGGCTTTGGGCGAAACTGCGCAACGTGAGCTGAAAAAAGCTGGTTTGGAAGTGGATGTGGTCATCCCTGTGCCAGATACGAGTCGGGTGGCAGCTTTACAATTGGCTCAACATCTGGGCCTTCCATACAGAGAGGGGTTCGTGAAGAATCGTTATGTAGGGCGAACGTTCATCATGCCTGGACAGAGTCAAAGGTGAGCGGTAGTCTCTCCTTTCGTCAATTTCGCTGACGTACTCTCAGACGCAAAAATGTGCGGAGAAAACTGAATGCTATGCCCATGGAGTTTGCGGGTAAGGTGGTCATGTTGGTCGACGGTGAGTTCACCTTTTTTCCCCTCCTCGTTTCAAACCCTGACCTGAATGAGGTTTCCTGCCACTCCCCATTCTCTTACGGGCCCGGCTGTGCGACAATCCGGATTGAGAGTGGGTGCAGCGAAGAGTTGGGAGAATTTTGATGCATGCTACTGAGATCGGAATACTCATTTCAGACTCTATCGTCCGAGGAACCACATCCGAAGAAATCGTCCAAATGGCCAAAGACGTAGGTGCCAAAAAAGTCGTCTTCGCCTCCTGCGCACCACCCATTAGATATTCCAACGTATACGGTATCGATATGCCCTCACCGCATGAACTGGTGGCTCATAATCGTACAACAGAAGAAGTGGCCCAACATATCGGTGCCGATTTAGTCATCTATCAAACCCTGGAAGATCTCGTTTGGTCATGCAGACAATTCAACCCTCGCATCGAGCATTTCGATTGTTCCGTATTTACTGGCGAGTATGTGACAGGAGGAGTCGATGAGAGATATTTGGAGCATCTGGAGAAGTTAAGGAATGATAAGGCCAAGTTGAAGAAGAGGTTGAGTATGATGGAAGAGATGGAAGTTTTAGCGGATTCATGTAATGGGCCAATGAGTGGGTTTAATCTTTCTCTTTACTCTTCTTACCCCCTTTCCGCCATCAAGTTCTTTCATAATTCGCTTTCTATCGTCTGCCCAATCTGCATCTCGTAGGCAGGAGTGGGGTCCGGGTGGAAAGAATGATAGCTAATTCATAGACGGCGCAGACTCTCTGATCGGATTATCAAATCATTCTCCTCAAATAGGAGCTACGGCGATGCCCTCACCGAACGATACGGTCGGGTTACATAACTCATGGTTCGGCTCATAACCTACTTTGCTCCGGCCAAAATGTCAAATGTCAAACGTGGAATACAGAGAAGGACAATGAGGATGTTGTGGATCAGGAAGGAATGTTGGATCGAGTAAGAAAGAGGAGGAGGGTCGTATCATATCTTGTCGTCTCATTGTATAGTCAGTGTCAATCTGCAGCTCGTTATCATCTCACCTCTCATGTTGACAGTGCTGCTCGAGGCAAGTATCAGACAGCATTCACCTAACGCTGTTTTCTTCGATGACTAATGTGAGGCTTCACACTTGTAATATGTGACATGGAAACCAGGACGACATTCCTCTCATGCATCATCATCTTCACTTGATTCCCGACGTAGGCAACACAAACTCAACGAGGACGCCTTCAGGCGTCAGGATAGCCATACCTTCATGGGTGTGGTATCATCACTGCGCTACTCATCATTGCTAAAGCCGTCCTTTGAGATTCTAACGACTGACCACTCCAAGAGGAGAGTGATTCACGTACTGAGCGCATCAGATCCTTCAGTCGCTCCAGACCCTTGTGAGCAGTCTCCGCCTGGCTGATCTCTGCACTCGCTCCTGCAGATATGGCAGGCTCTTTTGCCTGTTCTATGTTGATGAAGGCCAACAACTGTTCTTGAACCGTGGTCAACAATCCTGTGACCCTTAGGTTGTGTCCCTCTCCGCTCTCTTCGATCCAGCGTGCAGACTCCGCATGCAAGCTCCGCGCCTGCGAAAGTAAGTTCTGATTCTCAGACCTGTGAAGATCTACCGTCGCCTTGCTCGGAGCTTTGTCCTGCCGGCAAGACCCGAGCCGACCACCACTCGTCCGCGAGGTTGGAGCACCGACGACAGGAAACTTCGAAGGAGTCATCCGTCGTTTTCCGGGTGAGATCCCCAGTCTGATCGGAGAGCCTGTCAGGCGTAATCTCGTACCCACTCTTGGCATCTTCTTTCCCATCAAGTGTCTCTTGGTCAGAGCCGTACCCACTCTTGTCACTTCCTTTTTCTTTGACAGAGTAATCTAGGTAGCAGTTTCAGAGCTGGCAAGGGTGTTAGTATCGTAATCATCTGTAAATTCAGAGTCCATGTTGTTAGATGTGGTTTGGTTATTCCTCACTGGATCAGATATTTGCTATTACTAGAAGGGGGTGAAAGTCAACCCCCAGCTAGTCTCTATATGGCTCTCGAAGTGAAACGCGCCTTCGTCGGGTTTTGTGCACCGCCCAGAGACATCCTTTCATGGTTTATTTTTAGAGCGTAGTTAGTAGCGTATCGATCAGTTTCATGGCACCGCTTCTCTTACAAATCGCAAGAGAGAGCAGGTCATAGATGACGCGTGAGAGGGGGTTGCCGAAAACAGTGATGAAGGGTGTGAAAGCATCGCCTCTTGACCTAAATGAGGCGGTGTTGAGTTGTACCATGCTAGATTCTCCCAATACTGAGATAGTCAACAAGGTCATTCGTCACTTGCCTTGAGATGTCAGTAGGCCTCTTGATTGACTTCATATAAATTGCGTCGCTTCAGCCAGTGTTGTAGGGTAGAGAGGGTGCAGCATCCATCAGCTGAAGAGATTGAGAAGGTTGGTGCATCTATGCGAATTCGGGCACACACATTTCGCCAGGTCCAAGAGGCTGTCTGTCAGTCTGAAGTATTCGTCAAGCAGTATCGTACAGGGAACGACGTCGGTAGGGGTTGATAGAGGGGCACAGGAACGGGTGGAGACTCAGACGAAATTGGGAAATCGAAGTCACCTTGGAAGTCAACGCAGTGAGTCCCGCTGCGTTCTCCGAAGTCTTTCGACCAGTCTGAGGCCCCGGCTTGGGCTTTTCTCCTGTTGCAAGGGCGTCGAGAAGTTTGATAGTGGTTTCTGGAGTGAGGTCTTCATAGAAGTCATCCCCTATTTGCATCACTGAAATCAGCTCGGTTCCGTAAACGTTGATGACATATTCTGGGAACGTCAGAGCTCTAGCCTGTTGCCAGGAAGCCTGAGGATCCCCACCGCGAATACCTCCTATCTGGTGGAGGCACATTTCGTGAGATAAACTTACTAGGGGCATTGGAACAAGCTCCCAGACATTCCACTTCGATCAAAGTGAATTTTCCGTCTTTTGTTGTTTGCCCCGGAGAGATTTTGAGGTGATCTTGGATAGTGTGGAGGATTTTGCTTGAGCCGCATCCTCCTAATTGACAAGGAGTGGTGGTACAGAGTTGAAGAAAGTTTTCGGCTACGGGTTCACGGTTGTACATGGTGTAGAAGGTTGCGACCTGTGATATCAACTAAGAATACTGCTCGACTCACTACCGGTGATTCATGACTGTTGTTTCTGAGCTGAGGGAAGGAAGATGTGGAAGAATTGACCCACTTCATATACTCTCATCCGAGGCATCTCCAATAACTCAGCTACGGCATTCATCACACTGATACTCGTCCATCCCTTATTCTGTCTCTGGCCCAAGTCGAGAATCGGCATGACCGCTGCTTTTTTGTACTGAGGTGGATATCGAGAAATAATCTCTTTAGCACGTTTGAGGTTGTCAGGGGTGAAAGTGAAGGGGATCTGGCCGTCAGCATGCTTGCCCAAACACAAAAAGACCATGACGAACTGAAGGATTGTTATAGTCGGTATCGCGATGGACGAAGAGGGATTCCGACCTGCGAGAGCTGGAAGAAGTGAACGTTCTTCTTCCAGCGCCATATAGTGGACGTTGGATAGCAGACAAAGCTGATCGAGCCAGAGACATGGTGTTGGACAAGGTGGTAAGAAGTTGAGAAGGGGTTGCTGGTTGCTATGGCTGCGATCTGGTTGCTCATGTCCCCTCCTCGCATTATATTTTTAACCAGTTTATTCTATTTAATCCGGCGATTTGGACGGTCCGGGGCACCGACCGAAGTGTATCTCCATCGTGAGCGACTACTCTAGTTCTGTGTATACTGTAAGTTGCTCTTGATATCGATCACCTTAGTTGAACCGCTTGATACCTTCACTCTTCCCAAGGATCCAAGGAGCAAGGATCCGAAGTCTCTGTCATGCCTTTCTCATCCGGGTCCACAACGCGAGCCTTCAGAGCTCGATCTATCCCTCTTTTGACCGCATCGACCATCTCCTTCGCTGTCTACACATATCACTCGCAAGTCATACGCAACGATGCGGAAACACCCCTGTCGTATCCAACCAGAAAGCCATTATCACCTACAATCCCAATAAGCCCTTATACTCCCCTTGGCTGGGGCTCGAATCGGTATATGACCCTCGTACCCGATTCCGCCGTCACTATCCTTAAGAAACCTTCCCCGCTCCCACATTTAGGAGCGACACCACTTAGAGATTTGATCATCGCCGAGAAATACGGAGCATGCGTTGATGCTCGAGGAGATTGTTGGATGTGGGGAGTAGGATACGATCCATCAGGTCAACTTGGCAGATCACTCCAGGGCAAAGTGAGCTCATTCACAGAGGATTGAGGTTAAGCTGACGTATAGAAAATCCGCAAATTAGCTCCTGCACCATCTAAGCTGTATTGTCTCAGTACGAACGGAAACCTATACGTTGTCTCATCCTCCAGATCGTTTCAAGCACATCGACTGGACCGAACAGATCGATCTTGGTATTCTCGCTTTTGGCCTTTTGGCACCGATCCAGGAGTGGATTACGTTCAATTGAAACCTCAAGGTGGTCTCAGACGAGGTGAAAGATGGGAGAACCTCTCTGCCGGAACACATCATCTACTAGCAGTCACAAACAAAGGCAGAACATTTTCATTACCTATTTCTCCCGCAGGTAACTCACATCGTCAACTTGGTACTCGGCAAATCATTCACACACCTTTCCCAGTTCCCGCTTCTCTCTCTACCAGTGAAACACCACCCGACCTTCCACCAGAAGCCGATCCTAGGTTTGCCACCACTTTGACCGAAATCCCTTCTTTGACCGGAGTGAACATAGCTCAAGTGGTGGCGTCAGATCGAACATCGTTCGTTCGTACAACTGGAGGACGTGTTCTGGGATTCGGAGCTAATGAACTGGGACAAGTCGGTTTGGGATCAAATGCGATTGTGGACACGGTTCAGACACCAGTGGAAATCGTACTTGCACGGAATTATCCAGGAGGAACGCAGGTGAAATGTCTTGATGTTTATGCAGGTGGACAAACGACGTTTTTCGTGGTGGAGAGTACCAAGCCGGAAAAGGCACCTTTAATCGACTTGCTAGCTTGTGGGAATGGGATTAGCGGTGCTTTAGGGAACGGATTATGGAGTTCAGCAGTGGGTCAACCGGTTAGAGTTAAGACGTAAGTCTAACATCTCCTTTTCAGTCAAAGGGTCATTTACTGATATTTCAGAGTCAGCGGTTTACAAGAATGTAAGCCCGAATGTATTTAGAGAACTTAACGTTGACCTGTCAGTTTCCGAGAAAGCCAACGCGTTCCTTCCTTTAGCAATACATTCTATATCCGTTTCATCCTCTCCATGGGCGCATGCTGTAGCGGTGCTGGATACTGTTAGTCAGGCGGATGAGAAAGGCGTGAAAGCAGGTCGCTATGGGAAAGATGTCATGGTATGGGGTGGTAATTGTTGGTTTTCGATTTTACTCCTAATATCCTCTTGTTTTGATCATTCATTTCCCCATCTCTTCCTCTACCACCATCATCTTCCCCTCCTTTCTCACATAGTGCTTCGGGGCGTGAATGACTTCAGCGACGTACACTGCTGACTTTAAAGCCGATTATCAACTAGGAAACGGTAAACGCTCTAGTCTCGCCATACCCCAACATCTTCCTCCATTGATTTCCTCCTCAGCAGAAAGAGAGGATCTTTTAAGCACCCCTGAATCAGAACTTAATTCGGGATCGGTGAGATTTTTTTCAGGCAGAAGCGATGTCTGACAAGCTAATGAAATAGCTCACGCATATGCCGCATTTCAGATTACAGCTTCATCAAAGCAAAGCGGACGCATATGATTTGGAAGGAAAGTTGATCAAACGGAAGGTCAAATGTGAAGAAACGGTGGTGGCAGGTTACAACGCCAGTGTGTTATATAACAAGATCATTGACTAGGCGGGAATTGTTACCGAAAACATCAAGCGCTCACATTAACAGAATCATGCACATCATATGTCCCGTGAAGTGATCAGGTCATTTCGGATTCCCTGCATTAAATACACATGCTAATGACAATGTCACTTGCCGGCAATTAGGTGTAAAAGGAAGGCAAAAGACTACCTAGTACGTCCGGGTCCATTGTATTCGACCGGCCTGGGAAGGTTGCGAAATTCGTTCCACGGATCGGCAGATCCAGCGTCCCATACTCCGGTGTTATCGGTCTCTGCCCAGCATATGAACTCATATATCCACGCTGCTGGAGAGTTTGGTCGCGAATTGCCGAGGAGGTAGGAGGGAAGGACAATTGGGTATAGTGAGGTAAAACTTCTCCCCTTGGTCCGAAATCGATAATGTGTCCGGACAACGGGGGGTTATCTTGGGAGGGAGCGAACCTTGGAGTCGTCAGAGGCGAGGTTGTAGATTGTCCTTTGAAGCCGTGTAAATTCATCGGGATCATCGGAGTCATAGAAAAGGTGAGGGGATGTGGAGACGAGGAATTGTGTACACCCCTGTCGGAATCTCCCTTGATAGGTACTTGAACGGTATTCGGCGCTGAAGACTCTGCTATTGCAAACGAGCTAGATTCACCTGGTTCTTCTGAACCTGGATGAGTGCTTGGCGGCATAATGGTTTTCTTGCGAACCCGCGGAGCTCCCTGAGGGTGGAATGTTCTCTCATCTGCCGAGAGGCGCGGTTTTTTGCTACGCCTTCCAGATTTGGCTCCCGGGCTTCTGGACGGGCCGGTTTTCGTCTTTGTATTGCCAGCTGGCCACTTTTGGGTCTCCGTTACAATTAAATGGCAGGGCTCACCTGTACTTGCTCCCCCAACTGGCCCCAAATTCTCATGGTACCGATCGTTACTTATTGTTATCACCAATTTCCTGCTATACTGTTGGATCTCATCACTTCCCTCATTCCTCGTCACTCCGATTTCGACGTAGAACTCAGGAAAGATTGAGCTGACGAGCGCATTATCATCGTCCCAGCAAACCTGGTAGGCTTTGCCCATGGCATCACTGAGAGCATGTTGCAGCGTGACAGAATCCCCCCGTAGTTTGAGCATCTCATTGAACGCCAAAGGATCTTTCAAGTCGAATATGTCTTTCTCCCAGTCTTGTAGGCCCTTTTTGATTTCTTGAGCCAAAGCTTTGATGTGATCCTCGGAATTCCCCCGGAATACAGCTAATGTCAAAACGACTTCACCTTCATCGTTAGTGGCGGCGTCCATCGGGACACATTTCACAACTCCATTACGCGACGTTTGGGAGCCATTTGACCAGAGCTGTGCACTTGTGAGGACATTGCTGGTCACTCGAGCAAAGTTCGTCCGTGATCTCGTACTTGGAGGCATGTTGTCCTGTTTACGATCGATTTGTATTTGGAAGAGTAAACAGAACGAGTAAGAAGGTTGGAAAGAAAGCTGTGGGGGGCATGAGAACAAGTTCAGGATTCGGTTGGCGCTCGTGAATGGATGAGTGTCGCGATTCGTACATGAGTTCGAAAAAGTGAAGAACACAGATTGACAAAGGAGGAGAATTTGAATGATGTACTGTGGAGAGTTTGATTGAAAGTATTTGCGTGAGAGAGGCAATGCCGAAGGAGGAAGATGGATGAAATACCCCTGCGTTAGAATACGAAGTTGATGAAATCCGGGGAGTGAGGATCTGCTGAGACGTGACATTTTTTATAAATTAAGGTGAGAGGTAACTCTGTTGAGACGATACGATACGATACGAGGTGATGGTAGACAAGAGGAACGTTGCATGACAAAGTACATACCTTACATACACAACAACCGCCCTGACTACGTATTGTTTGTTCCTCGTTCCTAGCCACATAATTACGGTGTACATTCGAGAAGCGTAAAGATAACGGAAGCCCTACTGGGGATATGAATGGTCATTCCTCTCGATGACTACCCCGTGATTTCATTGAACCAATATGTGGGCTAGAAGCAGTCGAAGTCGTATCCGTTTCTGTTCGTAGATTCGGAAGCGGTCCCTAGAAAACCAAGGATCGATTGGACAAAATCATCGGTGCCGGTTGAAGTAGATGGAAGTGAGGTCATGGAATGGCTTTCGACAAGGTTGTGCCGTCGTTCGCTAATGATGATGTCAACCACATGGTACATGCCGTCCAAATGGGATTTCTGCGGTAAGTTTCTTGGCACATGCGTAAATGTGACCGACACTGTTTCCCTTGTCATCGTAATTGTCCCACTAAATCCAGGCGCGCGAAATTTCTGGTTGTAATCGTTGAAAATAATCACGAAGTCTTGGTACAGTGCCGCAAGGTGGGAGTGTGACATTCCGTTCATTGCTACGAAATGACTTTGTTGATTTGTCCACCTTGATCTCGATTTCATGTTCAGCAATGCGTCTCGCAATTGTGTCTGCAAAGGCTTCTCACCTTTTTCGGATCTCCCCTCCTTTCCAGTCCGTGGAAGGGTCAGCATAGCAGCGGAGAGCCCATAAGTGATTGTACCATTGCTGGGATCAGTTATAATCGAAGGAGATTCAAGAAGGTGCATGTTCAAGGGTGTCGGATCATTCGGATCTGTCTTTGCGATCGTACGTATTTTCTGAAATGCCATACTGATAGCCTCTGCTGGAGTACTGGGTATTTTCGACAAGGGGGTATGTACGTTGGAAGTGGGCGTGTCAGATTTCTGGACACGTTTTCGACGGCGCTTGGTCGGTGTCGGAAGTCTCCTGATCGGTCCATGACCTTCCGTGGTAATCGTCACAATAGCCAAACGATTGACTTCTCGGATTTCAGCGTTCTTGCCCAGTCGACCATCTCCCCTCACCATGACTGTCACCTTCCCATCTGATTTCGTGATACAGCTGTCGTCACCAGTCCAACACTCTTGATAAAACTCAATGAGGGCAGCCGGTAAGATCTCTTCCAGGCTCGTGGGGTCAAGTTCATCCATACTATCCAAAGGTGCAAAATGGACTTGTTTGTTGTCCCACAAGCTTGGCTTTTGTAGATCCCAAATGATTGTAACGCAGTGAATGAGTGAGGCCTCGGATACGTAACATCCCACATCGAATAAGCAAAGCGGTGATTTTACATTGCCTACCAGCGGTACGGACGCATCATGTAAGATGAATGTCGAATTCCTGCAAGCTTGGCGGGACCGCTCGAAAGGCCCTGTGAGCCAGCAGGGATGGCGTAAAGCTTTCAATTATCGCATCGGGGTCCGATACCACAGGTTCGATGGAAGTTGGAGTGTGGCCTGGAGAGTTCCCTCGGTCGCAGTCTTGGGAGACGGATTCGCTGAAGGGTGCTCGGGAGGTGTGTGGAAGGGTCATAGGTTGGAAGGCGGATCCGTCGTTGCTGGTAGATGGATCTTTGCTTTGAGACGAAGAGGGGGTTTGAGGTATGGTAATCGAATGTGTGCTTGCTGACGGGATCAGAGAAGGGTAATGGGTCGAACAAGGGGACGGGGGCAATGAGCATGGTATTTGAGGACGATTGATACGCCCGTAGGCCGCATGCGAAGACTCGTATATGAATGGGGGCCAGAGATGAAAAGAGGGTATAAGAGTCAGTCCTCAAGATCTCCACTCGCTGCATGCTCGACGATCGACGACTAGTCACGGGACCGAGCAATTGGAGATGATATGATGACGTCGTAAATGTTTCGGACGGAAAGAAAGGGTTTGATGCAAGGCCATGGAAATGGTGGGCGGTCATGACGAATACGTTATCTACGATATTATCAAGCGCATCGTGCCATGTATACCCACACTCTCCCTTCCAAGCCTGCCTGAAGACAAGAGAGTATCCAAGAGAGTATCTGACAAGGGAGGATACCTCGATTACGATCGGCCATGGAGGATGAGTCGTTTGAGGTTCTCTTGCAAGGTGGATCGTGTGAAAGACATGTAGCAGATGGGAGTAGTAGTGGGTGTCATTTACAACTTGCCTGTTGGGATATGATGCGAATGCATGAAGAGAGAGACAGCAGTAGCTAAGTTTCTACGGAACTAAATTGACCTAAGGTGGTTCACCTACAAGTCGATCACCCCTAGTTATCGATCAGGACGCGTCCAGCCTATTTTGATAGATGATCGTGTTGTTTGAATCTTGTTTTGTACTTTGTCTATCAAGCATGCAGACCCCAGAGACTCCCCCTCACAAACGACTTGAGCAAGCGATTGCATACTACCACTCTCAAATACCACTGTCCCCCTCCAAACGTGATAGTCAGCGTAAAATAGCTCGCTACTTCAAAGTCAAACAATCCACACTTTCCGACCGACTTCACTATAGGACTACATTGTTACGGGGTAACAACGAATCGAGAGGACTCTATCGAGTTCGACGGATTAGGACAGAGGAAAGCGGGAGTTGGAGGCAGTGCTGCAGTAGGTAGGGACGGGTTTTCCCCTTTCGAGATTTTCCCCACTGGGTTTGCTCAAAGCGGTTTTTCACCTGTCCGAGTATGTACATAGACGCATGCAGTAGGAAAAGAGGAGGACGCGGATACCTGTAGACATTATATAGTACAATCAGCAAAGTACCAACTTTGCTGATTCTTCAATATCATTCTTTGGCTACATCGATTGCAGAGGAGACACGATCCATTAGCACCAGAGCCCCTAGATTTCCACGAGACATCCATCGAGTTCGACCCAACCTGCGACCTAGTCGTCGTGTTTCCAGTACCGTTACATACATCCCGTAAGACATCTCATGTACACAAGCAAGCTCTTACATCTGAAGAAGAACTCTGCATTGTCGAATATATTGGCCGATCGGCTAGAAGTGGACACCCACCAACTCCTGCTCTCATCCATCAGCTCGCCAACCATCTTCGTTCTAATCGTCTTCATCTGAACCCCGCTCCTTCCAACACTCCACAACTTCTCCCACTTGGGAAGAACTGGCTCGATAAATTCAAGAAACGACATCCTGGAGTGAAGACGGCTTGGTCAAGACAGATTGATGCCGCTCGTATCAATGGCTGTGCTCGCCCATATCTAGAGACTTGGTTCAAGGACATGTCTGGAATTTTGAACGAGAATCAATATCTTCCCTGCGATATCTACAATATGGATGAGACTGGGTATAATATGGGTACTACAATGTCCTCCCAGGTGATGTCTGTATCAGTCACTGAGAAGGGTACTATGGGGGATGTCTTCAAAGCTCAAAGAGGTCGCCAGGAATGGGTGACCGCTATTGAATGTGTTTCTGCAGCGGGTATCGCCCTTCCCCCCGTTGTTATCTTCAAAGGAAAGGTTGAATTCAACATGCGGTGGCTGCCAGAGGATAGGGATATAACAGGATGGCAATGGAGAATCAGTGAGAAGGGCTGGACAAGTAATGCGATCGGACTTGATTGGCTCAAAACCCACTTCCACCCCCTGACAGTACCTTCAGATCCGACGAGACGTCGTCTTCTCATCCTTGATGGTCATGGTAGTCATCTCAAAGCCGACTTCATTGCTTTTTGTATCGAAAACAAGATTGATCTCATGGTACTTCCGGCTCATACATCACATGAAACCCAACCTCTTGACAATGGGATATTCGCCCCTCTCAAACGACAACTCATGAAATATGCCAATATTGCGGCTCGCTATGACTCCTGTCCAATCACCAAATCTGCATGGGCAGCCGATCTAGTTTCTGCAAGAGAGCTAGCAATGACACATCATAACATTGCTATAGGTTGGCGGAAGACAGGTCTCCATCCATTCAACCCCAATGTCGTCTATCGTCGCCTTGACAATCCTCCCAAGACACCTCCCCCTCTTTCCCAACAACTTTCTTCTTCTTCACTTTCATCTATCACATCGGAGAATCACGAATTACTGCGTCAAAGTGAAGCTATAAACGCAACCCCTATCAAAAACCGATTGATAGTCGTTACATCAACTCTGGAAACGGAGAGAGCAAAAATTTCACGCTTAGAAATGGAGAATGAGGAGCTACGGAGTATCGTCCGGCCGGTCAAGCGTCAGGCAACAGGTGCTAGTGTGGCAGCACTTGGTACTCACAACTTTACTGGACCTGGAGTGCTGGAGAGACTACGAGAGATTGAAGCTATTACACAGCAGCGGAAGGATAAGGCAAATGAGAGGCGAAAGAAGAAAAAGGAGAAGGAGAAGGAGAAGGAGAAGGAGAAGGAGAAGGAGAAGGAGAAGGAGAAGGAGGAGGAATAGGAGTTGGCAAGAGTGTCATCTACTTCGAGCGGTACATCTTTTGAAAGCACTCCGAGAGGTTTTTGGAGCTAACAAGAGTCCAGGTCAAGTCCGCCGCATTATTCTACATGTATAGAGCTTGATTGCATGCATAATATTTGTTTATAGCCCCAACTTGAAATAGGGGATGGAAGTGTAAACGATGGTGATCAATAACTAGGGGTGATCGACTTGTAGGTGAACCACCTTATTGCTGGTACAATGTTATCTCCAATACCTTTGACACTCCCCATTGAGAGGTTGATTCGCCTTCTCGCCATCAGAACTCCTTTCCTCACTATATTCTATGTCCTCTTTGCTGTTTGGATACCTTTAGTATGTTCAAGTCAAAGAGAGACTGTCTGGATGTGATGAGTGGTTCCTGAGAGAGGTTTGGTAAAGGTGTCGGCCGTCTGCTTGTATGAATGTATCCTAACTGAATATCCCCACTCTCACTGTCACAAACGTCGATTCTTCTTCTCTACTGACCGACGGTCGACGAACCTCGGCTAACTTAACACTTCAAAGTCGATGTCTCACCCAACCAGGAGGGCGCAGACATCGAAAGGAGTGTTACTACGGCGTACTTCGACGTAGTTACTCTAACTAGGGTTTTGATTTATTGATGGCGATGTATCTCAATTTGAATGTAGCTATCTCTATCTATCTTTCACTACTGACAACAATCAAGGATCGCTGAAGAAGTTCAGCAATCTTCTCAGCTAATATTATCTACTCCTCCTCCTAGACGTTCACCCAACCCTCTTGCGCTTTGACATACGTCAACGCACTTCGTTCAACTTCCCCGAGTCCCCGGCCATCCTTCTCCTCCTTCGACTAACTCCGCCTAACATCGCCGCACTTCTGCTCCCATTGTGTCACGAACCACATCGTAACATCCCTGACAACCACCAGCACCGACCCTCCTTTTACCATCACCAACCACCACCTGAACCACTGAGACCGACTACGGCAAAGATGCGAGATCCCAGAGGGTATTTGTCACGATAACCCCGACTAGCGGAGAACTACGGTGAAGTTAGAGGAGGGGAACCGAGGGATAGCAGAACAGAGGAAGTTAGGCGAAGTTAGTCGAGGTGAGCGAAATAGGGTATCGGGGATATGGTGAGGTACGACGAAGTTGAACGAAGAGGACTGAGCGCGAGGCTGTACAAGAGTTGAGGGACGTTCTATGAGAAGAGAGGGGAAGTATAGATAGTTTACAGATCGCTGAACTTCTTCAGCGATCCTTGATTGTTGTCAGTAGCGAGTGATATATTCAGTAGCTACAACCTTTGAGTTAAGGAGAGCTACCACTGAGTAGTTCGACGCACTACGGCGAAGTTAGCCGCAGTTCATCGACGATCACCTTATCATTTACCACTCGACGTATTACTACGGCGAAGTTAGCCGCAGTTCCCCGACGAGTACCCTGTCCTAGTGAGACATTGACGTAGTCAGCCGAGGTTTGTCGACCGTCGGTCAGAAGGAGAGAAGAAACGACGCTCGTGACAGTATCAAGGATCGCTTTTACCGACGACCCGTACAAACCTCGGAGAAGTTCGAAATTGTATGCAGCCAGAGAGGAGAGTTACAAGAAGTATGAGTAGACCAGGAGAGTCAGTAGAAGAGACGGAGAGGAGGATGTTGGAAGAGTTAAGACAAAGCTTGGGACCATTGCCTGGTGCAATCAATACCCCCGAGGGATCAACACAAGGAGACGATTTCCATCCCCCCCTACCCCTTGAACCACCGCCTGAGCCGACCGGGCTATCAGAGACACCAACTGTGAGCACGGGTTCAGAAGGGTCGGGACAGACTCCGCGACCAAAGGAGAGGAACGCAGAAGGTAGACTAAGTTCGTCGGGGAGTGAGGATGTAGGAGGAATAGAGGGAAGCGTCGGAACTCAGAAGATGATGCTGGCAATGATGAATATGATGATGGAGATGAATAGGGACATGATAGCAGAGAGGAAACGCCGAGAGGAACAGGAGAAGAAGAAGGAAAAGGAGACGGTTGGGGGGATAGCTGAAGGGATCTCTGAAGGGGTACGATTCGCCTTAGGGAGGCAGGCTTCGGCGACCCCAGGGGTGGCTGAGATAGGTGGGGCGATAAAGCTTCCTCTCCCAGACCTTTGGAGAGGCGAGAGGTCAAAGCTCACCGCTTTTATCTCAGAATGCGAAGTACACTTCGAAATCAACGCTCGCAAGTGCCCTACCGATCGAGTAAAAATCTTTTTCATGATCTCTCATCTACGTGAAACTCCTCTTCTTGCCGTCCAGCCAGATTTACCTAAAGATGACCCCCCAGAACATCTCCTAGTCTATAAGAAGTTCATCCAATATCTCAAAACCAACTTCGGAGACCCTGACGAGGAGGGAACCGCCGCCAGGGGAATAAACGAGCTCCGACAGAATGGGTTGGCTTCGGCGTACTTCGCCGCCTTCCAACGATATGTAGCGGTGTTAGGATGGGGTGATGATGGGAACCTCGTGGATCGGGCGAAGAATGGACTGAAAAGTCACTTGCTGGATGAGATTGCTCGCCACGGGAAAGTTTTCAAGACCGTCCGAGAGTTGATTGAGTTTGTGGTCCCCATGGACAATCGTTTACATCAACGAAGGGTGGAGAAGGAGAATGAGAAGAAAAGGAAGGAAGCAAAGGAACAAGGGGAGAGGAGAGAGGAAGTAAGCAGGGGAGGGGAAAGGAAGTCCGAGGAGAAAGGGCAATCTACGGCGAAGTTCGTGGGGTTACAACCTAAGGTCACGAACTGGGGAAGGGCAATCCCGACGGACGTAGACGAACTAAACCGTCGTTGGCCGAGACCCAGTGCCGAGGAGGTGTTGAAGCGTAGGGAAGAAGGGAAGTGTACCGGATGTGGAGAGAAGGGACATTACAACCGAGACTGTCCTGTGATGGCCGCGAAAGTAAAGGCAGGGATCATCCCCGCATGACCTCTTGGACAGTATGCTGGAGGAGAAGGGAGGTTTAGCACGGGGGGGAATGCTATCCCTCTGGGGGACAGGAGGAAGATCAATGCAATTGGAGGGGAGGAAGCAAACGTTGAAGGGCAGGGGATGGACGAGGAGGAAAAAGATGGGGACCCGTCGCGATAGGCGAGACTCAGCGGGTCCGCACTCATATTCTCTCAGCCACTGTTCCTACCACCAGAAAGTGGAAAGAGCTGATGAGACCAGGTAAATGTGCATATAAATCATTAAACACCACTCCGAAATGTATAAACGATTGTCATACCCTAATTTCTTCCACCTGTAAAAATCAGCCCAAGTCTAATGTGTATATCGAAGGAATCGAACTGACGGCCTTGTGGGACACGGGAGCAACCTGTTCGTATATAAGTCCCAGGGCAGCCAAGAGGATTAGGAAGGAAAAGAGAAAATACCCTGTGAGTGTACCAGTTCACATGTTCGACGGCTCGGTTAGTGTGGCTGGACCCATTACGGAGTTTGTCGAAGTGAGTCTGGGTGTCGAGAAGTTAGGCGAAGTTCGCCCAATACTGCTGGATGTTACCACCCTTTGTGAGGCGGATATCGTAATAGGGTGGGAATGGATGAGAGAAGAACGAGTAATCTTGAATGGGGGAGCGAACACTGTATCCTTCCCTATTCCCCAGACGAACGACGGGGAAAGCGTGATGTCCTTTCCCCAACCCTTGCCGGACAAGAAGGAAGAGTTACCCTCTCCCCTTCCACAGACGAAAGATGTCGCGAGCCTGGCAGCCATAGGGCTCAGGACTCGAACCGACGAAGCAGACCTCCGCGGCGAAGATGAGCTCGAAGAGCTGAGCCCGGAGGAACAAGACGAGTTGTTCCAGGTAGTCCCCAAACAATACCACCAATACATTGACGTGTTTAACCCGAGGAAAGGAGGGGAGACTCTCCCCCCCCTCGAGGTCCTACGATTTAAAGTTTGAGCTTAAGGAGGGGGCGAACCTGAAGGTCGCCTCCCTCTATGCTCAAGGAGAAGATCAGAGACGCGCGCTGAGAGACATACTAGATCGCGAAATCGCTGCTGGCCGAATTCAAGCGAGTAACTCGCCGTACGGCTCGCCGATGTTTATGATATCAAAGAAGGCCGAAGGCCAATGGCGAATGGTCATTGACTACCGAAAGTTAAACGAAGCGACTATACCAGACGCCTACCCTCTTCCATTGATAGGTCAGATTACCGAAGAAATTGGGAAAGCAAGATACTTCAGCAAACTGGACCTAATTGGAGCGTACCAGTTATTGAGGGTGACAGAAGGGCATGAACACCTGACTGCGTTTAGGACACAGTATGGTATGTTTGAATCTCTTGTTGTTCGTGACGGACTGCGGAATGCTCCTGCTGTCTTCCAACACTTCCTGAACGAGGTGTTTAGAGAGCTATTAGGGGATGGAGTCGTGGTCTACATTGACGATATCCTCATTTATGGGAATACATTGGAGGAATTACAAGGAACTACGGCGAAGGTCTTTGAAGTGCTGCAAAAGGTGAGCTTGTACGTGAAAGCTAGTAAGTGCGAGTTTGAAAGAGACTCAGTGGTGTTTCTGGGTTTCGTGGTATCTTCTCGAGGGGTATCGGTGAATCCAGAGTACATTGACGCCATCACATCCTTCCCACGTCCGAAGAATCTACGAGAGTCTAGGGGATTTATTGGAGTTGTGAGCTATTACAGGTGTTTTGTCCCCAACTTCTCGAAGATTGCTAGACCTATCAACGATTTGACAAGGAAGGAAGTACCGTTCGTATGGGGAGTGGAGCAGGAGTCGGCTTTTAAGGAATTGAAGGCTAGGATGTGTACTGCGCCGGTGTTAGCTCACTTCTACCCTACGTTGAAGACTATATTACAGACAGATGCGTCATTCTTCGGCTGGGGTTTCATAATTTTGCAGATTAATACAGCTGGTCAAGAACACCCAGTCGCCATCGAGTCGGGCGCGTTCAACACGGCCCAATTGAATTACACGGTAGGAGAAAAGGAGTTCCTCGCCGTAGTTGAGGGTTTCAGAAGGAGAAGACACTTACTACTGCAGGTAGAAACCACAGTCTTTACCGACCATTTAAATCTCACCTACTGGATGGAGCCAAAGCAACTCAGCCCACGTCAAGGTAGGTGGGTAGAAGAGTTAGCTAACTTCAGATTTAAAATGGTTTATCGACCAGGGACTCAAGCAAGCCTTCCAGACGGGTTGTCTAGACGGGCGGATTATCACTCGGGGAAAGGAAGTACCATGATACAAGTGTCACGAACTACGTCGTAACATCCCTGACAACCACCATCACCGACCCTCCTTTTCACCATCACCGACCTTCCTTTCACCACCACCAACCTCCACTCGAACCACTGAGACCAACTACGGCGAAGTTACGAGAACCAAGAGGGGATTTGTCACGATAACCCCGCCTAGCGGAGAACTACGGCGAAGTTAGGGGAAGGGAACCGAGGGAGAGCAGAACAGGGAAAGTTAGGCGAAGTTAGTCAAAGTGAGCGGAGAAGGATATCGGGGATATGGCGAGGTACGGCGAAGTTGAACGAAGAGGACTGAGCGTGAGGCAGTGCAGGAGTTGAGGGACATTCTATGAGAAGAGAGGAGTAGTATAGATAGTTTACAGATCGCTGAACTTCTTCAGCGATCCTTGATTGTTGTCAGTAGCGAGAGATATATTCAGTAGCTACAACCTTTGAGTTAAGGAGAGCTACCACCGAGCAGTTCAACGTACTACGGCGAGGTTAGCCGCAGTTCATCGACGATCATCTTATCATTTACCACTTGACTTATCACTACGGCGAAGTTAGCCGTAGTTCCTCGACGAGTACCCTGTCTTAGTGAGACATCGACGCCCCACTACGACGTAGTTAGCCGAGGTTTGTCGACCGTCGGTCAGTAGAGAAGAAGAAACGACGATTGTGACAACAAGAGAGTAACCTTATTCAGGGTCTACCGAAGTTCGACGAAGTTGACGCCGCCACGTCGGAGTTGTGTCACCTGCTCAGAGCATTGCAGGGGACGAGAGAAGTAAAAGAAAATGATCTAGTCGACCCTATGGATTTGATACTTGGAATTCAGGAGGACGAAGACGTAGAGGAGGTTAGGGAGGAGTTATTAGGAGTTATCTGCGCTGAGTGTTCTCATCTGACGTGTCACAATGACGTGCAGGAACCAGGATCGATCACCAAACTACGCTGCAGTTCGCGATCTCCCTTAATACTTCGTGGTGGATGGACCTCAAGGGGTTTCCTTACGTTTGACGATCGCACTTATGTGCCGAACTACGACGATGCTCGACTAAAGATCATGAAGACACGACATGACTCGGCCTTAGCTGGTCACCCAGGTTCGGCAAAGACCCTCGAACTAGTCCTGAGAGATTATGTTTGGGTTGGAGTAAGGAAGGATGTAGAAGACTATATCGCTGGTTGCGCAGTATGTCAGAGAGCGAAGACTAACAGACAGAAACCTCATGGAGAACTTAAACCGCTGCAAGTGGCTACAAAACCTTGGTCAAGTATCTCGATGGATTTTATCGAAGAACTCCCAAATTCCCATGGATATAACTCTATCTTAGTGGTCGTGGATCGACTGACAAAATGGGCCATGTTTATCCCAACTACGACGAAGTTAACCGCAGCTGGACTATCAGAGCTGATAATGGACTATGTGGTGGCCCAGCATGGGTTACCAGAGAGTATAGTATCGGACAGAGGATCGAAGTTTACTTCGAAGTTTTGGAAGAACTTAACCGATAGTCTCGGGATAAGACTACATCTTTCTACCGCGTATCATCCACAGACTGATGGGCAGACCGAACGAACCAACCAGTCCCTGGAGTTATACCTTCGAATCTTCACTTCCTACCAGCAGAACGACTGGTCAAAGCTGCTTGCTCGAGCTAGCTTCGCCTATAACAACACCCATCATTCTGCAATAAACAAGACTCCATTTTATGCAAACTATGGGTACCACCCTCGGTGGGCTGAAGAGATTAGGACCAGTGAGGTCGAGGTACCTGCTGCTACAATAGTGGTAAAAGACTTAACCGAAACACACAAAGAATGTATTGAGGGGATTGAGAGAGCTAACGAGAAGTACGCCGAAGGATACAACAGGAAACACCGAACTACGCCGAACTTTGTGGAAGGTGACCTAGTTATGCTGTCATTAGAGAATATCTATTATAATAACAGATGATGAGAGGCTAACTTGGGGGGATAAACCACGTGGCTAGCGGCGACGCCCGCAGGTCGAACGCGAGACGATAAACGAGGGCGTGGACAGAGAGAGAGAGAGAGAAAGAGAGAGAGAAGGAAAGTAGGTTGTCACAACCACTATATCTACTACCTACAAGCTAGAGAGAGAAAGAGAGAGAGAAGAAGAGGCCACGGGTTCATGGATTCACCTCAAGAGGCGAGAGACGGGCCTGTCAATGTGACAGGTTGGCACACTAGTCAAGACTAAGAGACCAATGAAGAAGTTGGATGTTAAGCAAAGTGGGCCGTACAAGGTAGTACGGCAGGTAGGTTCTCATGCTTGTAAATTGGAATTACCAGGAACGATGGCAGGTATCCATGATGTATTCCATGTCTCCTTGCTCCGTCCCTACCATCCTCCAGTGTTCCCTGGTCAGCAGGCTGAACCTCCTGGCCCAGTAGAGGTAGATAACGTAGAGGAGTTGTGGGAAGTAAAGGATATTGTGGCCTCGAGAGTAAATAAGAGGTCAGGGAAGTTAGAATATCTGGTGGAATGGTTAGGTTACGAAGGCTCGGATGACGCAGTATCGTGGGAACCAGTAGAAGATGTGGACAAAGCTAATGACATATTGGCGAAGTTCCACGAACTTCACCCAGATAAGCCGAGGAAAGGACAAGTGGTAAGATCACGAACGAGGAAGTAATTCATACAACGGGTACAACATTAGCTAAGTACAACTCACTGCTGCGAACTTCCTCCCTGTTCCCCGTTCCCCGGTGCAGGGCCACCTCCACTACTACTCACAGTAACCTTCGGTGACACCACCCGTCGAAGGGACCGAGTCTCTCTCCACGCCGTGTTGAAGGCCAGAATGTGAGAGTTATGGAGAGCAGAGTCACCAGCGATATTCAAACTAGGCAGCTTCCATAACTGTCAAAGTGTTCTGAGACAGTCCGGGGGAAGAGCCAGGATATCGAGAAAAGCACCATCCTGAGAACTGAGTCGAGCCGGGTTGGGTGGTTTTAACCAGTCGAGTGTGGGGGGAAGGGCGTACTCTATGGGATTCACGAGGAAGGGAGAATCGAAGAGATTGTGGTAGAAGTCGTTCATGTCTGTCATGAGCTCTCGGGAGACTCTAGCTAACTCAGTTCGCGCTAATGGGCCTATATCGGAGGAGTTTACAAGAGTTGCCATTGTCCAGGACAGAGTGTTCATACCAGAGACCAGCTTCATGCAATTTTCGACGAGCTTTGACGTATCTTGTCTATTGGCGTGTAACTGAGTGGTCAATCCAATGATGAGGGAACGGAAGGTAGCCAATTGTTTCTCCTCCTCTGTGATTCAAGGGTCGTCGGCGATGTAGGGGTGGTCGAGGGGAGGAGGGAGTTCCTCTGGTAGCTGAGTACTTTAATTTTCTACCACTGCAGATTCGAATTGGACGGCCTTCTTCTTCTTGCCTTTCCCTTTTGGAGATTTTGAAGGAGGAGTTTGGACAGGAAGAGCAGGAGTTGAGAGCCCAGTGGCAGGAGGGACAGATGGTTGACGACTTCGGGTCCCAAGGGCAGGAGGAAGAGTGAGAGGAGAGTCCTCTTGTGTTGAGGCAGGAGTAGGACGGCTCCTGGTAGGACGGGACAAGGCGGACGAAGGGGTGGTCGGGAGATGAGATGGGCCAGCTACAGGAGTAGAAGGCCGAGGAACGGCGGGAGAAGCACAACGAGGGGTGCGACGAGACGGACCTGCCGAAGGAGTAGCAGGAAGACGAGACGGTCCGGCCACAGGAGAGCTAGGCGGGCGATGGACGGCGGGAGACGGCGAAGTAGGGCCGGGAGAGGAGAAATTCGCCGAAGGAGAGGGCGAAGAGAATTCCTTGTCCTGGGCCGTGGGGACACGACAGAGAACGACAGCGGACGGAGTGTAAGGAGGCGCGGAGGGGACGAAGGGAGTTGCTAGTACGTCCCGCGCTGTTGGAGGAGGGGCAGAGGTCCTAGGAGGAATGTCCCGAGCGGTATTGGGGGGACAGAACGAGCATGGCCCGGAAGTGCAAGAAGCACAACGGGATCCGCAATTATGAGGTTTGACTGGTCGTAAACACGGCCACCTTTTCCTCCCATACGTGATAATTTCGCGGCTATTGATCAGCAGATGTACAAACCTCTATGGAAGAAACCTACCGACATCTATCACACGACTCCTCTACACTGGCGACCTCCCAACGTTCCCTTTCGTTGGCGAACAACTTCCATAGCCTCTCCTACTCCCGTAACGACGCTTTAGGAGCACTCCCTGGCTCCTTAGGAGGAGAGGGAGACACTTCCTCCAGGTCAGACGGAGATTGACTACGAGTACCTTTGGCCTTCTTCGCCGAAGGAAGGGGGGTTCCGTCCTGAGCGGGGGACAAACAACGACGTTTTTTCGGCCTTGATCCGTTCCAAGTGATGGGTGTACTTGATGCGCTTGTTACCATCGGAATATTGACCGATGATACGAGCTTCTGGAGAACCCCTTGTAATACGGATGGCTGGATACGTCAGCACTAACGCGCAGGTGATTACAACAGCAGACTTACGACTCAAGGCCTTCAGCTCCGCCACCCTTGCGGCTCTATCCACGGACGCCAGCTCACCACTGACATCTAAGAGACCCGTGTCCTCGTCATCAACGACACCACCCGTCTCCTTGATATCATCAACATCACCCATCTCCTCGTCATCACCTGCACCACCTGTTTTCTCATCATCAACAACATCATCCATCTCTTCATCACTATTGACAACATCCATCTCCTCGTCATCAGCAATCTCCATCACAATAGCAGACTGACCCGAAGCTTGTGACGGGCCAACAGGAGCAGGTCTGACCTCCTGTTGGCCGGAGGAGAGAGGGGTCGGAGCCACTACGGGGGACACGGCGGAAGAAGGAACCGCAGCAGAATGTTACGGAGTAACAACGAATCGAGAGGACTCTATCGAGTTCGACGGATTAGGACAGAGGAAAGCGGGAGTTGGAGGCAGTGCTGCAGTAGGTAGGGACGGGTTTTCCCCTTTCGAGATTTCCCCACTGGGTTTGCTCAAAGCGGTTTTTCACCTGTCCGAGTATGTACGTAGACGCTTGCAGCAGGACTGAGAAGAGGAGACGGATACCTGTAGACAGTATATAGTACAATCAGCAAAGTACCAACTTTGCTGATTCTTCAATATCATTCTTTGGCTACATCGATTGCAGAGGAGACACGATCCATTAGCACCAGAGCCCCTAGATTTCCACGAGACCTCCATCGAGTTCGACCCAACCTGCGACCTAGTCGTCGTGTTTCCAGTACCGTTACACAGAAGCTCCGGCGTCAGAAGGGGCCGCAGCGGAGTGCGAGCCATCGGTGATAGTGAGGGCCCCAAGACCCATAGACGATACTTGGCTGGGGGGATTCCCCTACTGAGAGACTGGATAATCAGCAAAGATCTAACTTATGACTAGCACGAGTGGACTTACGGGCAGCGGTGAAGCGATCTACGAAGACTTGGTAGGCGTCGAGTTCTGGTCGAGAGGTCATATTGTTAGAAATATATCAAATTGACATGTTTGGTAAGGTAAAGGCTGAGAATCGATAGACAATGATAGTACGATTTAGGAATAGTACTGGGGAAGAAGAAGAAGTGGGCCAAAGTACTGAGTATTTAGTATGACTAACACGACAACTCGTCGTCAGGGCGCTGGTAACTTCGCATAACAAGGTGTCTCAGTAACAACAAACACCATGACAACGATCAAAATTCCCACGCTATGTGTCTCACATTCATATAAGTTAGGGATACACTGACGAATTTCGACAAGGTTTGATGTACCCCAAATCCTCTGTCTCACATACAACGTAATTATCACGGGTAACAGCAAACAACCACGATGAACTTCGACGAAGTAGTCCGTCTCATCACCAGCAACCTACGGTGCCACCTACCAACAACTGGTGTTTTGACGATTGTTTTCCTACAACCCGCTGAGTGTCTTTTTCTTCATTACATGCATGCAAAGCTCACGAGGACGTTCGCACCTAAGGAAGGGGCGACTGTCACGAACCATGTCGTGACATCACCGACCCTCCTTTCACCATCACCGAACCACTATCCACCACCACCCCGAACCACTGAGACCATGAATCCCCCCGGTATTCGATATACCCTTCCTTCTGGGCGTAGTAGGAGCTTTTTCCATACTGATGTCCATGGACGCTAATTGACAAGCTCTTATTGTCGCCATAATGAATCTCATATCCCCTCTTACTGCCTGTGTCGTCGTATGAGGCGAGGTAGCCTGCGCTGTAGGACGACGTCCAAGAGTCATTTTCTACTCGCTTTACCAGGAAATCGTGTTCCGGGCTGAAGTCAACATGATGTTCCACGTCATGTTGTGCCTGGGCATAACTGTATTTCTCAGCTGTTGCTATCACCTTCAAGACGAATGTTGCATTACGGTCATTTTTCCATAACGCTGCAAGCTTTTCCCGATTGGCAGGGTCCTCAAGAATTTGACAGCACTGTGTCCAAAGCTGCGCGTCCTCTGTCGGCCAGGGATTGTCAGCTTCGGCCATGGACAGCCGGATGCGATCAAGCTTATGCATCTCGCTACGATGGAGTCGAGCAAAAGGAGTCCGAAGTCGAGTAGAAATAGAAGCCTGCGTTGTCTTCCATCTAGTAACTGAATCCGGGTCCACCATGGTGATTTTTGTGGGTGTGGTTGTCACAATCTGTCACGAACCATGTCGTGACATCCCTGACAACTACCATCATCGACCCTCCTTTCACCATCACCGAACCACTATCCACCCCCCCCCCCTAACCACTGAGACCAACTACGACGAAGTTACGAGAACCTAGAGATTATTTATCACGACAACCCCGCCTAACGGAGAACTACGGCGAAGTTGGGGGAAGGAAACCGAGGGAGAGTGGAGTAGGGGAAGTGTATTCCCAACGAGCAGCGTGTTACGTGCCTGTGTCTCAGTCAATGGCAACTGGGTTCCTTTGGAAGAACCCATGGGCCTGTAGAAGTTCAGAAACGCAACATCGAGTGTATATGTTGGTCCGCTAGGAGACTGACTTGTATCAGTCCGGAGGAGGTGGCAGTTGAAGCACGTCCCGACGTTGTTTCGTGTGTTCAACGCGGAACTGACAGCTTTGGCCGGAGTGCGATATACAGAATGGGAAGTTTCCATGGCGACTATGTTTCTTGATGTGTTAATGGCAAACTAAAAATGTCACAGTTGAGTAAAGGGGGTCAAGGAGGGGTAAAGAGGGGGGGGGGGGGGGGACTTATTGATATAGCAGCCATGGTGAGAAGTAGCATAGCCCTCTTGATACTACGCATGAAAAGCTATGTAAATGGAGGATGAAAGGGTCTTGATCAGGCTGTGCAGGTTGCTTAGATTGGGAAAGAAAGCTTGAGTTGGGAAGGCCTCGTACCCCAGTGAGGAAGTGAGAAACGAGGACAGGAGAGGTGAGAAAGATCGTAGAAGAAAGGATATTTTAGATACAATGGTAGTATTGGATACATACGGCCGTTGTCTACGCCTCTTGTCTAACTATCCTTTTCTCCGTTCCCACGACCCGCACCGCCTCGTACATATCCTGGCTGATTCTCCTCCTTCCCGCTCCATTCATATCGATGCGGTGTAGCGAAACATAGGTGTTTGACGAGACGAGATGGCAGGGGATTGTCGACGATGCTCAAGACATTATTTGGATTACAGAAAAGGTTACTGTTCGTATTTTGAGAGTCGTTTCTTGACTATTGATCAGTATGAGCCTTCTCATGCGGTCAGAAGAGACCGAATCTTACATGAACTGGGTCGAAGATGAGAAAGAAGGGAAAGGAAAGAAAGACTCACGTTCTTTGACTTCTTGCCTTAAGCGGTTAGCTTCGGCATTTGCACGTTTGATTTGTGAATCTTTCGTCTCCAAGGTATGCTCTAACGAATTAAGATGTTCTATTCGATCAGTAATATTCTTTACTAGGATGGACCGAAGATCGATGCCTTCAAACGGTGAAAGTTGGAACGATAGAGAACAGAAAAGATTAGGAGAGGAGGTATAAGACTGTTGACATACCTTTCCTCTTCGCTCTAAACGTTCTTGCCGATATTCTATTCCGTACTCTCTTTCTCTCCCTCGCGTTCAAACTTCGATAATCTTCAACCTTCATACCCCATATTATTCCATCCCTTTCTACACCTTCTGGAACTTCACCTTCTCCATCTCCCTCCCCGTGAGAGTCTTCTCCATCCGCATGAGATTCTTCCGCATCCCCAGATTCTTCGTCCGTAGGTAACGAAGATCGACGACGTTTGTTGGGTTTGGGTGAACGAAGATGATGAGGACTTTGCGAACGTTTATTCTGTCTGAGAGCTCTAGCAGTTCTAGTCGTACTGGTTCGAGAGAGATTGGAAGTGGGATGTATACGAGGAGAACCTGGAGAATGTCTTGATAAAGGTCTAGGAAGAGATTCAGGAGTATGAGTGAGTTCGTGTGAATCGATAATATCCACCCTGGGTGACATGGTCGTTGAGGTTGATGTAGTCTCCAGGTTATAAGGTCGGGTAGGCGGCCAACTACCAAACGTGCCTGAACCTACCGTTGTCATGGGGACCATCATGGGAGCTGTGTTCGCCCTAGGTGGTGGGACCGGGATTGGAACTGGAGTTGGGGCTAGCAGGGAAGTGTTGATAGCTGTCAGATTGGGGTAAGTGTTAGGGTAATTCCCCATGAACGAGAAAGACATTTGAGGTCGATAGGGTATTACAGGTGGTTGATAACTCGCCCCACCGTTGTTGACAAGAGCCGTGATGGTCGCTGCTTCTTTGATGGCCGAAGGATTGTTCGGTGAGGACCATTGTGAGGAGAAATAATCCGGAGGATTCGGATTGTTGATAGTATTACCGTCCGATTGGTTCTGATTTGACATGTTGTTGTCCATGGTGGAAGGAGAGGTTAACCACTGAGTGGCGATATTGGGAGAAAGAGCAGGTAGTAGAAAGTTTTGATATAGGTATGAACTCCAAGAAGGTGTACTCTGAAATATCTCAGCACGATCACTCATCATCGGAGATGTTATAGTTTTATGTGAGACGTTCTATAAAAGTTCATGTTGTTCAACCTCTTTCATTCCGTCACTTGGGATGTGAGAGTTTATGTGATGAGTGAAGAATAGATGTCATGATTGGGAAAAAAAACTCACAACTACATCAATTTTCTCCTTGTCATCGTCGAGTGGAGGAGTCCCGGGCTCCAAAGTAAGCGGCAACTCCATCTTTTACACAACCACTTGAAAATGCCCGCTGCCCGCCGGCCGCCGGCCTTCGGTCTTGGCGATCTTAATCAACAAACGTGGAGGTCACCGTCGGTCAGACATGTGAGATCGTCCTTTAGGTACTCGTACGACACTGTCAAGATGGATAGGTCGAAGGTGAGAGTTGAAAAGAAAGGGGGGGAAAGCATGTTGTTTCGATGAGAACATACTATATATCAACCCGCCTTTTTCGGCCGCCATGAAGATTGACCAAAGGAAGGAAGATTGATGTCAGCCATTTTGACCGACCAGATCCGAGTAAATCCCTCGCCGATGCGTTTGCGCGTTATGCCGATTGACTCAAAAATACACTCTAGTTCCCTAAAAAAGGAGTTGTCTCGGTAAGTTATTCCTTTGTGAGCATGCGGTACGCCAGAGGCGGCAATGACTCGTACGCCTCGGCATGAAATCTCGGGCTTCGGTCACTTTCGAGTCATGGTGTCAGCTGGAAGATGTCAGCGGCCTCCAACGGCCTCCCCGTAACGACCGGAAGTAGTCCAAGTGTTTCTCTTCCGGTCTTTGCTCGGTGGTGACCGATCACGGGTGCGATAACCAAGTGAGAACCGAGGTGTGAGTCACTTTTGAGATCGTCGAATCAACAACGTCAGAAACGCCCAGGACCGTTGGGTACCAGATCGTGGGTCGGGCGGACAGGGCAGGGCGCATGACGCCGATCAAAAGCCCCGCCGGAACCGCCGTAATGTCCGACGATCTACAAAGGGCTGGCGGCGGCCGACCCGATGGGGGAAAATAGCTCAGGCACGTGGCATGCGGCATTAGCGTACGAGTGGGCTTATAGATGACGATATGCATTCACAATCCCTTGCGACTGTACTAAGCATGGTTGTCTTCCATAGACTCGCCTTCCACTTCCGTACGGATGCACCTCTTCTTGGCTCTAACCCATCCGACTCACAAAGCTTCAGCTTCAATTTCTCCGTCTTCATCCGCCAAGTTGCTCAGTGCTTGGCGTTTCGCCTCAGCCCACCCTTCATAACCCAGCTGACCGAATCCGGCCAGGACGAGCAACGCACCCATGAAGACCATCAATGGGATATGGTAAGTTGGACCGTAGAGCACCAATGATCCCACAAGGGCCATGGGGATGGTAAGAGAGAGACCGACGGTAGCTACCATGGGTGTAGTTTTGAGCATCGCTGTGGAGTCAGCTTAAGTACTCGCGCAATCAGAACCCATCTAATCCCTCCAAACAATCATATTGATCTAATAATTTGGACGACGAAAAAAAGACTCACCGAGGACATAGATGTAATCACTTGATAAAGTGATCCCCATATTGATGGCGCAGATGGTCCATGCTTCTCTACTGGGAGGAAGCTCAAATGTCTCCCACCCCGATACATGCAATATGGGAAAGATGGGAATCAGTAGGAGAGTGTTGAACAAACCAGCGAATCTCCACATCAATCACTTGTCCCAAAATATTTGATCGAGAGAATCGCTTACCCTAGTAACATTTGCATGTCCGCCCGGTCTTCGTTTCCCACTCGAACTTTGAGCAGTACCACGTAGACTGCGTAGAAGCTTGCGGAAAGAAGTGCTGCTAAATCACCCAAGACGGGATGTGCGGGGACATCCACGTCAGCTGCGTTATGTGAGGACGAGTCGGCTCTGGTGACGAGGACGACGCCCACAAAGCTGCAGGTTAGCTTGACTGTGAAGCTTGGCTCAAAACTCGCAGTGACCAACCTCATGAGAACGGCGGAGAACTTGATATTGTTGAGAACTTCGACCCGGCATAAAGCGCCCAGGGCGAGGGTGAAGAAGCCTGTTCGTGAGATTCAATGAATGGTAAGACCTCACGATGCAAAATTCGAGCACAAAAGCATCCCGTGTCAGTTGTAGATGCCTGGTAGACCACAGATCGAGGTGTGCGAAGTACGGAGGATTGACACGGTATAGGTTATTGTATATCTTATGACAGACGTGGATGACATCAAAGGGGGGAGATGCGCGGAGGAATGTACCGAAAAACATACCACTGGTGCTGCTCAATATAGTAACGCTAGCTACGCTCGTCCATGCCAAACTAGCATTCACAGCTAGATTAGCAATGAACCATACAGCACTCCACCAAGCTGCAACTTTTGCTGTCTCCTTCACACTGAGCTTATCCTCGAATTGCGCCGTTTCGTGTAAAGATGAGATCTCATGCAAAGGGACTCGAGGACTGGTAGGTATTCCCCGAGTGAGAGATGTAGATCGTCTAGAGATCTCATCGGAGGTTCGTATACGTTCATAACTTGATCTTGTGAGAGATACAGTTCTAGATGAAGGAATGTCGGTTTGGGATAGAGGTTGATATTGAGATGAACGGGTACGACGATAGCGCCACCAAGTTGGGATGAGATAAAAGGTGAATGCAGATGTGTTTAGATATGTTATTCTGGCGTTATCAGTCGTATCTCTTACCTCTCATCGCTTGATCCAGATTCATATCATTTCCCGCAACCACAGTGTTCAGATTGAGGAGAGAAGCTGAAAGGACGTGAAGACTATATGCGAGGGATGAAAGGTCGGAATGTGTTTAAAACGAATTCAGACGATAGTTTGGTTGATGGATAAAAAAAGGAAAACCAACAAAAACGGTTTGTTCCAACTATCACGACCCGTTTCCAATCTTGAAGTGATGAAATTTGATCCTGTCCATAACTGACTTTCTAAGCAACGTATCGTCATTCATCCAAGATGACAAAGCTCACAATGACCACCCCAAGAAGTAACCCGACTCCTACCAGATATCTACTCGCCCTCCGAGCCAGAGGATCAGACGACTCCATCTCTTCACTCTCTGTCCTTGATGAGCGTTTATCTGACCTCGACACTACTCTTGTAGTACATCATCATGACCTGTAATCTGTTGTCGGTCGACTGTCGAGCCATCGAAAGGGGAAAGAAGCGAGCCAGTTGGATTTGTGGTGACCCTTGATTGCATGATGTGGGGCTCCACCTTCACCATCACAACCCAACTGCAGCTGAGGTGAATGCCATCATCTCATGAAGTCAGCTTTACTCATATGGCAAGATGGGGATAAACGATTTGATGAAATGGATCCGAAAAGCTCATCCTGAAGCTATCAAAATATACCCCAAAAGATGGAAAGATCCAGCGATCAGAGGTAAAAAGGTAGCAATAGATGCTACTCTCATCACTCACAGATTTCATTTCGCCATACCTGATGAAGCTGAGAGAGGGAGGGGATCTTTGGTTGGATGGTACAAGTGAGTGAACTCTTCTTCTTGAATCTACCTCTGTTCACATATACCAGATCCATGTTGGCCTTACCAATGAACGAATCCTTTCACATCTCCATCATCCTCGACCAGTTTCCGATTCACCTTCTGCCATTCCTGGAATGAATGCATCTGATGTCATGGGATCATGCAAGCCACACATATGTTCATACGGTGCTGGTAGATAAATGTGAGTTTGACTGAACGCTAATCTCCAGCCTCATGCAAACTATGCGAGCAAATCAAGTTCAACCTATCGTCATTTGGGATCAACGTGGTGTGAGGGATTGGAAAGCTCCCGAAGCTCGAAAAAGACTAGCGACCCGAGCTCTAAATTTAGGTCGGGTGAGACATGAAGAATCTCGTTTGGAAAGATTGAGATCATTACAAGAAGTCATCCGAAAATTGAGGGGAATCGATGAGGAGGAACGAAAGTTGATTTTGGGTGTCATACAAGGATTATATCCTCGACAACCTTTTCCAGCTACTGAGACTCTACCAACCACTTCAACCATCTTTGCTCGACTTGACGAATCACCGGACTCTTCATCCGTTTCCGATCAGACAGCTATCACCTCACAGGATACTTCTTCACCCTCAGCATCAGTTTCTCCCAGAAACGACAATGTCACCTCAAATGAATCTGTGCCGAGTGGACCGACATTCTCGCCTGATATACTTTCAAACCTATCCGGTCCAGCCTTAGAATGTTTCTTCACTCTCATGGATATCTATCAACAATATTGGTCTTCCATAACCCCCCACGACCCAATCCGAACCAAAGAAATCTCCGATGTTCTCGAACATGTACGTGATCTTGAAAACCTACATCAAACCATCGAACCACTTCCACCATCGCCAATTCCTCCAATGGATATTTCTACCGAAGTTTTAGATGAGAAAATAGAAGAAGTCATGTCTGTTGGTCCTGCTCCAGAAACACCAAGACAAGCACAACTCACAAAGATAGAGGGTGGAATTTTAGCATCTCTTCTAGATACACCTACTACCTTCTTACCGGGTGAAGTAGAAGAATCAACTTCGAGTGAATTAGTGGAGAGGGGGATGGATGATGGGATGAGGATGAAACAGTTGGAAAGATTGATTGAGACATCACCAACCATCAAAAGGGTTTTTGATAAAGCTTTGGATATACCCACAACGACGATTTTCGAACGATGTAAAGAGTTGTTAGTCAAGATGGGAGTTCCAACTCTTGAGGCTGAGATACCTTTTGAAGGGGAAGGTTTAGCGGCAAGTTTGGCTAAAGCTGGGTTGGTAGATTTTGTAGGAACGGAAGATTCTGATGTTATAGCGTATGAAGTGAGTTTCTTTTCATTTTAATCAAACAGCACACTCTATCACATTCACTCAAATCTCTCCAGAAATAACCGGTCGACATCCTTACATCTGATTACGGGTTGACAAAATCTTTACCATCGTATAATCATTGTGTTACATGCCCTCACCTTCCCCTCAGGATATCTTCGTGCAATCTGTCAGAACAATTTTTTTGAATGAACTGTGATTCTAATTCATAGGGTCCATTATTAAAAGGTCTCACATCAACAAAAGAACCTTTAACCTTGATAGACGGATCTAATCTTCGAACTCTTACTTCCCTCTCTTCATCATCATTCTTAGACTTCTGTATACTTTTAGGAACAGACGCTTCTCCAAGAATTCCAAACGTAGGTCCTATAAACGCATATAAATTGATACTTCAATATTCTTCCATCGAATCAATTCTCTCAAATGAACCAAATATAAAAAATCGGATAGAAGACTTAGAAGAGTTTATGAGATTGGTAAAGAATGCCAGAGAAGTATTTGGGAAATTACCCCCTATACATCAGGGGATAGAATTAAGACAAGGATATTTGGATAAAGTTGGTGTGGAAAAGTTTTTGGTTCAGAATGGAATTGGAGTTTTGGATAGTGGTGATGAAGATGAAAGGTTTGAAGTGGTTTATGATATTGAAGATGCACCATCGGTTGGGGAATGGGATGAAAGCTGGGATGATATAAGTTTGACAATGAATAGATCTTCAAAGACGAGCTAGGACAATGGAAGATGAAAGAGGAGAAGGACGCCCATGAAAGTCCGAAGGCATGGAAATCCCAAGTTGAATCCGAAGGATGTTGAAACATCAGGTTCGAACTTGTTTCGAGAGTATCACATGACAGGACGGCAAAAGATGTCGTATCGGATTGAAAGTCGGAATGATGTGCAGCTTCGCGAGCTTCGACGACTCACCAGATTGGGTTGGACTTGGACCGATTGTCTCGTGTCATATTATACAGTACATACACTTCTACAAATACTCCAGATCAAGCCAGTGGGAGAAACTCCAATGACGACGTGATGCCCAACAGGAACCTTACGAGTAATCACTCTTCGTAGTTATGGTGAAAGCTGATAATGTTAAAGTATGGTAACGAAAACTTACATGCATGGTCCATGCAATACACGACTGCTACAAGTCAAATTTCTATTATCTGAATATACATTTCTTCCTTCCCCTTCTTCAATTCTTCCCCATTCACCCATTTCCCAAGATTTCAAGAATCGCCAATGTCCATGATCGACCAAATATTCTATTCACATATGTTACACCCCTTCCTCTTCCTTCCAATGCCAAAGATGATACACATATCTACAATACTCCTATTCCTTAAGCTTACATGTGTATATCAGTGCGAGTCTTATACACATGTCCTTATGCCCAAAACCTCCCAATGCAATTCCAATTAAACGACTTTTTATCGCCTTTCATCCATGTCGGCGAAAATCGGAGGAGCTAATACTAAATTTGAATGTTCTTTCACTCTTCCTTCCTCTCTTTCAGGTCTATCGGCAAATAAAACCCTTGCGACTTTCCCATTCCCATTCCGATCTGTCATCATAGAAGTGGAAGATGATTTCTTCATTGGACTTGGAGAATGAGCTAAAAACATCATCAATTCCGCTGCTGTCTTATCTTCTTCTTCTCTATCTTTCCCCACTTCTTCATTCTCCAGAACTTGATTCACATCATCGTCTTCTCGAAAAGATGGATAATCATCAATATCTTCATCTGCAACACTATTGATTGATCTATCTCTTCTTATTCTCGCTCGAGGAGTAGTATTGGGAGTTTGTCGTCTTGGTTGAGATATCATTTGATTCTGAGACGAGCTTCGACTCTGGGTTTGTGATTCAGGTGTAGGTGAAGTATTAGTTGAAACGGAAGAAGCAGCTAACATTGATGTTAAAGCATTTGCAGCATCAACATCTTGAATAGAAACTCTTCTTGTAGAATGTGATTGTGATTGTGAACGTATTTTCTTTTGACCTTTCGAACCTTTCGTGTCGTTTGTTGAGATACCACCATAAGGGATTTCCGATCTTGTGGGTCGAAGTGGAGAAATAGGATGTAACATTACTGAACTTGATCGACGATGGTTTTTATTGGTGTTGGTAGGAGTTGTATGAGGTGAATAAGGAGGTGAATCACGATTTCTTTTACGTGGTGAAGAAGGTGAAACTGGAAAACGTGAATGTGAAGGTGGTGGAAGTGGTTGCCATAAAACATCAATGAGTTGCCATGGACGTGATGGTGATGGAGGTGAATAAACTTTATTAGATGTTATAGGTGATGAGAAATGTGTAGGGGAGACTGGAGATGGTGGACCGAGTGAACGACGTTTGGATGGACCTGGTGGTAGATGCTGTGTGGTTAGCGATACGTTTCCTCTTCGATCACATATCCCTTCGAATCTTTGATGACTATCCCTGTTTTCCCGATAGGCTCCCCCGAAAATATATGTTCTTTTCAGAAATCCGTCTATCTGTGATGCCAAATCATATGACCATTTGCATATCATATGACTATTCGAGATACAAGCTCTCATGAAGGTGATCCTGCATGAAACAGGTGACCTGCCGTGAGACAGGGATACGGGATGGATTACGAGAGGGTTGAAGGGTGAACGGATGAGAGGTAGTGAGATGGAATAATCACTCACGTTCTCAATTTCTTTCATGGATAAATCCTGCCAACCATTTTCGTTCTTGACGCTAGCCAACTCTAACCGTTGTTGTAACAAATGCATTTTCCGATCGTCAGCGTCATCCTCATAATCCCGGTCCATTATTCATTACCCATACCAGCTTCTTAGACTTGTTTCATCCCCATGTCCCTATCCATTGAACGCCGGTCATTTTCCCATTCACGTTCTAATCATCGAAGATACCTTGGTCATGTTTACAAGGAGAATGGATATATGCGTGGGAGATCGGAGATTGATTCAGATGATAGATGTAGAAATCACTCACCTTCTCCATCTCCATCCTTCTTAAGAACTTATCAACTTCGCCATCTTGTGTGGTATTGCAAGAAACGCTCTCCCTTCCCAATAAGGACGAAGCGGACATTTCCGTACTTTCAAGTGAATGTCCACCGCTACTTTCGGTTTTATCAAGGAAAGATTGTGATGAACTTGTAGATGGTGTCACTTCCCTACTTTGACTCCGAGATACTCGTATCATCACGGCTTTTCCTTTCTCCTTCGGATTCGACACACGAGTGATCTCTTCTCTGCCGAATGATAAGATGTATGATCGAGTCGAGTATGAAGGTGAGTATGTGAGTAGATGAATGTCAAGATGAAGATGGAACAAGTCGATATTCAAGAAGGAAGATGTGAGATGTGCGATGAGTGATGGGAGAGGATCGAGGGAGGGAAGGGAGGGGGTGCGATGGAGGGAGAGGGTGGGGAATGGGGTTCGATAGATTTGAATCGCGTTTTTTAAACTTGACGCGTCGTCGTCCTTCACTTTCTTCTTCTTCCCTCTTTTCAAGCCTTTGCCTGTACAAGATATCACCTCGTGCTTTCCTGCCTCCCGATTGAGGTTTGGCTTATTGAGTATGGAGAGACTTGTATGTCTTAGTATGTGCTATGCTACGACGTATGTTTCGAAAAGCGTTTGAGTGAGCAGAGTCAGAATACGAGTGTCACTTTACAGAGCAGAGTACGCCGTCCACGCGCCACGCGCCGAGAGAGAAAAGTGAGTCAAGACGCAAGGGCGAGACCCGAGGCACACACGGGACACTCCGATCAGGATCAGGACAGTACACGGACGATAGGGACTAGTTGTCTCAGGGCTTTAGCTTTAACCGGAAATCGGCAATTTCGGCATTTGCTTCTCCTTCGTAACCTCTTCGGCCGTGCGTTAGACACGGATTACGACATGCCACATTGCCACACTTGAGCGCACAGACTTGCCATTCATCCTTGCTGCCATTTCTCATCGCTTAACTGTATGATACATGCCCATGCTTTTTGGTTACTTTACAACATGAATATTGCTTATGCTCATGCTATGCCTCTCCTTGTCAGATCATGCAAACCATTCAGAAACCCTGTTCAGCCAGATAATCAGCCTTCTCATCAGCCACTTCTCTCTCTTGCCATCTCTCAAAAGAATCAACTCACCACCTCGAGATAAAATGTGGCAGGTTTGAATGTGATAGGTTTTCCTGTCCAACCTGACAATGCATATCGAACATGATTCACCCATCCCACCCTTTTCTTCAGCTCTCCCTCTTCTACACGGATGGGAACACTTACAGATCCAGATGATTTACACCTAACAATGTACCCCGGTATTCACCCCATTGAGCACTTTGAACAGAAACCAACCCATCATTCGGTCCTTCTTTCGCTAATACAACCGAATGAGGCCATCTGAAAGTATCCAAAAGACCCGGTTCAAAACTCGCTCCCCAGCTGTAATACTTAACGTCCGGTCGGTCAAGTATCAACGCGTTAAACTCTTGCATACTCCGAGTGCCTAGAGCTTCGAACGCTGTCCCATCCCCGGATTGTGGTAGACGGAAGGTTTCCATCAATGACAACAAACTCGTCAGACGTTCCCTTCCGATGACATTGTCGATAACGTAATCGGCGAATGGGGAGCCGCGATGAGGAGTGGAGATTGTGGTCAAGGATACAGGGGTGAATCGTTTGTTTGGGAATTCAGAAACGAGGAAACGACAATCTAGACCTCCCATGGAATGTCCAATGAGGTTGATTTTCTGATGAGGATATCGTTCGGAGATGGCTTCTTCCAGTATGGCAGCTCGGTCTTTGATCGATGATGTGGCGGGGACGCGGGTTATGAGGACGTCGCAGCCGTTAGCTTCGAGCACCTCGCGGATCCCTCGCCAGTGGGAGATTTGAAGTCTGGGCGTCAGAAAGATCAAGACCACCAGATGAGTTATCGTCAGAGCACCCCGACATGAGGAGATCGTGACGTTGACCTAAACACGGGCCAGTGGTGACGTGATGTCCAGTCACACAAGAGAAAACGCAGGGCAATACAATCCGAACAGCAGTTGATTTGAGGTATGAAGGATGATGGGGATTGTCTGGAAACACCTACGGAGGTAGACTGGCCGGACCAATATAATCAAACCCCAAAAGTCCATGACAAAACACCAACGGATATTTCGGTGTCTTATATTTCCTTCTGAGTTTCTCTTGTTCTTCCTCCACTGTCTCCGCTTGATCCTCTTCGGCCAAATCTTTGTCCACATCCTTTTTATGACCAGACCACCAACCTGGTGTCCAGCCAAACCAATCGTCTTGTTTACTCGAAGTAGACATACTCCTCTTTCTCTCCACCCCTTTCTCCGTTGCCTTTGGCCACGTAAGAGGTATGGATGGTAAAGAAGGTAAGAACGAAGTCTTTTGTTTAGGAGGGGTTTTCATTAGATCCGTTATCGTTCTTTGTAAATGTAATGACGCTACGTCTGTGTCTTCCTCTGTATGTCTGGAAATCTCAAGTGGAAGACCTGTTGTGGGGTCAAGATCAGGAAAGGGTTCATCGTTCGTAGCGACTGTGGGTAATCGCCACGAGGCCGAAGATGAAGATTCACCATTTTGGAGTAAGTTGAAATGTGATTGTTGATAGTGATATCGTTTGTTTTCTTCCATTTGAGCATATGTAAGACTGGAACTTGGTAATGTGGAACGAGTCAGTTGAGAAAGAAGTTTAGGACGTTGGTATAAAGGTGAAATTGGATGATGTGCTTGAGGAGGAGCAGGAATGGGAGATGGACGATGGGAGAAAGAAGAATCTATGCTGTATGGTGTGGAAATGGATTGGAGAGGTGTATCTAGAGCTTCTTGAATTGACGAGTGGAGAGAGTGAGCGAGAGGGGGTGGAATGGTTTTGGATTTGCCTTTGTCTTGCGACATGCGGGGTGGGTTATGTTGAGTGTGACCATTTGAGGGGTTGGAGGGGACCATGCTGATATTACGATATCCAAGAGGGATCAATCGTGGGAGCCGTTGGGCAGACTTGACGATGAGCATGTGTGACCGAAGCTACTAGCTACTAGCTTCTGGCCACCAGTCCACGGCGTGAATAATTAGGGAGAGAAAGGGGTGGCAAGGAAGGTGATATGTACGAGTAGTACGGGGGAGAAAGGTGGAAGAGAAAGACGTCATCGACATTTTCAAAGAAAGACGCGACTCTCTTTCCTCATCCATTCACATACAAACCCATCATAGATCTATAGACCTATGAGGTAGAAACATGCTGTCCCCATCGAAAAGAGGAGAATCCTCATTGTCAGCATCTACGGCAATCACGGAATCTTCACTACCTCTGAGGATAGCTCTAGGAACTCTACTCATCAAAGTCTTTCCACTCCATCCTGATGGTCACGCCTATTCGGAGGAAGATGCAATCTATTCACACATTTTCACCTCTACCATCCTTCGTATAGTGGCTAGGGAGATTCTTGAAGTGAGTTTTCATCTTACTTCAACCCAAGGGTCATAGAACATATCCAAGACTACTTCTACTCTTTCAGTCACTTCTAAGGGGAGCTTGTTTGAAGAAGCGAGACATTCAAAACTTATGACAGTTGGCTACCCCTGCAACCTACATTTCTCTCTTGCGGGAAACAGACCCTCTCATCAAGACCGAGATAAAACGTCTAGATCATCGTATAGAACGTAAACGTCAAAGAGGGGAACATTATGATCATCTCGATCCCTTTTTGGAGTTTGAGAGTTGGTTGGGACCGTTCGTACGTCACAACTTCTTCACTTTATCTTGCTGAAATCAGTCTTCCACTTTTTCCGACCCGTGCGATGGGTGTGAATACATCCGACGTATGTCCTCTCGCTCTCCTTTTCTTAAGCCTTCCCTTCTCAAGTCTTCCTTACCTCTTCTCATCTCTCCATGTCTCGCTTATCGCCTCCTATCTCTCTTCTCCATCTTGCACAGCTGGGCTGATGAAACAGAGATGGAAAAGGATCTATACGGATTATACGGGGAAGATGAAGAAGGTACAGATGTAAGTTTCTCTTCCATCATCATGCTTTCATGAAAGTCCGTTTTATCGTGATTGAGATGAAAGGGAGCTGATGGATAGTTGAGCGTCATACCCAAACCTATAGAACATCAATCGGTCATTGGAATTTTCATCAGAGATCTCTTACTCACATTACGAAAAATGTCTTTTGAGGAGAGTATAACTTTGAGTCGGCTCATGGGTATATGGTGTGGGGCCAATGTCCCTTCTATCACAAGACCATTGCACATATATTCTTTGAACCGTAAGTTTTATCTCCTCCCCCCTCTGAACATAAACCCATGCCTCTCACAAATTAGGCCACCAAAGGTTCGGTTTTTCTTCGGACAGCAAAAGTTTAATCAGAGATGACAAACGAGACATAATGGAGATCCAGGTATCGACGCTGATCCCGCAGGAAAGACAGCAATGGAAGATACTTTTCGAAAGCGCCAAGACGCTCTTCAGAAATATACATCCGCATCTGCTTCGGGTGATCATACCAAAGCTCTCCATGCTCTTCGACAATTTTATGACTATCAGTTCCCCGCCAATTTGAGGTTAGTTGATGTTCTGAACGCTCGACCTCTATGACTAGCTTATAGCTGCAGAGGACAACATCAACATGCTTTGTTAGGTCTGGCTACGTTTCATTATTCTACCCGAGGGGTGGAGGTGGCCCGTACTGTGAGTCAAGCCCTCTATTCTCTCCATGCTCGCGCGTGTTCTGGACAGCTTTTGTTCTGCAGTGATCTTTCTATTCCATTATTAGAGCTGATTCAAGGCGGTGAACGAATCGATCCGCGTGGCTAGAGCAGAAGGGGACAAACAATGTCTACAAAAATGTCTGAGCTTGTTACGTCGTCTCGACCTAGAAGCCTCACCAGTATCATCAGGAGGTTCAGAGGGTTTGAGGATTTCTCAAGCTCCACTACCGGCAAGTAAACTTTCTCCAGCCACTTCGGCAAATGACGAGCTATGGTCGATCAAACCCGCTCTTGATTTGGTGAGTTCTCCAAACCATGTATTTCCATCGGTGCTCTTATATGAAAGAAGTCTCCCTCGTCTAAAGCCCCTCCATGATCTATGGATGAGACTGACATCTAGGGAGAACCCATACATGTGGCTTTAGGCAGGGTACATCGGGCGTTGGGAAGATACGAAACCTCTATCGCTCCCTCAGAAGAAAGCAAAGAGCTTGTTCCGCCGGATGAACTGGACATGGCAGCGTGGCACTCGACTCAGGCCGCTCTGTGGTCTTCACTCGGTGAGTATCCAATTGAAACAAGAATAGACCCTGATGATAGGCTCTAACACATTATGTAATTTGCATATGAATATGGCATCGAGACATGCTTCCAATCCCACCGCTAGACTTACTGTGGCCCTTTCCAAAGCCGAGCGGGTGAGTATGCCGTTTCCTTCCCGTCTTCCTCCCCCCCTTCAACACTGTCTCTTCACATGTCAGAATCCGTTCGAGTGGTTCTCATCGGAGACATGAATGAGACATGACCTTCCTTTCCAATTTATCACAAGTTCAGTGTTTGGAACAGAGCGAGACTGATACCAAAGGCTGCCGATCAAGCAGAGTACGACAAATCACTTTCCATCTTATTAGATATGAACCTCCTAGACGGAATGTCCATTGCAGATTATCAACGTTGGAGTGAAGTTTCATTCGTCATTCTGAGACGAAGGGCAAATATGAGGTACGTCAACTTCCTTCACTTATCTGATTAGAGATGACCGTTAGGGGTAACGAAGATGCATTGATGGTTTTACGTCATTTAGATGGTGGTCCCCCTACGCCATTCCACTCTAGTGAACCATCGGGAGAAGGGGTAAAATCGGTCTATGATCATGTACGATTATCTCTGAAAAAGGCTAAAAAGCTGGTAGTGAGTTTTCATCGACCTTCTTCTGAATCCCCTTACCGAGTTTTCTATGTTCTCATGTAAATCTACAACCTCACTGAGGTAGAATCAGTATCAGTGACACTTCTGAGTCGCCTGCCCCATGAGAAAAAAAATCGTTCCTACTCCAGGCAGTCATAGTACGAGCTGGGAGTTATAGGTTCAAATAGAGGACCAAAAGCTGATGAAGAGGAATCTAACTCTCCTTCACACCTCATACTTCCTCTTATACTCTCTTGTACCGAACTTACCATGTCACTCGGTCTTTGGCCAATGTATAGATTAAGTATAGTCCTCCTCTCCCATGTTCTCATTTCCGCAGAGAGTGGCTTGGCTCAGAAAGCGTTGAGTGAGGTGGAAAGTGTTTGGTCGCAGGTATTAGAATCAGGAGATGAAGAAACGATTTGTTTAGCTGCTTTAGCTATGGGGAAAGCGAATGTCGAATTGGGTTTAGACAAGCACTCAGAGGTATTGTTATGTGCGTGATGTCCCCTTTCCTTCCCCTCTCACCTTACCTTAATCCTCCTGGCTCTTCTTAACTTCAGACCTGCCCTATCGCTTTCTTTTCCTTCTACTTCTTTCCACATCTGTTGCTTTCATAGCTCCTATCCTGGGGATCGGAAAGCAGCCCCGCTTATGATTGATGATTATGTTTATGATGAGTCCCGGCGTACGCTGACATATAGCAAAAGCGAGACATGACGTCGAAACGGCTTTGATAGCAGCAAGAAAACTCGAGTCAACTTCCTTGATCCAACAATGTCTCACGATCCTATCTCTCCTCGCAGACTTGGCCGTATCGGACGATCGGGATGATTTAGCAGAAGAATGGGCTTCTTCGTATCGTAAAGATCAAACGGATTTCAAAGGAGATTTACAGACCATAGGTGAGATCGTCAAGCTGGTAGGTGTACGTGTTATAGAAGGATGGAATGTGACGTGATAACAACTATGCATGTTTTATTACATCCAGTTTCGACATTGATATTTAAGATGCACGTATACACTGATCCCAAGAATGAACGAAGGAGATGGATAAAATGGATGAATGGTCGAAGGGAAAGATGAAGAGATGAAAAGATTGGAAAATGTTAATCATACATTATTGCGAAAAGACGGAATTCGTGTCCTCCTCCTGGATCAAGTGTATGTTGTAGTAATTCACAAGAAAGTGAATGATGACCAGGTTCTAAACCATCGGCAATTTGTGTTACCCTATCTATCAGTCTCATCCTTGAAAACCTTTCTATACTCCAAAATGCCCACTGTTTCATATTTCCAACTTCAGGGACAAGTAAGTGCAATCTAGCCCGGTCTCGATATTCAGTTTTCAATAGGTGAAGGAACGAAGAGATCATGTAAGATTAGACGATGTTTGCTTGTGAAAAGAAAAAAGAGAAAACGTAAACTCACATGCCCATATTCCTTTCCTCAATAGACCACCAACCATCAACCACTTCTTGATTTTCTTCATCATTATCAATCCAACATCTCACACTCCCAAGACCTAAAATAGCACTTCTCTGATAAGCTATACCTACTCCACCGCCAATATAATGTAATTCGGGAGTATCACGTTCGATAATATCAGGAAGACCTAATTCATCTTCTTGATAATCCCCACTGGACTGTGGGTCGGTGGGGATTTGAGGGGGGGAAGGAGGTAGGGCAAGCATAGGATGAGGGACTATAAAGTCGACTGTGAGTTTAGCACCGGGTGTACGGGCGACATAATAATGTTTTTCTTCCCATGCCCAGAGTTCCCTTATGGTCAGCTAAAACAAGAAACGACGTCTTTCATAGCACATTGGTTGCTTTTGTTATACAGATCAGATCCGTGCAACTTTTAAGGAAACTACTCCAGACTCCGAGCGTGTCTAGGAGTTTGGTATCGATGTGTGGGGACGAAAGTGACCTGAAGGAAGTTGAGTGGATGAAAATGGCATGATAACGGGCGAGTGGTTATTTACCAGGTGTGAAGGAGGTTACAGAGTGAGCAGGGGGGTTTGTGAAAGAAAGAACGGAAGAAGCAAACAACATACCACCCATGAGTTGAAGAACTCGGTTGAACTCCTGGAACTCGTGGTAAAGTCGGATCAGCAATCCCATTCACCACTGGTTTATGTAATTTAGCAGAGTTGAGCGAACGACAATGAGGTTGTCTAATCGGTGGTGAAGAAAGTGGATCGAAAGGTGATGTCAAAGATGTCTGATTCTTAGCAAAGAACCCCGCGAAATACAAAGATGTAAAGACGTACCATAGGAATATCAGATATTCTCGATACGGCAGAAGATTTTTGAGGTATGATAGTTCTGAAAGGGGTCCAATTGGAGCTTGGGTGCATTTGACCAGTAAGATATCGAATGACTAAACTTGCTGCCAGTGCATGTCCCAGAGCTGAAATCTGTAAATCAGCTTAAAAGTCGCACATAAGGAATGGTTGAGACTGGAGAATGAGTCACTCACATGCATCAAATCTACGGGGATTCCACCCCATTCGCGGACTTTGGAATCTCCTAAATGTACATCTGAGCCAGTTCGGAACCATTTTGGAAGTTCTTCATCTGGGGCTTCGTTGATTCGAGGAAGTAGAACATCTCGGATGGATAAGGAAGGAATGTCATAATATGATAAAACGTCTTGATGTAGGGAAGAAGATTGTAGAAGGGTAGGGAAAAGAAGAGTGAGAGTTCTGGTCATAAGAATTGATCCTTGATTGTAGGCCCGGCACACCACACATCGGATCAAGACAGTTTCTTTGGGATTTGAGACTTCCAGCAAGACGTTGATGGAGGCACGGAGAAAATGATGGCGTGAGGGGTTTCACTCACTCGATATTTATTATAGCAGGTCTTGATTCTAATTGGAGTATACTCCTTATTAGATGTTCATACGATTCAATGATGTCTAAATCAAGAAGATCATTTATACCGAGTTCGAGTAAGACTAGATCTGAATCGTCGGGAATGTGTTCTTCTGCATCATCAGCGATACATTCAACCTTCTCTCCACTTTCCTTTCAACCTAGTTGTCCAATTGCCTTGCTTGACGATTTACAAAAAAAATGATCGGTGAAGGTGGACGACATCTTAGTGTCTTATATTAGGAGTGGGTGGGTGTGGATGTCATCTTAGTGTCTTAAAGGAGGAAAGCTTTGAAAGAGAATTAGATAAACGAGAAAAAGTATGAAATGGACATACTAAAACACCATCCAAAATAACCAGCCCCCACCCCTCCTTGAGCCCCATTGATCAATCGATTACCCGGATGAGGAAAAGTAAAGTTAAGCCAATCGAAAATGAGGACATGCATGTTCTCAGGGGAATAAAGGGTATTGGCACCTAATGGCGGAGTGAAAGGTTCTGAGGCTTCTTCTGCTGCTTGACGTCTGGAGTGTGAAGTAAGATGAGATGGAGGGGTCAAACCTCTACCTTTTGATACTACATTTCAGTGACTTACATATTCTCGTACAAGAGAGTTAGTTTTTGATAAGAATGAGATGTGTGTGAACTCACCACTACCACCAATGACAGAAACTGTAAAAGGTCGTCTTTTCTTTGCTTTATCAAAGAAAGATCGAATTCTTTCACCAGTTCCTTCATATACCAAAGCTCTCCGATATTCCCATTGTCTATGAATCAGCACAAATCAGAATTTATTATCTCTCTTTGGCCTCTTCATCCCATTCTCATTTTCTGAAACACCCCAAGTATGTCTTTCCATATAACCGTGGAGCATGTAGCATGTCTTACTTGTAACTCTCGAACCCCTCCTTCTTTTCGACACGGGGCGAATTAACGAATCCCAGAAAGGACCAGCCAAAACCGAGGTGTTTCCCTTTTGACAAGGATCAAGAAAGTAAGTTCAAATAGAAAGAACACAAACGAAGTCTGATTCTAAGAGGCATATCTAACATGAAGCTAGAAGATGACTTGTCAAAAGATTAAAAAGAAAAAGAACTCACTTCATATCTTCATCCTCTGGTCTACTCCAAATCCATCCTTCTCTAGTTTTCTCCACTACTTTTCTCAAACTCTTATGCGCCGGACTGAGAGGGACGAGAATGAATAAAGCGAGGATGATAGCAATTATTATTATTCCTGTTCTGGGTATTCGAGTGAACATGTTAATTTACTTTTTGCTCGTGACTTCTCTCTCTAATGATATGTCGTTTCCGGCTCACCATGTAGGTCGAAGCTAGAATCGAAAGTTGTCGTCGTCGAAGATGATCGTCTATTTGGTAGATTGAGCTCGAGAAAGTGAGAGACCAATAGATCGTCTTTGATGAGTTGACGGCAAGGATTAAGAGCTACGCTACCGACTAGAAATGGACTTATCCCGTACGTTGCCAGTCACGAGTCGTAGAGCCAACGATGAGTTGCTGTAGGTAATTGAAAGTGAAGATAAGAGGGCATGAGACTATCTACAATGGAGTATCATTTGAAGACATGCCAAGTACCAAGAGTGGAGATGAGAAGGTGAGTTGGGTGTAGTACTCTAGTCGGGACTTGACTTTTCGACCACACAGGGTACAGGGGCGAATTAAGGTTTACTGGATCTGTCCGAACTGCCCTATGTAGGGTGACTGCCCACTGGCCACTGACGAGTACGATGCTTCATGCTGCAGCGTATGATACTGTACATACGAAAGAAAATAAGTCGTTGAATGTGTTACATCGTTGTTTCGTGACCATGTATCATGTATCATGTTTCAAGTATCAAGTTTTCTCATGCTGATAGACCTCGACCTGAACCCCATGCAAACTAACCACTCTTCAACGACACCTCGCTCAACACCCTGAAAGCCTCCTTATAAGCGTCCAACAGAGCTTTGACCCGAGTTCGTTCTGCCACAAGAGCGTCGTCTTCGTATAACAACTCTGCGAAAAGTTCAGGTTTGTAGAGTGAAGTGACGAGACGTTGTTGTACCGCGTCGCGGGAGAAGTTGACCTGTGGTATTAGCTAGATTTCGCGTATGAAGTGACGCTTCAAATATTCCATTCGTACAGACATGTGTGAAGTAGCGGAAAGAGTGGATTCAGGAGGGTGCGAGCTTGGAATGGTGTAGGATGGGTGGGAGCGTAAGGTGAGAGATAGTAAGGAGGCTAGGAAACACAGAGGGAAGGGCAAGGATCATCAGGGGGGTGAGATTGACACGAAAATGAACCGTGACTCACCAACAAATGCATCACCGCTTTAGGTACCAAATCCTGTATAGTCTGACGAACTATACCGAAATAACTAGCGATGAGTGATCGAATAAGTGTCGTCTCCATTTCTTCCCGTGGTGTCAGATGTAGAGGATGGTCTACTGGGCCCTGAAAATTAGTCACTTCACCCTTTCTCCCCTGCCTTGCCCCCGGATCCGAACCGCATGGCACCACATGAGAGCTCTCTGGAATTTCCTCTCCAATATGACGAGATCAAACCCGCCGCCATACACCGATCAGTGAAAGCTGTGACCAGAGCAGGTGGTAAAGAGGGGCGAAGTGAAGAGAAGAAACAAACAACTCCGTAACTCACAGCCTCCAAATGTTTCCCAAGACTTTTCATGTCAAAAGCAGTACTACCGTCCAACCCACTTCTACTCACTTGTCTCTTATTGAGATCCGGTAACAACTCTCTCCCATTAAACCCGCTTCCCATCTGTCTTCTACTCTCTCCAACTCTCTCAAATCTCGCATCTGTGCTCATTGATGAATTCGTCGATCCAGGGACTAACGAAGGTGTGGAGCCATTTGGTCCACCAAAGAAATAATTCAAAAACGATTCTTTGGCACCATGTGGCGATGAGTTCATTGCTAATAATGACGGATTAGTTTGGTTTGTGTTTGGGTTCAGGTTTGCGACACTACCACTTGCTGCTCGATGATGATTCCTCGTTTTCCCTTCTGGTCCTTTGGTATTGGAAGGTCTACGATTGTCCGGGACTGAGGTTGAAGCTGATCGAGGATGATGGATGTTAGGTATTGGTGCTCCGTTCGGTGCTGTTGAACCAGATCCTGAAGAAGCTACTTCTTCTTCTTCACCAGAGGAATGATGAGAGGGTTCTTTCTGCATCGGTTGAGGTTTAGGTGCACCTGCCCGAGCGATAGCGGCGGATCCGGCCACGAAATCAGGATGATTGGTGTTGATATAAGCTGCCTGAATGGCGATGAGACTAGAGACGTATTCCGAAGTAGGTCCTAGTCTTTCTCGTAAAAGTTCTGAGACGACCTCGACCAATTGAGTCAATAGTCTGGGGAATCGTTGTAGCTCCTTTCTCATCAGCCAGGGAACAGATGAGACTTGGGAGGAAAGGGGTGTCAACTCGGGCGAGAGAACTCACGGGAGAAGTACAATTATGACAAATTTTCATCAATTCCTCATACACCAATTCAACACATCGTAAACTTGGCGGCTCGAGTAATTTGATTTGAGGTTTCACCAATAAGTCAAACGCCACTTCAGGTACGAACAAGCTAGGTCTAGGTCCAGTGGAATTACGAATGGCAGTACGGATGTCGGTGAGTGAAAGGTTCAAGGTGGGATCAATGTTTTGTAAAGCATGACCGAAGACTTCGTTGAAGATAAAGTAAACTCGAGCACCACCACACAATTCTTTGGTAGAGATTTCGAGTGACGTGCCGTCGATGGACGAGACAAAGTCTTTGGAGAACTCGGTCATGAGTTTGAGGATGAGAGAACCACGGTGTTGTTCACCGAGGAATGTCGCGTCGCCAAAGGCATTCAATTCCTGTTGAGTCTGCCCCATGAGAGTATTGAGTCGGGCTTTCATATCGGGGAGTTTTTCTCGAATGTGGGACATGAGTACCTGCGAGTCAGTTGCATCATTCGACACATCCAGTTGATCCGTGTAGAGTGCTCTGAGAGCACTCGGAAAGAAACTCATTTGTCTTGTTGGCTTTGAGAAGAGGATCGTGCCAGCACGAATCATGAGGATGATCTCCCGACAGAGACTAAATGATGCAATGGAAAGACTAAGCTGAGCAAGGGTCATTTCTACTCACGGAGTTCAGTGTCTTGGCCAAATACCTCGTCCCGCATCGATGTGCGATATTCCTGTAAACAGCATGTGATCTGAAAAACTCCTCTTCCTTCTTCTTAGCCTCTTCCAACGGTACATCACTCATGATATCCTGTTGACTACGGTTGACCACCCCGACGAATCCCAACTTCAGTGGGTAAGTTCGACCCGTCAAGACGTCGAGTGCGTTGGTTCCAGCGTCCATGAGATCGAGTTTGGTCAATACTCCCAATGTACGTAAACCGCGTGGATCGACAGATCGAGCCAGCTTGAGGGCATCTGAATTTGCGAGATCGACGTTGGCTGGGGATACGGCGAGGATGACGCTGGGTATCAGTACCCTGACTGTATGCAAGAATGCCCGCCAAGCATGTTATCGGAGCCTCAAACTAAGTGGGAAAAAACATGCGACAGGGAGCCGGGGAGAGAGTGGTGTGAGGACAAGAGAATAGGGACGAGGGGCTTTTTGTTGTTGTTGAAGGGGGGAGGGGAGAGGGGAGAGGGGAAACTATGTACACTCCGACCAGATGTGTCACAAGAATCGGACAGAGAAACTCACGCATTAGGTTTCGAGATATAATCCAAGACGAGACTCTTTATCTGTCTTTCTATATCCGTCGGTTGATCACCAACCGGAACTTTTGTCAGACCGGGAAGATCAACCAAAGTGAGGTTCAAAACACCCGGACCGTAAATCTTAAGGTTGATAGGTAATCTAGAAACTCCCTATCAAGTCAACCCCCACTCAAGCTGTTAAAAAACTATCAAATAGATGATTAGTCTTTGAAAGTTTAGACTCACTTTATTTTGTCCAGCTACACGAAAAGTTTCAGCTTCAATCTCTTTTCTAATCTCATCAAAATCCGTAAATCTCCTATTCATATGTAAGAATTCTGCATATTCCGCTCCTTCCCCATTCCCCATTTTTGATCCACCTGGTCTTATCACCCCTGCTCCTGATCCTACCCCCACTTCAGATCTAGAACTGAAAGATTGATTCTGGTCTAATTGAGGTAAATTGCCATCCTCACCAGGAGCAAGGTTTACTCCCACCCTCGGTGAACGTTTGAATGAAGTTCCTGAACTAGAAGCTAAAGACCCGTTTCCATTTCCACCTGTTATTGAAGTACCACTGGGGATCCTAGGTCTGGTTTCGGTTGAAGGCCTTGAAGATGCATTTTGTGAGTCATCTGGACCAGGAGTATGTATGAGTTGTAATATCAATGGTCGACGTGTGACTATACCTTGTCCTCGAGGAAGGAAATCCCTACCGACTATAGTTTCTAAAACTGAAGATTTACCTGATGATTGTGAACCTACTACTACTATTTGAGGAAGATCGACTGTTTCTCCTCCGATGGCGTTGAAGGTGTCTTGAAGCTTGTTGACGAGAGCGATGAGGTCACCGTCCATTGACATTGTGTGGTTGTGGTTCTGAACGAGGTGGAGTGATGTGAGGACGAGCGGGTGTCTGTGTCTGTCGATAGTGGAAAATGGTCGGAAGAGGAGTCTGAGGGGGAAGAGAGGAGATAGAAATGTATGTGTTTGAGATGATGGGGAGAAGTCTGACAGATGTAAGAGATATATAGAGATGGTAGTGGTAAAGTAGGCAACACTCAAGCTCGACGGCATTACACGCACGTCCCTCGGGCCGGCAACTGAAAGGTCACTTTATTCGATCCCCACTTTAGAATACAGGAGAATCTAGATGATGCATACAAGACATGTGATGGTGGTCAAAAGCACGCAAAGGCATATGAGCAGGCCGGCAGGTATGTGGTGAAAGGGGCAATAAAACAGCATGGAGCAAGCAAGCAGAATCATAATTGACTCTCATCGTCCACAAAGACCCTAGCATTCCCTTCACTCCAACGTTCCATAGCCCGTCGTCCGCTCTCGGTAGGTTGTGAGAAAGCCGCCTCTCCTTTGGTAGGATCGAACGTGCAGCCATAAACTGTATGTCTCGCTGCACAGTCTAGCAGATGTCGAGCGGTACCAAGAGATCGATACGAGGGGATGGTATATAATCGATGGATACCTAATGGGGTAGGTAAAGGTGTAGGGCTACGAGGTGAGCAAACGTTCTTCCACTCTGACTGAAGCTACTTGACATCGTCGATGAGACAAGCATGATATTGAGAAGGATCAATGATGTGTAAGAGAGAAGCGAGAAATCAAACGTACTCGCAGATGACCCCTCCTCCACTATCCACCACTCTGACGTCCTCTCCTAACTGTTCACCGGGCCGTAACACCCTCATAGCCCATTTGATCTTCTGAGCCACTACGACTCCCACCACTCTTTCCTTCTGTGACCTCCCCTGCTGGCCCACATTCGGTTTGGATCGTTTATGCGTATTGCTGGGAGGGGAAGATGTCAAGAACAGAAAGACTTTACATTGTGACAAGATAGCGGTCGGAAGAGGTGGTGAACTAAGGACTGTGTCCACCATCCGCAGTATCTCTTCCATCTTCCGTAAGCTTCACCCTTCAAGGTCACATCATTGGATATAACTCACTTTATTACCACCACAAGAGGCATCAAGCATGATGATCCTACCTGATCCTTTTTGTCCAAAATGTATTTCCTCCTCCACCACCTTCAATCTCATCGTCTCTTTGCCTTTTGTCTTACTGGGTGCATCCCAGATGACGCCCCTCACCACTTGTGTATGATGTTTCACATGAACGGCATCGTCTTCGCCTCCTCGTACATATGACATTTGACATTCTTTACACGTGTGAAGTAACGGTAGATGGGTCAAATGCAATTGCGTCAAGTTCGGAGGAGCTGTGGTGTTGACGGAAAGGGATTCCAGAGGACGGGGTCGTTTCAGGGATTTTGGGACAGAAGGAGAAGAAGGAAGTGGTGCGAAGAATGATTTCAACGTGGGTTGAGAAACCACCTTGGTTGAAACAAGCTGTTGATTGTCTTTTCTCTGATGAACAGGGGCGAACGTCCAAGGGCTGGACGATGGCTCAGGCACATTTTCCTGGTCGTCTGAGGAGGGTGGGACGTCGAAAAGAGGTGATGATGAAAGGGGGAGATGAGAGGGAGAAGGGGGAGGAGTTATCAGAGAGCTTGAAGGTGGGGAAGATGATCCCCAGTGGTGGTTTGTCGGAGCGGAGAAGAGAGAGGCGGAAGAGCTAGGTCGGGAGGAGGACGACTTGAGTCCATATGTCCGGACGACGGAGGGTCTGCTATGAGTATTGTTTACTTTAAGCAATTTACCAGGTTAAACTCACCGATGAAGTGGTGGAGAGGACATGGTACTTGTGGAGGAGCAAGTGAACAAGGGATGAGCACGGCAAAGATCCGAGATATGTACTCTGAGGCAAGATACGTAGCAACGAGGGTGAAGGAAAGTGAATGGAGACGCGCTTGTGCCCGCCACATGCCACAAGACGCGTGTGAGTGAATGTGGCTAGAGCAGGGGCATAGGTTACGAGTACCCAACCAACGTCTGTGCAACTTGCAACTATCCTTTGTGTCTCCGTGCAATGCACTCATCAGTGATCCCTGGTGGCTCGCTTGAATCTATGCACATGAGGGGCTGCAATCCTTCTCTATGATCCATGATCCATGAGGCTATGCTGCACGCTGCTCTTGCAAAACTCATGAACGTTTGCACAAAAAAACCCTCCTATCGGTTCCCACGTCGGTAGCGACGAACGCCATTCAGGGTTACGTAAAGTGCATGTCTAATTTGAAACAAGGTATCAACTCCGACGCCGCTTCCGCCATGACGTTTTGCCATCTTCCCTTGGACCAGATGGCGTCGAGTTGTACAAACCAAGGGGAGACGGTTAGAGGGACCGGGTCACACACTGCATCGTGCACGGAAGCGAAAGGATTGAAAACACCCATCAAAAGCCATGGTTATAAAAAGACTCAATTGACGATAGAACCCCTTCCTCCTTACTTGAAATCTCCAGACTAACCTGACACCTCATTCCGCTACACATCGTGACTACCATCTTACCTTTGGCTCACTGATAACTACCTTTCATACTTCACCACATCTACAACGTACAGGAAGTACCATGAGTTCTCTCGGCGACGAACCTCTTTCCGAGATCAACTTTACCGGTGGATTCCCAGAGAATAAGGATTTCGCACCTTCCATCGTATTCCTCATTGCCGTGAGTCTCCCACTTGTTTGAAGGCCTTGAGTTGTGTTGGTATGAGAGGAGAGAATGCTGATGAGATAAGTATGTCTTGATCACACCTCTCTTTTTATACCGAATTTTCCGGAGACAAGATAGAACGTTGATTCTTATCCGACCTGGTATCTTCCTCGGTTGTCGTTATGCAATGTTGATCATACGTGCTATATTGGCCAAAGGGCATTATTCCTTGGGGTTGTTGAGTGAGTGTTTGGTCTTCTCCTCCCGTGTTCGCTTCATCCTCTCCCTATTCACCACCACTCTTTTCTTCGCTCTCATCATCACGCACGATCTTCTCTGAAACATTCCTCACTCCTCACTCCCCAACTTGGCCTTTCGGGCAGACAAAAACCAGCAGAGAAGAATGAGAGATAAGGGAACAAGAACAACTCACTGACTTCTTCAGTCGCCGAACTCGTCCTCGTATCCATCGGTTTCTTATTCCTGATCGAACCTCTCATCTCATTGTGGGAACGTCACGTCAAAGATTCTCTAGGAGATAATCGTCCTTCATGGGTTGTCAGATTAGGTCGGCTTTTGAAAATCGTACTCATCGTCACTATCGCTATTTCCGCCGCATCGGGTGCTTTGGTCAATCAGGCGTTCAAGAGTGCAGATGGGGTGCAAAAAGTCAAGACATTACGAGAGACCGGATATATATTATCGCTTGGTATGTTCATCCATCTTAGTACCTCTTCCCACCCTGAGGACGCACCTTCAACCACTCTCATTGCGACTAATCCCTTTCACACGCTCTGCTACGGGAAATGGTATCCCACCCTTTGAACTTCAGACATCATGATCGAAGATGCTTTTCTTGCGTGATAGAGGAATGAACCTTAGCTGACCATCAGTCGTTGTGGGATTGGCAATCTTCGCTATCGTTTACACACACTTACATTTCTCCCTTCGAACTCAACAAACTGGATTTTTATTGATTCCCGCTTGTTGTCTGTTAATAGTTGCGGTATATAGGGTGGTTCAAACTTATCAAACCGACCCTGATGCTGCTAGTCGTTCCACTGCTGCTTTCTACATCTTACAGGTGTTGTTTGAATTGTGAGTTTTCCCGCGAGAAATCATTTGTAGCTCTTTCATCACCTCTTCGCTCCCTCCTTCAGACTTCCTCCCTCATGAAGACTCTGCTACCATGCTCCAACGGGCTTTCGTGACTTTCTAACCTTGCTTGGATCTTTATTTGTGATCGAATGTCAAAGCTATCACTGCACAGGAACTACAAGTACGTCAGCTGACAAATAGCATCGCCTTCATTGCTCTGATATCAATCTCACTCCCTACTTGGTACCCGGATTACAAAACCTCTTCAAAGGAGAAGAACGGTTATCCCTTACAGACCAGTCAAGTGTAGAAAAGGATCGATCTCAATTATAGAGTTTTGTCGAGATGATGTATTCTTATTCGTATCATGCTTCTCTGTCATGCACCATGCACCTCGGTCACTATGTCATCTATCCGAAACTAACACTAAGTTAGAGTACTCGTACTCATACTTACAGCACAATGGAGGCTCCCGGCTGGTACTCGAGTAAGTCGGGTCAGCAGTACCAAGTGGAGCCCCGCACTCCCACTCTGTGACTCTGTCAACTGTAAATTTCGTATTTCCCCAGCCTACCTGTGTTCAGCTGAGTTCTTCTCAATGGTTCACTATTGGAAGAGATGCAAAGTCAGCTTAAACCATCATAAAGACGCAGAATATTGAGCTGATGATCAGGTCCCTCATTATCATCATTCGATACGGTCTATTCGGCCGATAGCGTCGAATTCTGTCCTCAAGTAGGATACCAAGATATCTTGGTATGTGGGACTTATCAAGTTCTCGAGCAAAGTACGACCTCTCCCAACATTCTCATCAAGCCCGATAAAGTGAACGGTGAGGTGATGCAGAATGACCAAAGAGAAGTTGATGGAGATGAGAGTTATCAAAACGAAATGGAGAAAAGACAAACGGAGAGAATTGGAAGAGTTTATTTGTTTAGAGTGGTTGATGAACGATTGTTAGTCCTACTTCTCCTCTTTCATCATATCAAAAACAAGATATCACCCTCACTACCTGCCAGTTCAGAACCGGGGGGAGGGATGAGGGTGGAAGGAGAATGGGGAAGACGAAAATGAACTGATATGAAGAGTAGAAATTCAGAGAATAGAAACTTCCGCTGTGTTAGATATGAAATGGTCAGTCTCTTTCCTTCTTCTCTTCTTCTTTTTACCCCTCATGTACCATACTCCCTATCTATCCTCTATTGTATGTTCATTTCGAAAGTACAATTCAGTTTCTCCTCTTTATCTATATGGAAATTAGCGTCGAATCACTCGTCTGTGGTTTGTCCCGACACTCCCTAATCCCTCTCTTCTATGTCCAATCGAACATATCTCAATATATATCAATACCTATCTGAAAGTATATCTAACAGTCAGGGCTCCGAGAACATCCGACGAACCTTTATTAGCAATATCAGATGCTAAAGGTTGTATAACCTTTTATTCTCTTCTTCCGTCATATCAACTAGTACTCAAAGATCGAATCCAAGTATGTGAAAAAACTACATTATGTCTTTCACTCGATTGGGCTCCAAGAGGTCTTTATGAAGGGAATCTCATCGTTTCTCTCTCATCAGGAAAATTGGTCCTTCTCTCACCGTCAACTTGTCTTACAACTCAAATTTCCAATACTCCCGACTTGTCACCGGATATATACCCTCCCAATCATGTCTTATGGTTCGACAATACTGGTTCTTCTACGTCGCGAGAGAATCATTTGGACGTAAGTGAGGATGACGATCATTTGGACGTAATTGAGGATAACGGTCATTCGGACAAAATGGAGGATAAAGATCATTTAAACGAAAATGAAGATAACACCACTTATCCGGAAAACTCGCAAAAGGAGACAATAGTCGGGTTGAATGGAAGTAATTGGGAAATGAACATTTGGAATGGTCATGATTATGAACCTTGGATTGTGATTTTTGATCAACATGATCCACATACAGTATGGAGTGGAGGGGATGATTTATTTTTGAAAAAATGGGATTTGAGAGATACTTCCCACCCGACATTTATCAGTAAAAGGTGAATCTTAATTTCTCTCTCATCCTCATGATCTTATCTTATCTTATCGATGTTCTCATTATGCTATCTTTTACACTATATGTCAATTTACCTGCAACTCCATGAATTTTCAGAAGTATGATCAAATACCAAAACCCACTGCTATGGAAAAAAGCTCAATTCAGATTTCCAGCAGGTATAACGACTCTTTCTTCTTCCCCTCACAATCGTTACCTCGCAGTGGGTTCATACGATGGTATCATAAGGATTTATCAAACTCATCCTCATTCCCCTCCGACATTCTTGGCTGAATTAGATGTAGGAGGTGGGATTTGGAGAGCTAGATGGTTTCCTTTTCCACAAAGAAAGGATTTGATCTTGTTGGCTTGCATGCATGACGGATTCAAGGTGGTTGAATTTCAGGATTCTAAGGATCTGAGGAATGGTGATGTGGAGGAGGATTCTGGAACGGGTGATGTTGAAAATGTAATTAAGGATGATGTGGAGGTACGGGAGAAGTATGGTTTGAAAATAGTTCGGAGATTTGACCAACATTCTTCGTTGGCTTATGGAGTTGATTGGTGTCGACTTTCTCCAACCATCGAAGGAGATAATCTAGTTGCTAGTTGTTCATTCTACGATCATATGTTACATCTTTGGAAAGGATGATTCATCATCTTGACCATCTTCCCAAACATCTACATATCAAGAGAAAGAATTCATTCATATCCAATTATCAAAGCTTTTCGCAAGATTTTCATGGACATTATCACCCATCACCCATCCCGACATCATCATCACCATCATCATCTCCAACCTTTATCTCATCCTCATCATCCGATTCAACCCTTATCTGCGCTCCCGAAGACTCTACAACCCTACTCGGTACTTCTCTCATTTGTCTCCTATACATATCTGCGAACTGTTCAGAAGTAGAAGCTTGTTCCCAACCTTTATCATCTCTAACACGTATGAACCTAGGAAATCTCACACTTAAACCTCTTTCCCCACCGAGTAAACTGGCCCCAGCGGGATAAACAGGAGAAAGTGTTATATCCGCCCCTCTAATCTCCCATACTTCACTAGGAGCGAACCAAACGTCTGGACGAAGACCACCAGTGTCGTAATATCCTAAAGGGGAAGATTTACTACATTTTTCAGGTTGACCTTCTGGAGGATAACGGATGAGAAGATCTTTATAAAATTGATCGGTGAAACCGGAAATACCTATGCTTAGTACTGTATCGTTACTTGTTGTTCTGATACTTTCATACCGATATACTTCTTCTCCGGCATATGAACACACACGGAGCCGTTGAAAGAAATCAGAATCTGTTGAAACTCTTCACGTTGTTTGAAAACTCAAGTAGACCAATTCGTATGAGGACTGTGAGGACAGTGTTCGTACGAGCAGGAAGACTTGTGGTTGAAATTTAGAAGGAGGAATAGGTAGAGAGGGGGGCGGAGAGATATTGAAAGAAGAAATTCGCAGTGCGGTTCACTCACATTTACACACTGCTTCCAAAGCTCCCGTTTGGGGATTATGACAAGCCAATAAAATAGGAGACCACCATCCTGCTTTTCTCCCTTGTCCCCACCACGCACCAATAGGTACTAAATCTAACGAATCACCTAAACCTTCCAAATAATCTTTTCGTCAGCTTTACTACGCTTGTCAATAAACTCACCTTTCTTAACCTTTAACCATCCTTGACTTCTCTGATCAGGTTCATACGTCGCAGGTAAAGGTTTCTTGTTTCCACCTCCTTTCTTCCCCTTTTTGCTTGGAGTATTTTCTTTCCCTTCTCCTACGACATCATCATCCTCTGCATCCTCTCCTGTTATACCTTCCCCAGACTCGAGGAGTTTCACCATGACGCCTTCGCACTTTTGCTCCACGACGCGTTCGAAGAAAGTTTGAAGTTCGGCCGGTACGTCCGTTAGAGAGTTGGAGTCGATAGATTCGACATGTTCGAATCGCGCCAATGTGGGATCGGAAGGGTTTTTGAATGATGGGAACAGGGTACGGAGGAGATGTCGACGATGTGAAAAGGGAGCGTCTAGCAAAGGCTATGACATAAGCTTCACTAACAAGACCGAGGTTCTATGTGTGTCCCTCTTTCTCAATTTTGACTTGAAGCAACGCTGGAGTCCGAATAAGAGGTTCAGTAGTATGAAGATCTTAGTCGAGGGACCACTCACCACATCGTCGAGCAACATCAAATCAAAAGCAAAGACCCCAACAACCACCTTGATATCTTCCACCTTCACATCCTTTTTCGCTCTATTCGACAAATCCTGAAAGGTCCTGAACGCTCCAGATTCCTTGTCCACAGCCACGATCTCAGCATCCATGACAAAACTCCTTATCTGCTTCGTCTGTAGCAACGCCAACACATCTTGACTTGGTTCTGATGCTTCTTTGGGGAAGGTGGTTCGAGAAGGAAGTGATCGAGTGAGGAGGGTGAGCACCAGATGTAAAACGTCGGGATACTTCTCCGTCATATCTTCCAAATGTCGCGAGAACAGTCGAACCCAGATTCTAGATCCATCCTCTGCTTCAACCCATCTCCCACCACCGTCAGGCTCACCTTGGGGTCCATCGAATCTAGCGTGTATTTGGACTCTTTGTCCGTCAAGCTTGGCTTCTGCGGTGAAGGGGAGGGTCCCGAGACGGGTGAATACCTCGTTGAGGGAGCGAGTTATTGAACCAAGCATGGGAGATAATGGGATACCTGTGGAGTCATTTCCGACCAACTCTTCTAGGTCCACTTGGACGATATTTCTCTCTCCGCCCTAACCATGCCAAGTATGATGAAAAACTACTCCAGTATCAATGTGAGGGCAAGGGGAATGGGGCAGATGACTCCAAAACTCACCGACGTTGACCGCGACCCTGTCCTCTAGGCCGATCAACCCTCCATTCTCCAATCCAATCACTAGATCTCGATAGTTCGGATGACGCACATATACCTTTCTTACCAACTTCACAGCTTCCAAACACTTCTGTTCCACTTCTTCCCTAGCTGGCTCAGGTTCTACCTTTACTTTGACCGCTCGTTTTCCCTTCTCCTTCGTTGCGAGAGGAGGGATCTCCTTCACTTGTCCTAGCAATTCCTTATCCATATGCAATAAAGCGGTAGCTCTAGCCAGACTGGTAAGAAGTGTCAAACGTACAGCTCCTATCCTGAGATTTCCCACTAAACTCCGCACTAAGAATCGCGCTTCTTCTCCACGAGCTTGCACCATGAGTTTCCGTACAATATCTCCTTTTAGTCGAGCACTCTGAGCGCCTTTGATACGAGACATTCCTAAGAGACGATTGTATACGTCTTCGACCAGAAGAGGAGCCGGTTGGACTAAAGTGCGAAGATTTGATTTTGCCTCAAAAGCCACATCTCCGGGGTCGCCCCACTTTTCCCATAGTTTCTTGAGATCTCGAGGTTGGAGACCGGATACTTCTTGTATGGCTTTTGACAATATCTGAGAACCGATGCCGAGTTCGCAAGGGAGGTAAGAGGGGAGAAGGTGGTTTGAGAGAAGGTAGAGTGATGGTGGGAGGTCGATCGGAGAGGCATGAAGTACAAGGTGTAAAAAGCTACAATGGTTTAGCTCTCCAAGACTCTCGCATTTTCGTATGAAAGCTGCTTCATAACTGGTATCTGGAAGGTACAGGTCGAGGAGGGAAGGGTTGGACGAGGAGGGAAAGAGAGAATGAGAGTGAGACCTCGGGCGTATAGAAAGACAGGCTCACTTGGTAAGAACTCTGACGATGAGAAGTCTACTGCGTGTGCTGGAGACCTGTACGTATACTCCGACCAAAACGCTATACGGTAACCTCCCCTTTGGCCAATTCGACACATTCACCTCCTCTGGTCGAAAGAGAAATTGATCCACGTCAAAATCAATAGGCTCGACAGGTTCCACAGCGGCCGATGTGATCTTTCCGGTCTTGTGGGTAGTAGCACCTATAGGTTTCCCCATATCCTTCGACTCTATTTTTATGCCCCCATCATTGTCAGGTCTCAAAGTTTCATTGATTTTGTGCATCTTCTCTGACGGTGGCGATCCATTCTTCTTGTGTTGACAGGGCGGAAGGACGATCTTACTAGAGCTCGATCCGTTCACTCCGGTCGCTTCCATCAGAAGACTCTCATACAACTCTGGTTCCGATTCATCCTTTACCATATCTGGCGTTTCCGCGCGGGCCTTGCCCTTATCTATCGCTCCCACGCCAGAACGTACTTCTTCTTCCCATTCTTCTGCCAATCGTCTGGCTATAACTTCATCGTTGTCGATTGACCTAGGAGTGGAATCGTCGTCAGAATCAATCGAGATTACCTCTATCTTCGGGAGAGTTTTGTCACTAGTGACTTTGATCGGTTTGGACTTTGAGGGGGAGGAAAAGAAAGAGTCGATGGATGGTTGTGTGATTGCATTTTTTGGTTTCTTGTGGGAAGGTGAGGGGTGGGGGAGTGAGCTGGGTGGACGTTTGCCCATGATAGAGCGAGTGGAGGGAAACTGCGATGAGAAGAGGGGAAGTGATAGTATTCTTGTGACTTTTGTGATCATACGTAGAGACAGGTGTACATGGGGGAGAAGTAGATAGTCCAGGTCAAGTTGGGCGGTGAAGAGGCAAGAGGTGGTCTGCAGTTGTCTTGCAGCAACTCTAGTTGACACGATCGGCGGAGCCCCACAGCGGAGAAATGCAGCGGGCAATCACTGCGATACTGCCGGCGTGTAGGGATAATCGCGACGGAGCTCGAATTAATCCCGACGGAAATTTGGCCACTTCACCCAAATACCTACACTACTCACCCAAATCCCTACACTACTCACCCAAATACCTGCACTCTCTCAATATCGAGAATTATTGAGATGTAAGATATGTAAACTGATCCTAGACAGTCCAGGATGCATTTGATGCATAGAGATCATGTGTATCATGCATATTGACAGCTCTAGAGCGGTTTTCGGACCGGTTTTCGGACCTGTTTCGGATTATCTTCGGCGGA